AAGAAAATTGGAATCCCATCAGCATTCACAGCACTCGAAGAACCTGAAGTAGACTGACTAAGGTCATCATCAAGATAGAATCCACTCCCATCGTCAGCATTCATAACCCCGGAACCAAAGATGGTAACATCAATGTCAGCACATGGTTTCATTGGAAGAAGCTCCAAGGAAACCAACCTCGAGTCTGAATTGTAATTTGACCAATTGTGAAGCATGCTTCGAGGAAGATCTCAGGATCACATACATCAATATCACTTTCAAAAACTACAAGCTCATCAGTTTCTTCATTAGAATTCTTGTAGTATGCTGGGAGAGGATAATCATTAGCAATCTCATCTTCATTGATCTTGATGTAGAATTTGTTTGACATGGAAGCTGAACCTTGATTCTTCTTTTGTTTCATAGATTTCCAATATTCTTCCTCTTGCAAAAGTCTTGCCAACTTTGCATCCTCATCTTCCTCAGCTGTACAGGCAGATGAATATGTAGCATCTATTTTTCTCTCTCCCTCTCTTTTTACCAACAGTCAGAGTCCCACAAGAAAGTGCCGATATTTCTTGCCCTATATTTTCACAGCTCCTACTCTCATATCTAATAGCAGCAAGAACAGGCAACCCTGAAAATACCTGGTCATTCTTTGATGTCTCATCCAAACCAATCAGTTGATTGCAAATAAAATCTCCCTGGGAAACGACAAAATCCTTAATTGATGCACCACGAGAGAAGATCTTGCTTCCACTCATTGACAGAACAACACCAGCAAACAACAAATCAAGACTCAAGTCAGGATTTCCACCAGAAGACTTTGAAAGCTTTTTATAAACCTCTACACAAGCATGAGCTTTTCCAAAGAAATGCTCATTAATTTTTTTATAGCTTCCACTTGGCTTGCAGCAGAAGTAATCAGCCACATCAGTTGAAAGCCATATCACTGGATAACCATCTTCATAGCCAGAGATGTTCCAAGACTCGACACGTCCAAATCCTTCACATCTAACACTCTTTTCCTTTTCCTTTTCCTTGTTAGAAATTCTTCAAATGGCAATATCAAACCAGTTACGAACATGTCATTGACTTCCAACATTTCAAAAGGTTGAAGAAGACCTTCTGAATTATGCAATACAAAATCATTGAGCCTCCTATTAGGTCGACCCTCATCTTTTTCACAAGTCAGTCCATCTTTTTTCCTGAATGCAAAATGGAAAAAATAAATATTGTGAACTTGAGTTTAGTTGGTTGAGAACAGTACAGTAATATAAGCACGGGATTAATGTAAAATGAAGAATCAGATTTTCCAGATTACAATAATGAAATATTAAAAGCTCTTCATCTCATTTCTCTTTCCCTCTTTTGATTCTTGATTTCTCTTTGGTTCAAAAAGCCAGTCCATCTTGTTTTTGAGTTTACAAATCAAATCCTGGTTCTTTCAACGATATGTATCAACATGCTTCTTAAGAATACATACAACTTACAAAAGTAGACTAACAACCTTGTTTTGTTAAGAAATGAAGGATCAAAGTCAAAAATCGAAAAGTTTAGCACGATCACACAGAAAACTACAAATGCAAATGTAGTGAAACAAGCTAGTCAAACCAAAGTTTTCAAAGAACAAAAAAGTCCCAAAGACTAAAAGATCAAGTCCACCAAAAAAATCATGTTGAAATAGCCATTAAAATGCATGAAGATTAAACTACAAACTAGCAATTAAATCGGTCAACATGCAGACACAATAGAATCCTTTAAAATGATAAAAGAACCCATACTATAGAACAACAAAACTTAGAATTTCATATAAAACCTTCCAGTAGTCACCGACATAGAAAAAAAAAATTAAAACTACAGTTACGAAGTAAAATAAAACCTTCCAATGAGAATGATGACCAACGTCAAAATCCAATAATCTTCATAAAAAACTTACTTGACTAAGCGATAAAGGAGTTGAGAGCGAACCAAATAATTTAGCAGGCTGTTTGGCTACATAATTTGATTACATTGGCAGACAACCTTCTACCAAAAGAAGAGATCTGACTACACGTAACTACCGACTAAACCAATCAAAAAATAAATGTTGTAATGAATTTTGTACAAGAACTAAAATGATCATAAAAGTACGCAAAAAACATAAAAAAATCATAAGGATCGTGTTACAAGAACAAAGAAAATAATGTTACAAGAACATATAATCTCATTCAAAATTAAAAATACTCAAGCAAATTGACAATCAACATTAAAATTAATGTCGATGTCAAATACAAAAAAATATATACAAAAATATTAAAAGAAAACTAGATTGAAAGAAAGGAGAGGTAGGATTTCTTATCCTTAATCTTAATAACGAAGAAAAATAGGTGATTATTAATAATTTAACTAAAATGATACGTGACATCTCGAGGATAAGTTAATATTAATTTTAAAAAATGGTGGAAAAAAAAGTAGTTGAGGCTGGAAGCGACAAGAGGAAGAAAAGTCGGCCCCACGTGTATTTTATTTATTTATAATTATTGGATTAATATGAAACGTAGGCTTCTTTGTAATTATTATTACATATATTTTTAAGGATAATTATTATAACAACTAGGAGTATTACACGGCGGCACTTGGTATTTTTATTTATAAAAATAGATGGTACAATTTTCTATTAGGTCCCTCCATCATATACAGATTATAAATTTAATCCATGTATTTTAATTTTATCATGTTAATCTCTATAGTTTTTAAATTTTGAACTTTTGATCACAACTCAAACAATAGTCATCAAATCAACAAAGTTGCTCTAATGATGTGTTCAGAGACGGAGCCAGAATTTCAACTTAAGGGGACAAAATATAATCAATCATAGAAAATGAGGGCGACAAAATATAGCTAACCATGGAAAATAAAGGGGCAAAATCTAAATAAACGAAAATTTGAAGTTCTAACTTAAAATTTTCCCATTTAGTTTTTTAATAATAATAATAAAATTGGGGGAGGCAGTGACCCGATAGCACAAGGTGGCTCTGTCCCTGAATGTGTTATTTTTTTTATCATGTATGGTGAAAAAATATTTTTTTAACTAGCGTGCGTGTTATGGTAGTCGTTGGAAGTCGCATAGACCATACGACGACTTCTAGAAGATGCTTGAAGTACACGGTGACTCCTAAAAGATGCGACCTTCCAACGACTTATGAAGTATCACTCGTTATCCCTGCTATCATGCATGTATAAAGCTTGAAAAAATGCCTTACACTTCATACGTCTTATAGAAGTTGTCTTGTGTTTCAAACGACTTCAATGAATGTTGTAACAAACACCCTACTTGAAAGAAAAATTAATTCTCCATGCACTCTATATGACCGTAATTTTTTTCAACATATTATTATGGGTAAATTATGTGTTTAGTAAGTAAACTATTAGTTGTGGTTTGTCTTAATATCTAAACTTTTAATTTTTTCATACTCACACCTAAAATTTAGTTTTTGTTTTATTTTAACGTCTATGTTCAAAACTTAACGTGAAGTTTTGAAAAAACTTGAAAGTTTAGGTACTAAAACGGACTAAAATTGAAAGTTTAGGTACTAAATGCAATTTTTAACAATGCGATACTAAAACGAAACAAAAACTAAACATTAGGTGTGGTTTTGGAAAAAATTAAAAGTTCAAATACGAACACGGTCCAAAACTGATAGTTTAAATATTAAATACGTAGTTTAACCTTAATTGTTTTTGCCAAACATTAAATCCATCAATTTTTCTATTAGTATGTATACTATACATAAATTATAACTTTATTTTTTAATAGTTTAGGATAATTACAAAATAATATATGATTAAAAAATTTATAGTAGTCGACAACGCACGTACTTCTACAAATGTAACTGCTTAAATTTCGGATCTCTAGGAAGAATAATAATCTCTTTAACCATTAAAGTCACTTGACAAATTCATATAAATTATAAATTTAAATTTCGTTGTTCATTATGATTTTTTTTATCTTTTAATTTAATTATATTGTTTTTATATTATTTAAGTCTTGACTCAAATCTAAATCTAAATATATTTTCAAATTAAAATTAATCAAATAAAAATACAAAGACTAAATTTATAATATATCCTATAAAACTGATAATTGAATTTAGCCGAAATCGATGTTGTAATTTTATAATAATAATCATAAATTGTTCTATTATTTACCTGTCTAATAATGTCTTAATTAGCTTGCACTCTCTATCCTTCCCCTTTGTATTGTTCCTCATTCCCATTTATATGAAAAATTATTAGATGGATTAGATTCACTAGTGATGTGTAAAAAGATTCGATCCGATTCAAAAATTCGGATATCCGATCTATTTTTTATTTTTGGTTAATTTGGATCGGATATCTGAAATTTTTTTCGGATAATCAGATCAGATATAGATAAGATAAATTTCAATTTCGGATTATCCGAAAATCTGAAAATATATTGAGCTTTTAGATTTTAAATACCTTTTAACCCAATAAATGAGTAATCCACTAACCCAATAAAACTATAACTTAATAAAAATTAAGATATTTAATTATTTATTGTGTGTGAGTAATTAAATATATATAAAAAATATAATTGAAGTATTAGATAAGTTACATTAAATTATAAAATTTAAAATTTATTTTTTGTCAAAAATAAATTTTAAATTCGAATTTGGATATCCGATCACAAAATTCAGATATATGATTTTTTCGGATCGGATACAGATAACTATTTTAGGTATATGAAATTTTCGGATCAGATCGAATCCGATATACGAATTTCCACACTCCTACGTCTCACCACGTCATTCGTGGTCCAACCAATAACATTTTTTCATTTCATTTATTTTCTCATTTCAACTTTTTTCAATCTTTAATATTTCGGTCAAAATTGAAATATGTAAAATTGATTAATTTATACATAATAGGAGTAAAACATAATTTAACCTAAAATGATGAAATTTTAATTTTGTAATAATAATCGGAAATTATTGCCTATTTGTAATGTCTTAGTAAACACGCAAGCTTAGTCCTTCCTTTCTCCCCGTTCCCCACTTCCACTTCTACTCATTTCATTGCTTTTTCCCCCATTTCATATATTTGATTTTCAGATTATTAGGTCAGGGTTTTTTTGGGGTTAAAATATTTGCATCCATCACCACCGGCATGATCGAGATTGGCTTCTGCGATTTTGATTATTAGGAATCGTTAAATCAGGGGAGGGTTGAGAGGTAGGGGCATGGAGAACGGTCACGATGCGAAATTAGCTGAGAAGCTATCGGGGTTGGCCTTCAACGACAACAACAACAAAAACAAAAACGACGATGATAGCTTGTTCCAGGCCATGAAAGCTGTTGAGGCCGCCGAAACCACCATTAATCAACAGGTTTTCTTCTTCTTCTTCTTCTCTAGTTGTAATGGTAAAAGAAAAATATTTGTTTTTTTGCATCTATTCTCAGGCGGAAGAGAACAGTCGATTGAGGTCTGAACTCCAGAAGAAGCTAGAGCAGCTCGAAAAATTTGTAGGAAAATTAACTTGTTTTTTTTTCCATTTTAGTTATTAGTGAAGTTCGTTATGCTTTATTCATGCTCGATTTTACATATTTAATGGAAAGCAGAAAGGGGAAAGTGTTAGCAATCAAAATGCTTCTGCAGAGGAAGCTACTGATACCATCTTAAATGGTACTTTGAATGCATTTTCTGCTGCTGCTGCTGTTGATAATAATAATAACAGGGCTCCAGCTCTTTCTGGACTCTCCTCGCCCTTCACGGTTACCTCTTTTTCGCAAACCAGGTTTTTCTTCTTATATTGCGTTACTCGTTACGTTGTATGAACATCAACCATAGGATTTTTCCTATTCATTTGTTTTAAAATGATAGGCATCAGTTAGAAGGAGAAGACAATTCTCGATTGCCACAGGGTCTCATGCCAATGGCTCAACTAAATAATTCCAATTCCATTTGGAAACAGGTTCCTTCATGCTCTTTTGTACTATGCCGTTGGTTTTTTCTTTTAGATTTTTTATGGACTGCTAGCTTCTATTTTTCTCAGGATGCTTCTATCAAAGTTTGGGAACATGAAGAAGAGATTTTGCTGTTGCGTAAACAGCTTGCTGAATTTTCTGTCAAGGTTTTGTCTTGCTTCCCCCCCGGGTTTTTATTCATGTTAATTCTGGATTTATAATTATTCATGATTAATTTTGCAGGAAGCACAAATTCGCAATGAAAAATATGTTCTTGAAAAGCGCATTGCCTATATGCATCTGGTAGGCACTAGCCTAGTGTTTTCTTCCATTTGCACAATGCCTCAGTTTTTATTTTTCTTTTTTCTGCTCCTTGTTGAACGTAAATACGATTAATACAATTTTTGAGATATTGTCACCAGGCCTTTGATCAACAACAACAAGACCTTGTTGATGCTGCCTCGAAAGCTCTCTCTTATAGGCAAGACATAATTGAGGAAAATATTCATCTAACATATCAATTACAGGTACTTTTCATTTCTTAATGTTATTTAATTTTCATCGTCAGGATTGATGTTTTTCTTTTCCTTTTCATATTGATACTTGTCCCCTCAATTTCTGTAGGTTGGAATGTTCCTGGATTATGTTTGGGTATTAAAACTTAATGTTCAAACTATTTCAGCTGTGAACTCATTTTTTTTCGTCACTCCAATTCATGTAAAAAGGAACCTTTGTTCTGATGATGAACTTATGCTGCTTGCAAAATATTGTAACAATGTATATGGTCTCATCCTTTTCTTTCAGGCTGCGCAGCAAGAAAGAACAACTTTCGTGTCATCTTTGCTTCCTCTATTGACAGAGTATTCCCTTCAGCCACCAGTTCTTGATGCTCAATCCATTGTAAGCAACATCAAGGTCATTTTCTAAATTCTATATCTTGTTTTGATGCAAACCCTTTATCAAGTTTCAAGAAAATCAGGATGTTGTCAGTATCATGCACCTATATTGATATGATTTTTCCCCCCATAACTCAAATGAAACTATGAAAGTGAACGCTCAATCCTATCAACAACAATTTCACAGCGCTAGTTACATACTTCAATGCTATTTATAGGTGTAGATATTCCTTTCCAGATATTGAAAAATGATCATAATTGGTATGAGCATCTTATCTCTTCAAATAACTAATTCAATAGTCTTTGGTTTGGTATATGATGCATGTAATTTGGTTGGGTCATCTTGGCAGTGGTTAGGCTGATTTCTGATGAATATGATAAAATAGAAAGAAATTAGGTAGGATTCTTAAAATGTTACATTTAAAAAATCTGGAGGCAGAGGAATTAAATCTGGATTTTCTCAAGCTGTCCGAAGGTCAGTGTTTAGCTTTGGAGAAGCCTTTTTCTGAAGAGGAAGTTTGGGAAGCTATTGCTCATTCGGATATCAACAAAGCTCTGGGTCCGGATGGTCTGAACTTAGGGTTTTTAAAGAAGTTCTGGGCTAAATTGAAGGATGATATGATGAGGTTTTTTAGGGATTTCTATGTGGGGAAGGTATGGGAGCCGGAGGTGAACTTTTCCTTCATTTCTCTTATTCCAAAGAAGGCAAATCCGGAGGGGTTGGAAGAGTTTAGGCCAATTAGCCTAGTGGGAGGTCTTTATAAAGTCATCTCTAAGGTCTTAGCTAGAAGATTGAGTTTGTATCTCAATGATAATATAAGTCGGTCCCAATTTGCTTTTATTCCGGGGAGAAACATCTTGGATTGCTCTTTTATTGCAAATGAGAGTATTGATTTTTGGAGGAAGAGAGGGCTGAAGGGAGTAGTTTTCAAGGTGGATTTTATGAGAGCTTATGATTCGGTAGATTGGAAAATTTTGATTCAAATTATGAGCAAAATGGGGTTTGGTGAAAAGTGGAGGTCGTGGATGTTCCAGTGCATGTCAACTGCTGAGATTTCGGTTTTGTTAAATGGGTCTCCAACGGAGAAATTTCATATTTCCAGAGGTCTGAGACGGGGTTGTTCGCTTTCACCTATGCTTTTCAACTTGGCTACTGAGTTGCTGCATTTACTGTTAACTAAAGCAGTGGATATGAGATTGTTTTCGGGGTTTGATTTAGGACTGCAGGACCGAGCATTCAAGCTGTCACACCTTCAATTTGCGGATGATCTTATAATTTTCAGTAAAGGTTCCATTCGTGAGTTGAGGAATATTAGAAGAGTGTTACTGATTTATGAACTTCTGGTGGGGCTGAAGTTAAATCTAGGTAAAAGCAGGATTTTTGGAATCAATGTTGAAGAAGGGGAGCTATCTAATTGGGCTGAAGTTATTGGCTGCTCGATTGAATATCTTCCATCTGAATATTTAGGTCTGCCTCTGGAGTTCAAGAGGAATTCGGCTGCTATGTGGGATCCTATAGTGGCGAGATTTAATGCTAAATTGAGTGGTTGGATAGCTAATTCTCTGTCGATAGCGGGAAGAGTGGTTTTGGTCAAATCGGTGCTATGCTCTCTTCCGGTCTATTTTCTATCTATGTTCAGAATCCCAGCTGCTGTGATACTTAAACTTAACTCTATCATGGCTTCATTTCTGTGGGGGGATTCGATTGACAAGAAAAAAATCCATTGGGTTAACTGGAAGTCGGTCTCTTAACCAAGAAATCTGGGGGGTCTAGGGGTCCCTAATCTAGCACTTTTGAACCGAGCTTTACTAGGAAAATGGGTTTGGAAGTTTTCTTCTGATAAGAAATCTTGGTGGAAGAAAGTGATTTGTGCCGCCTACAATTTGGATCCGAAGTCCATTATTTTGGAGAATTCGGTGCCAGCTCATGCATCGTGGATTTGGAAAGGTGTGGTGAAAAACTTCTTCAACAGTGATGATTTTGGAGAGTGTCTTAAAAGGAATATGCGTTTGAAGGCGGGGAAAGGGGAAGATGTGCAGTTCTGGAATGATGTATGGTTGGGTGATGTTCCCCTGAAATTGTTGTTTCCTAGACTTTATGTTCTATCAATTAATAAATCGGGTAAAGTGAAGGAGTTTAGGGTAAATAATGCTTCGGGTTGGGTGTGGGACATCCAAATGAGAAGGAATTTGACTGATTGGGAAGTAGAACAGTGGATGCAGTTGATTTCTATGTTGAATAATACCTCTCCTTTTCCTACTGAAGATGATTGTTGGATTTGGTTAGGGAATGGTGAAGGAAATTTTACAGCTAAATCTTGTATAAACGCTTTTTATGAACAACGTGGTTCTGAGCAAAATCAAGTGAATTGGGATAAGAATATTTGGTCTGGTTTAGCTCCTCCAAGGGTGGAATTGTTTGTTTGGCAACTTGTGCAACATAGAGTACCGGTTAAAGAGGAGTTAGCAAAGAGAGGTGTTGCAGAGATTGTTGACCAACGTTGTGTTTTGTGTGGTAGGGAGGTGGAATCAGTTTCCCATCTGTTTCTGCATTGCAGGGTTGTGTGGGGTCTGTGGTCCTCCTTCTTGAAAATGTGGAATGTGTCATTGGTGACTCCAAAGTGTACCATGGAATTTCTAATTTTGTGGGATGATTTTATGACTAACTCTTTGATTTGGAAATTCATTCATAGGGCAGTGATGTGGTCAGTTTGGAAGTGTAGAAATGAGATTATCTTTCAGAAAGGAAAGCTGGATTTGGTCAGATTATCTTTCATTGTTAGATTTAGAGTGGCTTCCTGGTTTAGTGCTCGTTTCAAGGATGTGGGTATTCCTCTAGATTCTCTAGTAGGTGATTTGAAAATTGCTGATTTGATTGGTAGATCAGGAAAGGATTGCTCTCAACCTGCTTGCTGGGTTCCTCCACCGGAGGGGTTTCGAAAGTTAAATGTTGATGGAGCGATGGTTTCGGGTTGGGAAAAAGGAGGTATTGGTGGTCTGTTTCGAGATAGCAGAGGTCTATTACTTTAGTGGTTTTCTGAAGCAGTAGGGGGTGGTCCTCCTATCTTGGCAGAGCTGTTGGCTATCAAAAGAGGGATTTGTCTTATAGAGGAGTTGGATTTTGTCGCAAATCAGAGAGTTATCTTGGAATCAGACTCATCTAACGCTCTGAAGTGGATCCAGAATCCGGGTTTAAGCCCTCCTTTGCATCTATCCTTGGTGAAGGATATAGTTTCGCTTTTGATTGGAAAGGATATTATATTTAGGCATATTTCAAGGGCGGCAAACTGGGAAGCTGATAAACTTGCTAAAGATGGGATAGGGTGATTTTGGTTATTGTTGTGTTGTTTAACAGGAATTGTACCTCCCTGTTTGTTGGATGTTTTGTGTTAAGTTTTATGTTCTTCTGTTGGAAGTGTAGGAGTTTGTTCAATCTTGTAATCTGGTTCTTGTGAATAAAAGTTTTCTTGGCTCTCCTTTCCTCTTTCGTTGTTCCTTCATGTTACTCTCATAACATGGAGGGATTGAAGGAGGATTTTAATGAGGCCTCTTTCTATCAAAAAAAAAAAAACATGCATGTCTTATTTTTTTTGATAGGAATAAAAGGCCTCAATAAAACCCCCTTGGTGATTAACGGAACTTAAAAATAGTTCCTTAATCCACACAAGGAGGAAAGGAGTGCCCTAGGATTCATTAAACTCAAATATAACAAAGTAATACAAACCAATCTCCCTCAAGAGATACAAAACCAGAAAGAAACAGCCCTTAACAGAGCATAATTCAACCAATACCCGCCTTAGCTAGGACATCCACCTCTATATTGGTTGTCCTACTAACCCAACTAATAAAACCTTCAAAAACACTAAGCTTTTGAATAATGTCTTTAACTATTTGAACATAAACAACAGGACAAGAGACCACATCCTTAATCCAGCCAACTGCCACCTGACTATCACTCTCAATAATCAATCTATCTTTAAACCTATGACGAATAGATTCAAAAAAATCTAAACCCTTTAGGATAGCCTTCAATTCCATTAAAGTTGGGGGCCCCGGACCAGCAGGCTCTTTGAAGGAGCCAAGAATCGAACCAGACATGTCTTTCAAAATACCACCTAAGCCACTCTTCCAATCACTCGAGGTAGCCGCATCCACATTAAGTTTAATAAACCCTTTTGGAGGAGGGGACCAAGGAAACACGGTTGAAACCCGATTAGAATGGGACGAGTAGGAATCCACTATGGACGGGTCAGCAATAATATCATCCTTGGAAATAGTAATATGAGTTTCCTTAGCTAGAAACCATGAAGCAAGTCTGCACCTAGCTAGAAAGAAAATCTCTGCTCGATCAAGCTTCCCTCCTTCAAACACTATAAAATTCCTGGTCTTCCAAATTGTCCATAGAACAGCTCCAGGTATAAATGGCCAGATAAGAGAGTTGGTCTTCAAGTCATTCCAAGCCAATAGGAATCTTTTAGCATCTGAATGAAAAACCGACTGAAAATTCCAATAGCCCAAGAATTTCATCCAAATTGGCCAAACAACCGAACAGGAAAAAAATAAATGCGATGAAGACTCTTCTTCAAGATTACAGAAAGAACACAAAGTATCATTTATGCCCTGAACACCTCTCTTAACCAGAGCTGTCTTGACCGCCAACTTCTTTAAGATAACTTGCCAAAGAAAAGTCTCTACTCTTGGAGGCAACAGACCCCTCCAAACATTAGACTTCCAAAATTTAGCTTCCTCTGAATCGGGAGAACCCGAATAAGATAGATTGACACATGATTTCACAGTGAAAACCCCTTCCCCATTCCCCTTCCAAAACAGTCCATCAACAGAAATAGAAAAATCAGTGATAACAACCATCAAATTTGCCCATTGCTCAAATTCCCAGTCATTCAACTCTCTCCTCAACTGAACGTTCCAAATCCAACCCCCTGAACTGAACTCCCCAAACTGAGATAATCTTCCTGCTTTATTCACTGCAATAGAAAATATTCTAGGGAACAATACCATCAAAGGATGATCCATTGTCCAATTGTCTTGCCAAAACCGAATGTTCCTCCCATTGCCAATTTTAAAGCTATATTTACCTCTGATACTACAGCCCAACGAATCAGCTTTATAATGATTTCTCACCATATCTCTCCACATCCAAGAAAGTTTAGGAGAGACTTTACTGTCAAACTGCATCAAGGAAGGATCCAATTTATATTTGATGCAGAGCATTTCCCTCCAAACCGCCTCCCTCTCAATAGCAAACCTCCAAGCCCACTTTTCCAAAAGTGCCCTATTCACCACCTTTAAATTAGGAACCCCCAAGCCTCCTTCAATTTTTGGTTTACAAACATCGGACCAGCTTACCCAATGTATCTTCTTTTTCCCATCACCACCACCCCATAAAAAATTTGACATGATAGAATTTAGAGTCTTGTAAACTGAAGCTGGAACCTTGAACATTGACAAAAAGTATATAGGGAGTGAGCATAGAACTGATTTAATTAGAACTAGCCTGCCTGCCAGTGACAGAGAGGAGCCTTTCCAGCCCGCTAACCTCTTATTAAAGCTTTGAACCACTGGATCCCATAGAATGTTGGAGTTCCTATGTGGACCTAGAGGGAGTCCCAAATATTCTGAGGGAAAAGAGCCCACTGAACATCCAATCATAGCTGCCCAATCCTTAATTTCCTCTTCCTTTAAGTTCACCCCAAATAATTTACACTTCTTTAAATTCAGCTGGAGACCAGAAATAATCTCAAACACCCGAAGAACCCTCTTTACATTCAAGATCTGTTTTTCCGACGCCCCACAGAACATAATATGATATCTTTTTTGTTAGCCTAAGTTCTTTTTATTTTCTCCATTTTGGAACTGCCTTTTTTTTGTGTGTGTGTGTGTTCGTTACTTGTAGCACGGTATATAATGTACCTGTATATATCGACTTTTATCCTTGATATTTCTGAAGGGAGTTTTTGTAGAAGAACAGATATATTAGACAAGGATACAAAACCTTAGTGAAGAATTATTTTGAATGACAAAATGAGTCGAATCATATCTGTTTCTTCTTTGTAAATCAGAGTTATAAAATTACTACTGGACTCGTGCAGGTTCTATTTAAACATCTGCAGGAGAAGCTTCTTATCACTGAGGTATTTTACGTGGAATGAGTTGTTTATAATAACTGGAAGTATTTTTCTTTTCAAGTTCTGATGGACTTGGCCTGTGCTAATTATGGTTTGAGATTTTAAGCATCATTTTGATATTGTAAATACATAATTATGTTTATGTTTTCTTTTCTTGGCCCCAGTCAAAGCTAAAAGAATCACAGTATCAATTGGCACCTTGGCGGTCGGATGTCAATCATTCCAATTTTGCTCCCAAATCTCCATCTCATTCCCTTGGTGCAACACCGACAGCTTCTGTATGTTTATAATATTTTCTTTTGACCTATACCTTTATGTTTATAATATTTTCTTTTGACCTATACCTTTATGTTTATAATATTTTTTTGGACCTATACCTTTATACAACTATGGTATTCTTATTCTTATACATTCTCACAGAGCAATAATGGTCTTGAATTGGTGCCCCGGCCGGTTTATTCCCAAGGAAAGACACAGATAATCTCTGATGCTCAAACAGACTCAAATTGGGATCTACCTGGTCAGCACCAAGGTGGCTTGGGTGGTGGCATTGCTTCAAAAAATTTGGAACCTGATGATTTGGGGAGGTATTCACCCATAGCAAGCAGGTGAGCCTGATCAAATGGAGACTGCTATTGTGAACTGAATGCACAAATTACAACCATCTGCATTTGTTGGTGGGCTCTGTTTTCATTGAATTTCATTTGGTGCCTTTTATGCATAAATCTTTTCAAAAGCTAGATTTTCAGGATGAGCAATTTGAACCTTCTGTTGTGACATTATACTGCATCTGCATTTTGGATAAATAGCCCAATGAGGATATTGTAGTTGATAGTCCATATGCATAATTTTTTTGGAGTGGCAAAAATTTCACTTATAGTCTCTTGTCGATTTTGTTTGAAGAAATACACAAATTTCTAATAAGGACAGATGTCGTCTGTTTTTGTTTGGCAAGGCATGGCAGCTTTCATGTGTGATAAACTAAAAACAAGTTTTATTTTAAATGGTTGCCAGGACTCCTACTGCTATTGAGGTACGAACACAGCTGGAAGGAACTCAGGGTGACATGAATACCATGCGATATGGTGAAGAGACTATTAATAGACAAGTTAAATTTCGTGACCCTGTCAGCAATAGTGAGATGGATTATCCTGATATTGAGGGACCCCAAATTGAAAGGGAACCTCCCTCCAATTGGGGTTTAGGAAACTCGCCTTATACTGCACATGATGACCCCAGTTCCTCTTATCCTGCTTTTCTGCCATCAGTTCTTGAAGAGCCTTCATCTTCTTTTTCTGAGGGTAAGCCATTAAGTGTGCATTATTGACTGTAAGCATTAAGGTGGACTGTCTTATATTGTGTATTGCTTTGTCCAGCTGCAGAAGATGATCCACTTCCAGCTATAGAAGGTCTCCAAATTTCAGGGGAAGCTTATCCAGGAAGGGAACTTCAGGCATCTGGATATTCTATTAATGGAACAACTAGTTGTAATTTCGAGGTTCTTTTTCTGGATTTTTTCTCCCCTGTTTTTAACATTTAGGATTTTGGGTATTGTTATTTCTTGGATGTATTTAAAGATACCTTGTATTAGTTAGCATTTCTTTTGATTCGAAAATATGGATATATAATGCTGTAATGTAATTGCAATGACAGTGGGTGCGCCATATGGAAGATGGATCTGTTAATTACATTGAAGGTAGTTTCTTGTCTTTCATCTTGAGGTTCTCTAACTTCTCTTCAAAACGTAATCCCTTTATTTATTGAATATGTTTCTAAAAGGTTTCTGAATAACAGGGGCAAAGCAACCAAATTATCTTGTTAATGCTGATGATGTTGATACATACCTTGCTATTGAAGTTCAACCTTTAGATAACAGGAAACGCAAGGTATTGGCTTTACCATGCAATTTCCCAAATTTGGAAGCTTGTTCATTCACGTGTTGTTTGTTGTCCTTGGCTTTTTTTTACCTATGAATCTGGTATGAGGCAAGGCTGAGCTTCATAAGACATCAATATCAAAGAGGCTTTTTTTTATAGAAGTTGGAGGTCTCATTAAAAACTCCCTTCGTATTCGTCTACACTAAGAAGTATGTTAACGAACGAAGGAAGAAAAGAGTACCTCATAGTTTATTAATAATAATACCCAATACATAAGAAAACACGGAATATCCTCCTATGGTGTACACCATTACACCAAACACCTTAAACTCTCACAACCTCAACCAAAAACCACAATCGACAAGTACCCTATTTCTAAATTACACCTCCAGCATTTGGATAAAAAACAACTCAAAATAACATAACACAAAAAAAGCAACACCTGCAACCATTTAAACTAAATCAAAGCCACAATTGAGGAGACGAGATCTAATGAGAATCGACTTCGTCAGGGAACCAAGAGTTTGGTTTGAATGAAGGCTCAATCTCATGCACCATGATTTTGAAGGAGTTGTCACCTACCTTCAATTTCAACGTCTCATTAATTCTCACATGAACCTTTGTGAGGACTTGAATTTTTGCCCGATCAAAAGATGATGGCGACTGACAGCTTTCGTCGATTGCTAATAAATAACCCCACTTATCAACAATGTTTTTGAAAGTATCCCAATTCCAAGCGTGAAAAGGAACACCCTCGCAAACTAACCACTCTCGACTACGCTCCACTACCAAACTCTCTGACCAAACTTTGACTCTGGAGAACCACTTTGCGAGTGTCTCTGATTTATCGTTCTTCACACTTCTCAACGAAGCCGAGTATTCGAAAACCATTAAAACTACATTTCCAGCAGCTCTCATCATCCAGTGAGGCCCTTGGCTTGCATTTGATTAGCAAGATTACTGATTTTGATAAAGTTCTTACACCACCCCACTAAACATTTACTCAATAAGAGAAGTTTATCGTTGTCCACTACTCCTTCAACTTCATAGTGATTATTCCTCGAAACAACTTCCATCCCGGACTTGCGGTGAACAGCTGTCGAGGACTTTCTCCAATAGGAATGACGAGGTTTGAATTTAGCGAAAGAAACACCAATTTTGCTGTCATCAATAAGAGAACCATTCATTTTTGAGATTGCTTTCCTTCTTCGATTGTTGCGAAGCGAATGAAACCAAAGAGAACTCCTTTTGAATTTCTTTTATTTGGAATAAAAGAATCAATTACCCGACCGTGGGTGGAAAATAAAGATCCAAGCCTCTTCCAATGGATCTTCTCTGGTAAATTTTCAATAAATAACGTGTAGCATCCAGACTTGTCGTTACTACACCCCTTTGTGGTGGACTCCTTGGTTCCATCGTGGACAACATCTGCGGCAGACTTTTCATCGCAACACACAGTTTTAACAGGCACATAAATACTTGGAGATGCTACAGGAGCTGGATTTGGCATTGACAGTACTGGAGGAACATGATAACATCCATACTTGTCAAATGCATCAGAATCTGTAACTATTTCTCTTTTAACAACTAGATTCTTATTTGCCATCTCAATGTGCAAAAAGGACTTCAACTTGGCATCAAAAACCATTTCCTGAAGGGCATCCTTCGCAGCAACTGCAAATTTTGCATTTGAGAAGAGAGCGAAACCTTTAGGCTTTTTTCCCTTGTAACTCACTTGCGAAGCTTCAAAACCTGGAAGCCATCTCAGTAAAATCTGCAACTCTCTCTCTTTGACATCTTCAGGCAGACCCGTAATGAAGATAGTACGAACCTCGTCATGATGAGAAGGATGAGATGGCGGAGAAGGCGCGGCTGCAGAGGGCGGAGGAGCTTGGACCGGAGGTTTCTGCTGGTGAAAAAGGTGGATTCCAGCACCCGACATGTGATGAATGATTATTGAAGTTAAAATCTCAGTGACTTGACGATCTTTCCTGGTCGCGCGCCTGACGGTGGTGAATGCTGTGACTGCTGGCGAAGAAGAGAAGGGTGGAGGTGATGAAGAGATTCCGACAGGTAGATCTTGAGCCTGAGAAAAGGTGGAACTGCGGAGTCGTCCTTCAAAGAAACCCTCAGAGATGGATTAGATCGAGAGAACAACTTGACAGAACAAATAGTGGGTTCTGGTTTTGTCGAAGCAGTCAAAGGCAGATTCACAGAGAACAACAGCGAGTCTGGACACTAGGATAAATGGGTTTTGTTCGCGAGTGTACGACGAGCACGGTGGTATGACGGTGTCGAACACTGACGACGGTCGGCGGCGTTAATCGGTGAAAAACGACGTTTAGATCTGTGACGATTGAAAGACTTTCTCGAAAATCTAATCTCGAAAATGAAATCAGAGTGAGGTGACGATCTTCCCCGAGGAAAAACGGCGGCGAACGGATGACGGAGTGTGGCGGCAGACGGCGATGATTAACGTCGGCGAATGGAGATGAAGTTCATGTTAAACATGATGCAGTGGTAAAGATGTGCTGAAATGATAACAAAATCACCTTGAACCCTCACTAGGTTTGAAATTCAAAAAGTTTTTAATATCAAAGAGACTTCAGAAATGGGAAAGAAAAAAAGTTTCATGTTGATCTATTTAACAGTAGACAAACATGTTTGCATTTCGAACATGAACCTTCAAATCGAAAGAGTGAACATATTACATTGGCAATCGAAGGCCATGTATTTTGCAAATTGAGACTTGGTTGTATAATCACTTCATGCCTATCTTGCTATAAATCTTTGCACATTTGTATGTTGTTAAGGTCACAGATTGTGGATTGAGGTCACCTGGCGATTCAGAGGAAAAATCTTGCTTTCATTGATAAAGCTTTAATCTTGTTTCAATTTTTGACTTCGGGAAAAACCTATGAATAATATGGAACCAGCTGAAGGGAGCTCCTAACCTTAAAAGTCATTGGAAGGAGAGCCTAACCTTAGACTCATTAGTAGTCTCTAACAGACTCATTAGGTAGCCTCTACCTCTATAAGTTGGAAAAATTTGTATTATTTTTTATTAGAAAATGTCCCCTTATTAAAGGTCAAATGGGGTTTTATTCTTTTAGTACAAGAAACTAAAATTAACTAGTAGAATAAGAACTTAAAATTAAGGACTTTTAATTTAATACGATACTTTCTAAAATAATTTTTCTAATCAAGAATATTACGAAGATAAAACTTATTTGTTTTCTTTCTATTTTGGTGCTTCAACTTCTTGTCTTTCCCAAAGGCAACCTTCATATATGTGCTTGCTTTTATTCCTTGCTTCATAGGACTTCATACCCCACTATTTATTTTGGTCTAAATGCTTAAAGTTCCCCATGCACGTACAATATTAGGAGGTGCCAACTGTTGAAGAGTAATTGGTGTCTTAGAGATGAATATGATGATTATCTGTTGTAAATTTTGCAATTACTTTTTTTGGTATTATTTTTTTTTGATAGGGATGGTAGGCCTCGTTAAAACCCCCTTCATGATTAATGGATCACAATGTGCTCCTTAATTAGCGGAAGGAAGAAAAGAGTGCCTAAAACTTCATTAAAAACCTCAAGTTACATAAAACTTAAAAACAACCATACCGACTCCCTTTACAACAACCATCCCAAAGCGTAAAAAATAACCAAATACAACCAGAACAGTGAATCTATCCAATACCATCCTTTGCTAAAGTATCAAACTCAACATTGGCTGACCTAACAACCCATCTAATAATACCATTCAAACCTCTAAACTTATCACCAATATCAGTCACTAAATCACTGTAGACAAAGGGACAACGTTCTTTATTCTTGACCCAATCCACTGCTAATTTACTATCAGACTCAACGATTAAACGTTCCTTAAAACTTTGTTGAAACGAAGCAAAATAGGATAAGCCCTTCTTGATTGCCATAAGCTCTATCAAGATAAGAGGACCTGGACCAGCAGCCTCTTTGAAAGAACCAACCACTGAACCATCCTCACCTCTAAGAATGCCTCCAACACCACTTTTCCTCCAGTATGCAGTCACTGTCGCATCCACATTCAACTTTATAAAGCCCTTTGGAGGATGTGACCAGGCCACAATTTTGATAATAGGGGAGCTTAAATAAGAGCAACTATCCCCAAGTGATGGATCACTAATGAGAGAGTCCTTGGGAATAGATGCATCCTTGAAGTTAGCTACGTACCAAGCCGCCAACCTACTTCTTGCCATAAAAAATAGATCAATCTGATCTAACCTCCCCCTATCGAACACAATGGCATTCCTCAACTTCCAAATTGACCATAGAACCACACCCGGAATGAAGGACCAAATTTTCGAATTAGGTACAAATTCCTCCCAAGCAAACAAAAATTTTGAGCATTGGCTTAAAAAGCTGAACAAACTCCCCAGAAACTCAAAAATTTATTCCATAAAGACCACGCCACAACACAAGTAAAAAATAAATGTGTTGAGGATTCATCCGCCTTGTTACATAAAGGGCAAACAACGTCAACTATAGTTGAAACTCCTCTTCTCTGTAACTCTACTTTAACTGGCAACCTCTGAAGCACCACTTGCCACATAAATACCTCCATTTTCGGAGGCAATAATCCCCTCCAAACGTACTTCATCCAAAAAGAGTCTGCTGTACTAGCAGGACAACATGACTTCACACTCGAATTGACAGTATATACTCCTTCCCCATTCCCTCTACAGACCAACCCATCAGAACACTCATGTGAAAGAGTGATATTGTGAATTAAAGCCATTAAATCAGAGAATTGAACCAGTTCCCAATCACTTAAATTCCTTCTCAATTAAACATGCCAAGACCAACCTGAAGACTGAAACTCCCCAAACTCATTATGCTTCCCATACTTGTTTACCGAAAGAACAAACATTCTCGAAAAAACCAAATTTAGAGGGGAATCATGCGCCCAACAATCATACCAAAATCTGATGCTCCCTCCATCCCTCACTCGAACTTTAAACAAACTTCGGAACTTTGCTCCAAACTGATCCTGTTTGAAGTGATTATGGACCACTGATTTCCATAACCAAGAAGCATATGCAGGTGGTTGCTCGTTAAACATCAGTAAATTAGGGTCCAGATTATATTTACAGCAAATAACCTTCTTCCACACTGTCTCCCTATCGTTAGCAAATCTCCACGACCATTTCCCTAGGAGAGCTCTATTCATATAACTAATATCCAGAACACCAAGACCACCAGCAGTCTTTCCAGTGCACACAGTCGACCAATTAACCCAGTGAATTTTTTTGGCCTCCACCCCTCCTCCCCATAGAAATCTGGCCATGATGGAATTAAGCTTAGTAATCACCGAAGACGGTATCTTAAACAGGGACATGAAATAGGTAGGTAAGGAACACAAAACTGCCTTCAATAAAATCAACCTCCCTGCCATTGGCAGAGTCTTGGCCTTCCAACCTGCTAACTTCTTATAAAAATTTTGAACTACGGGATCCCACAACAGTAGCGAATTCCTCTTAGCACCAAGAGGCAACCCCAAATATTCCGCAAGGAAATGTCCTACTGAACAACCAATAGTATTAGCCCACTAAAGAACCTCTTCCTCATCAATATTAATACCAAATAATTTGCTCTTAGACAGATTCAATTTCAGACCTGACATAACTTCGAAAACACGTAGGATCCTCTTAACATTAATTACCTGTGTCTTCGAAGCATTGCAGAAAATGATCAGATCATCTGCAAATTGCAGATGAGATAGATTAACTGTAGCCTCATCGTTACCAACAACCAGTCCACCAAACAGACCCGAAGATACTGCTTTATGGAGCAGCAGATTAAGCAGTTATCCAACAAAATTAAACAGCATTGGGGATCGGGAACAACCCTGTCTAAGACCTTTAGCCATAGGAAATTCAGTAGTAGGAACACCGTTAACTAAAACTGACACCGAAGCAGTTGTAACACACTTTCGAATCCAATTGCACCACTTGGAACCAAACCCCATTTTAGACATAACTTTAAAGAGAATGTCCTAATCTACTGTATCATAAGCCTTCTTGAAGTCCACCTTAAAAACACAACCCTTCAAACCTTTCTTCCTCCACAAATCAATTCCTTCATTAGCAATAAAAGAGCAGTCTAGAATTTGTCTCCCAGGTATAAAAGCAAATTGTGACTCATTGATGATATCATTAATATAACATCTCAACCTTCTCGAAAGACACTTAAAAAGGATCTTGTACATCCCACCTACAAGTGAAATAGGTCTGAACTCATCTAAACCCCTAATATTGGAGCCCTTCGGGATGAGAGTTATGAAAGAATGATTTATGCCATGTTCCCAATCTTTCCCCAAAAAGAAATTGTGGAAAAACTTCATAATATCACCTTTCAAGTAAGACCAGAATTTTTTAAAAAATCCCATATTCAACCCATCGAGCCCAGGAGCTTTATATTACTATCACACGAGTTAATGGTTTCCCAAATCTCATCTTCCGTAAACTCCTTTTCTAACATTAAATTCTGCTCCAGAGAAATACGTGAGAAATTCAACTCAAAATCCTCCACTTCCAAAGTTGAAACACTGTTATAGGCTTTAAAGAAATGCTCTCTGACACTAGACTTGATCATGACGGGATCTTTGATAATTACACCATCAACATTAATAGCGTTCAGAGAATTCATTCTCCTACTAATTGAAGCGTATGTATGAAAAAATTTAGAATTTCGATCTCCATCTTTAACCCACTTCTCTAGAATTTTGGCACCAAATTTGCTCCTCGATTCTGTATAGTTTCCAAAGATCATTTCTTAACAGCCTCAACTCTGACGCAATGTCAACAGCATTGGAAGACTGATTTTGCTGCATCCTCTTTTCTAACTGGTGAATTTTGTCTTCAAGAACAGAAATATCCACACGTGGAAACTGTTTCCTATCCCCAGACCAGCTCTTAATGGTAGTCTTTGTATTCCTAAGTATACTCAAAATTCCAGCTCTTATCTTTTTTGAATTCCTTAAAAGACTCCACCTTCTCCTCAAACCCATCCTCAGACATTAAATAGTTAATCAATCTAAAAGGTCTCTTTCCTCAATTATCTACCCCACTTTCAATAAAAATTGCATTATGATCAGAGATAGATTTAGGCAGTAAAAACTGGTTGATCCCAGAGAATTCTGCTGAGAAACTAGCACTCACCAGGAACCTGTCTAGTTTTACAACAGTAGGCAAATCCCTATTACTACTCCAGGTAAAGTTCCCCCCAATAAGAGGTAAATCAATAAGCCCCGTTTGCTAAATAAAAAGATTAAAGATTTCCATAGAATTTCTGTTGTGAGCCCTGCCTTCCTTCTCATCTTCTGATAAATAGGCGTTAAAATCCCCTCCCACACAAAAAGTGATACTATACCTGTTTAAAAACAGTGCCAGTTCTTCAAAGAAACCAGTCTTCTCTTCCTCCACAGATGGACCATAAACGTTTATGAAGCCACACCTAAAATTGTTGGATTTGAACTTCCCGAAAACAGCAATGAACCACCTGTGAATATGATGATCTACTACCACAAAAGAACAAACATCTCAGCAACTTAACATACCACCAGAAGAACCTGTTGCTGGTGACTCAACGAACCCCTGCAACCTATTCAAACCACTTCTCCTTAAGAAAGATCTTGGTAAATTCTCGAGTTTTGTTTCTTGAAGAAAAAGAAAAGTAGGATTTTTCTCAGAAACTAATTTTTGCACAGCTCTTTGCTTCTCTCTTCTACCCAACCCCCTAACGTTCCAAGACAAAATAATAAGCTTTGGCATGATACTCTAAATTAATAATGCCTAAACTCCAAGGATAAACACCCGAACTCAAGAAGCCCCACTCAATCCTTTCTTCAACTCTATAATCTTTTGTAGAAAAGCTTCCTTACCTTCCTTGAAAGATATTCCCAATAACTTGCTAATTTCCCATGCAGCAATAGCTTCCTCCACCTGCAAAGGAAAAGCTGATGAAGATAATGTAGAGACACTAGCATGATCCATAGCATCCCTAATGAGGGATCTTTTAAATCTCCTGTTAATTCTTCTCGCCCTAGGACCATCATCGTCCCTTACAGAAACCCCATCTGCCTCAGCAACTTCAGAAAGACAACCTCTAGAAATTAAAGCCTTGCCCAACTCATCATTGACCACCCCTCGAGATACCTCCTTCTCGTCCCGCTCATACTTCCCATCCTACACATTATGATTCCAAATCTTTCTGCATTTCGACCTACTATAAAATATCTTGTGACTTCTGGTTAGTTTCCTAGCAACCGGGGCAGCCTTCATCGATAACGAGCTTACAGAACCTGCTTGTGAACCAGCTCTTGAATTTAACAACTTCAAACCAACAACAGGCCCTCCTCCATCTTCAATACCGACTGGATCCTTGATTTTATCAGGTGAATAGGTAGGACAACCCATTGATATTGGACCATTATCTTGATCCGGACCACTCAACCTAAGTGTTCCTAGGCCTTTTTGAAGCCCAAACTCCTTGTCAACTATATCAAGCTCATAGGAATCTCCCCCCAAACTCTTCCCACTATCCAACCCTACAGAAAAGGCTCCCGACTTTCCATGCTGAGTGGAGACAACTGTCTCGGTTTCTGTACTTTTACTATGATTCGAGCCTTGAACCCATTCCTGTACCCTTTTATGGGTTTCTGACAACCCTCGTGGCCTATTTGCTTCACCTGAACATCCTCAGCAATTTACGAATATGCTCAAGGCACCACTTGCTTTGCACTAGGGAGACTATCTACTTATTGTTGACAATTTGAATAACTTGTTTTATGTTTCAATTCAGGGAGAGCTGATGAAGGTCTTTGCCAATGATCACAAGAAGATCACATGTGGTAAGTGTATTAATACTTTATGTTTCTGTAGCATTCCTTTTTATTTGTAATGAGTGTGAATTAGGTTTTCTAAAATCAGAGAAAAAACTTAAGGTCTTTTTGTTTCCATGTAATTGGATTTTCGGAAAATGTTTTCCTCATTTTCCAGTGTTTGGCTGGTGGAAAAATAGATGGTCAATGTAATTCATTTTCCTGATCAATTGAATTTCCTTTGCATTTTCTGGAAATGACTTACGGTTTGATTTTTCGTAAGTTATTATATGAACTTTTCATTTCAAAGCCTAAATACTCAAAACATTTTTATTTTATATATTTAATATTAATATACTATTTTAGTATCATTTTAATAAAAATATTATATATTTAATTATATTTATTGATAATTTAATAATATGATATTATATTTTTTAATGTTATAATTATATTATTATAATATATAATAGGGTAAAGTACATAAATGGTCCTTCGACTATAGGTTATTGTTTTATTAAGTCCTTCGATTATTTTTTTTTTTGATAGAAAGTAGGCCTCATTAAAACATCCTTCAAGCCCTGCCATGTTATGAAGGCAACATGAAGGAACAAAGGAGGAAAAGAGTGCCAAGAAACTTTTATTCACAAGAGCCAAAGTACAAAGATTTAACAAACTCCTAAACTTTCAACTGAAGAACATAAGACTTAAAACAAACCACCTAACAAACAGGAAAATCCAATTCCTACTAATCATCACGATCATATAACCCAAAAATCACCCTATCCCATCTTTAGCTAGTTTGTCAGCTTCCCAGTTTGCCGCCCTCAAAATATGCCTAAATATAATATCTTTTCCGGTCAAACTCGAAACTATATCCTTCACCAAGGATAGATGCATAGGGGGGCTTAAACCCGGATTCTGGATCCACTTCAGAGCATTAGATGAGTCATTCGATTATTAAAAGTTACAAAATGATCCTTCGATTATAGAATGTTTCTCTGTTGAGTCACTCAACTATTAAAGTTACATAATGATCACTCAACTATTCATTATGTTCCAAACTCTCTTTTTCCATTAAAAAATAGACAATATTCTGAGCTGAATGTTAACCTGTTAACTGTGATATAATAAAATTTGATCTCAAAATCTTAAACGACTATCATATCCCAATCATCATATTAATGTCTAACTTAAACTATCAATCTTTTAACGGAAAAGGACGAGTTTGAAACATAATGAATAGTTGGCTGATCATTTTGTAACTTTTAATAGTCAATAGACTTAGCAAAGCAACATTCTATAGTTAGAGAACCATTTTATAATTTTTAATAGTTGAGGGACTTAATAAAGCAGTGTCCTATAGTCAGGGACCATTTATATATTTTATGTTTCATTGTCCCTCCATTACCCTTTTTGTCCAATCTATTTAGTACACCTGTCATGACTATACATTTGATAACAGTCTCACAGAAAAAAATGGTGATAATGGGTGAGTTGGAAATTAAGACAGAGGGCTCTCTACCCGTATCCCCATTATATTTACCAGATTAATTTTTTGTTGCTTTTTGCTTGGATGTTTTCTGTACCTTCTATATTTGAGATAGTTAGAATCTCTGTCTAATCCCTTGTTAATTGCTTTTCTCACCCTCTTTTCCCTTTTACTTTTAACAGATCTGGAGATGCAAGCCCACATAGAGAAGACTCTTCATAGGGGTCAAGCTTCATATAAAGTTTCGTTTACGGTATGACTTCTGCACTTTTATAGTTGTTTGTATTGCCCAATTGGGTGATAATGCTTCCATTTAATTCTCTAGTTTTTATTCATTTTATTTAATTACAATGTCAGAACGCTGAAGTCTTTTTATATTATAGACAGGATATCTTGATATATGGGAACCGGCTACGTTGACTATTAAAAGAGATGGTTATAGTATCAAGTGTAGTGGACCCAATGGCCCTGTGGTCACCGAGAAGTTTTACCCAAGCACTCAGGTATGGCTAATTACTTGATTATTCTTTTAAAATCTTGTAAGAGTGATATAAGACAGCTAGGATGTTACAATTTATAACAACTTCTAGGTCTAAATTGGTTGTGGCCCTTGAGAATAGTAGGGATATTGATTGGTGTGATTAATAGCTAGCCTTCGTAACATTAAGCTTCACATCTAGATGCTATGTTTCTGCACAAGACATGCTCTGGTCATTTTATTCGTGTGATCACTCCAATTGATTTGGACAAGCAAAGTTCATGCTCAGGGAACTTTCAGAGATTTCCTCCTTGGTGAGGAGTTGCTCTAGCAATTTTCAGATCTAACTTGATTGTGGTTCTTGAGAAAAGTAGAGATTGATTGATGAAAAGAGAAGACGAAAAATCCCTGTATTTTTTTTTGATAGGAACAGGATGTCTCGCTAAAAACCTCCCTCTAAGAAGTCCACTGCCCTAAGGCAAGAGCCCTCTAGTGGAAGGAGGAAAAGAGTACATCATTTTATTAATGATAGTACAATTACATAAAATTTAAAAACACTCCTACAAAAATACATAAGACTTGATACACTCCTACAAAACCTCCCTCAAAGACAAACAAACCAACTAAAAGCAGTACAATCAGCCAATTCCCTTCTTAGCTAGCTTGTCCGCCTCACAATTACAACACCTAGGAATCCACCTGATAATGAACTGATTTACAGAAACGGCAGACACAATCTCCTTCACAAAATTAGACAGGTAAGTAGGGACTGAACTCTGATCTTTAATCCAATCCACTGCTGTCTTTGAATCACTTTCAATAATAAGCCTACCCTTCGAAGCCCATACAGATGAAACAAAGATGTCAATGCCTACCTTGATAGCCTTCAATTCTGCTAGGATAGGAGTATTAGGACCTGCATTTACTGAAAATGAAGACAGCACAAGTGCACAACCCGATTCCAGTCCCTTAGAATTCCCCCAATACCTGCCACCATCCCCACACTACTCACCGCCCCGTCCACATTCATCTTAAAGAAGTCCTGTGGAGGAGGAATCCAGCGGAACACACTACTGTCCAAAACCTTAGTCTGAAAGGTTATCAGCCACAGAGGGGTCACCAATTAAGAAATCAACCTGAGTTGAAAAAAGGGGATACTTGGCTACAAACCACTTAGGTACTCTGAATCGCACCGTGAAAAACAAGGAAATACTGTCCAACTTTCCTTTGTCGAAGATGATCTCATTCCTTAACTTCCAAATGGACCAAAAAACTGCCCCTGGAATAAACTTCCATATAGCAGAATATGGCCTCAAATCAGCCCATGAACTAAGTAATTTAGGAGGGTCTTGCGGAAGAGCAAGCCGAATACCCCAATATCCAATAATTTTCATCCATAGTTCCCAAGATACAGGACAAGAAATAAATAAATGCTGAACATATTCAGCCCCTAGATTACAAAACGGGCAGAGAAAGTTCTCCCCTAAATCAACCCCCCTTCTCAACAACTCCACTCTCACAGCTACTTTTTGATGTGACAATTGCCAAAGCTTTTCATGCCAAAGTACTATGATCACTCCTATCAATTTGGACAAACAAAGTTCATGATCAGGTAACTTTCAGAGACTTTCCACTTTGGTGAGAAGTTGCTCTAAGCACTATGTGAAGTAACATTTCATTAAGGTTGTACTGCAGATTAGCATAGATGTAAATACCTCATTTTTCAAATTTCTTCTTTGTTCACTTTATGAACCAACGAAAAGTGTTGGCTTTCCCTGGTTTCTCTTCCTAATTACTTTTTGAGAGTAAAGCTAACCTGAGTTAAACATGTTTTTAAGATGTTTGCAATAAATGAATCTAGCACTTAAAGTTGGACCATTTCTGGAAATCAAATCTCACCACATATCATGTTTTTTTATAATTGTGGGGATCCAGGGTTATTCGAAGGTTGAACATATAGACATACAGAAATTTCTGATCCTAGAAATAATTAACATTCGATTTATGAAGTATAACATCGTATTCTGTATGTCTTGTCCTTTAATTACAGTAATCCTTTCATGCAGTATGGAAATGTCTTATTATATTTGCGCCCATGTATTGATTTCTGATGGAAATAATCTACTAGAGTTCCTGATTTTGGCTGCTTTTGATATATTATTTTTTCCTGAGGCATTAGATGGCAAGTGCTCTCATATTTTCATCCTTGTTTTTTTCTGTTGGTATCTTTTTGAGTATTTATTATTATTTATTGTTTCTCTAGATTAAAATTACTTTTGAAGAGCCTATGGAGTTTATGATTATTGGATCGAATGGTGTCCAGCGTATTTTACGAGCGGACAGCAGTTCACAAGATATTAGCTGGTAAGTTCAAAGTTTCTTGTGGATAAATAATCTGAACCCTATTTTTCAACAACTCATCTTCAGGGAGAGACAGTGAAGATGAGACTCTCAATACCCTTCTCATCATACCTCCTGATCCTACTACCACCGTCCCTATCACACAGAATCCAGTAAATCCTAATAACCATGGTATTATCCTGATCCCAGATGCCTCTGCCCTTCCCACAGAAACACAACAGAAAATACCTCTGTCCTTCCCTCCTAAACACTGATCTTATTTAGATGAACTGCCAATTGAACATTGATTTTAAGAGAATATATATATATATATTAATATATATATATATATATATATTACCTATAGATAGGACTCATTTGTGCACTACCAACTAGTGAATCTCTCAACTACTATTCATTTTAGAAATGTGCTTAATTAAATCCTTGGGCCAAGAACAAGCTTTGGCAAACCTTTGAAAGGCCCTTGGAAAGCTGCTTCTGCATACCTCTTCATATTTTATTTAATGATTAAGGAGGGGGGTTAGATGTCCAAAAGTACTGTATGTTTGTCTGTTGTAACTGTCAAGAATAAAAATCTACAGAAGTGTTTTATGAGATTTTGGACATTGTTTTGGCTCCGACTGAGCTTCAGTTTTAATATAATATATAATACCAAAATTTGAAATTGGTGCATGCCAACTTGGTGTCCATCTTATTTTAATTTTCAAGATTGTTTTCATCTATGTTTTAGATTTAAGACAAGTTATACTGTATTTATTTTTCAATCATGGTGGCTGTGTAGAGGTATAAGCTAATTTTTATTTGCATTTTATTTGTGCAGCTCAAGAGATACAATTGTGCTCACCTTGAGATTATTTATCATACGGGTATTAGTCTACACTTTATACTTGTATTTTTACACGCTGAGTTGTGTGATTTTGTTATTCCACATGCACACTCCTATATAGAGACTCAATCCTTATTAGGAGCTTCAAACTATGTCTTTTTTGGCATACTGGATCTATGATCTACTTTTAGACCTTTCCTTCTCATATCATCAGAAAGAATCATATTGATATTGACAGGTTCTTGGTGATACAAGGATGATTTTCCTTTTTTTTTTTGAAAAAATTAAGCTTTTGCTCCGTTTGCATACATATGTTCTTGAAAAGTGTCTTGTTTTTTTTTTGATAAAAGTTGGAGGTCTCATTAAAAACTCCCTTCATATTCGTCCACATACTAACAAGTATGTTAACGAACATTGGAAGGAAGAAAAAAGTACCTCATATTCATTAAATAAAACACCCAGTACATATTAAGACACGAAATATCCTCATACGGGGATAGACGCCATTACAAAAAAAACCAGAACTCACCTCCTCAACCGCAAAGCCCCAGAGATAATCACCCTATTCCTAAGTTACATCTCCAACAAAAGAAAAAACAACCCAACATCTAAGGACTTAATAGAACATAAAAAACAACACTTGCAACCACAAAAACGAAATCAACCGCCTCTGAAGAGAACTCCACTGAAAGCACCATTATGTCCAAAGCCACACAAAAAATTCAGCTCCTAAAGAAATCATAGATGGAACAAAACCACACATCCTTCCTATCAATCAAATTGTCCTTGCAACTTAATTTAAAACTCCTTTCTTTTGCTTGCATTTCTTCACCATACGATTTCTTAATTTCCCATAGAGAGGTGGCACTGCTGAGGAATCTTCCTGTAATTGTATTGCATCACCGGATACACCATTAGAAGGAAAGAGACCCATCATAAGAACATCTTCCGAGGCCCGGGGGCTGACTCCATCAGAAGGGTCAACTGATTATCAACAAGATGCTCCACGATATTTAAGTTTGAATGATCTAAAGCCTCTGTTGTATGAAACCCTGAATCTGAACAAGGGGATGGAGACAATCCAATCCCAATACCGACATACCCGTTTTTAATTAGATCATCCTCCCCAAATTTGTTACTCGAATTCTCAACACCTTTGGCACTCTTCCGGAGTGAAACCTTTTCTAGACTGGCAGCTTCAATTGCATCCTCGCCAAATTTGTTACTCGAATTCTTAACACCTTTGTCACTCTTCCGGAGTGAAACCTTTTCTAGACTGGCAGCTTCAATTGTCGTCGGAGCATTTTAAACTTGAGAACACCGGCGTCCCAGATTGAGAATTGTCCGGTGAAGCCCCAATAGAACAAACAAGATCTAATGAATCATCGTCTTCCTGAAGGACCCAAGAAATTGGTTTGAAGGAAGGCTCAATTTCATGCACAAGGATTTTAAAGAAATTATCACCGACCTTCAAATCCAACGACTTATCAATTCTCACTTGAGCCTTTGTGAGAATTTGAATTTTTGCCCGATCAAAAGACGAAGGAAATTGAGAGCTTTCATCTATTGCTAATAAATTGCCCCACCTAGCTGTAATGTTCTTAAAAGTACCCCAATTCCAAGCGTGAAAAGGAATCCCTTCGCAAACTAACCACACTCGACGGCACTCCACCACCATACTCTCTGACCAAGCAGCAACTTTGGAAAACCACTCTGCAAGAGTCTCTGATTTTTCATTCTTCACATTTCTCAACGTAGCAAAGTCTTCAAATATCATTAGAACTACATTCCCAGCAGCTCTCATTAACGAGAAACCAACGAGGCCTTTATCTTGCATTTGGCTAGCAAGATTGCCGATTTTGATAAAGTTCTTACACCTCCCCATTAGACAGTTTCCCAACACTTCAAGTTTAGCTTCGTCAACAACACCTTCTACTGCATAGAGTATTCCTCGTAACAACTTCCATCCCAGACTTTCGGTAGACAATTGGCGAGGACTTTCTCCAATAATACCGTCAAGGGTTGTATTTAGCCAAAGAGACTCCAATTTTGCTGCCGTCAATGAGAGAACCATTCATGTTTGAGATCGCTTTCCTTGCTTCTTCAATTGTTGTGAAGCGAATGAACCCAAAACGAACCCCTTTTGTTTGTTACATACTTTGCCATTCTGGACTGGTTGACCGTTATTCTTCTCTTAAATTGAAGATTGAAAGCATCTACAGTCCATGCCTGAAAAAATGCACAGGTTTCAATCATGTATTCTTGTTTTTCTGTTTCCCTGTCGAAGGATGATGCTTTCACTTTTTCTTTCTCCTCTATTTTTTGCTCTATTTTGACCGGTAATGGCTTCTATCATTCATTTTATCTCCGAAAGTAGTCATATGGAGCTCAGACCAAAAACATTTTATCTTATTTATCGGTTCATTGATGTATTTAACCTTTTTTTTAAATGATGGGAATCAATTTTCAATCTTAGTATGGTTGTCATACATCTAACCAAGTTTACTTTGTCAAAATCATTACATTAGCTGCATGATTACAATCTAAGATTTTGGCATGTATAATCATATGAAAGTTTCACTCCATGCTGGGCGTTGACTGAAATGAATAGCAATGGATTTTTTCCCTTATGTTTTCGTTCTTGGGTCGTAAGTTCGGTCGTGGTTGAAGGCAGAGAACCATTAATTGTGGGCTCCCTTGAATATTTGTTAGCTTTCAGAAGAATATAATGAGAAGCTGATTAGCTGTAGGACCAAAGATAGTGTTTCGGATGGTTTTGTTGGCCGACATTTTGTAATCCTTGCATTATTTTAAGCAATTGCGTTAACAGGAGATTTTTCTTATTAGCTTTTGCAGGCTGGTGAGAGAAGAAAAGGGAAGAAGATACGTTTATTCTTTAACAAATAAGGTATACATGGTTCGTTCACTGTGCAGCTGAGTTAGAGACCTTGCTATCGAGATCGTGTAGAATTTATGTATATATTTGAGAAATGCCCCTCTTGCTCAACTTGTTGGGTAGTTAGCTTTGGTGGTCTAATATTCTTTACGGGCAGCAACGTTTGAGTTGTAATTGCATTTTGTATCGAAAATTTCGGTCCCCGTTGCTGTCTTATCTTCAGACGGTGACGGGGATTCTGTTTGTAATACTTTCTGACCCCGTTAGGGGTCCATTGTATTTACAGGAATGGTTGCTGGTTTTTGTGACATAAACGCCGTATGGGTATCTTTTGCTCATTCATCATCAAAGAACAGGTGACTTGACACAATTCTGGAGTTTGTCATGAAACCAAAAGAAATTCACAATACGGTGGCGTTTTGATGCTTGCTCCATTTTATGTCAACCATTACCTGGTTCAATTATTCTGAATTAATGAAGTGGTGGAGGTTGGTTGTTTCAGTCCCTCTAGCAGGCAAACGCTGACGTGGCAATGCCACTTATGCAAAGGTGATGACGTGACATTTGCCACGTCAGCAAAAGTTATTTTTAAAAAATAATTATATTATTTATGAATAATTTTCAACCAATACAAATATGACATGTGTCACCTTTTCATTGGCTTAAATATAAAATTTTACTCAAAGCTCACTGTTTCTTCTTCTTCAATTTTCATTCTTTATCGACAACCCTGAAAAAAGAAGAAAATTACTAATCAAAATCAAATTAAACCCAACCTGATTTCACGTCTCCTTCTTGTCAAAACCCTCTCTCTTTTCAACTCCTAAAATCGATTCGTTTGGTGGTTACATTAGCTGGCTATTAAAGGCAATAGAAGATGGAAGGAAAGTATGAAAAAGTTTTAACAAATCTATTATCCTCTCTTCCTTACTAATTCTCTCATATTTCTCTTCTTATCTTTCCTTCTCTATTCTGCTGTATTTTCCTTGCTTATCAATGAAATTCAATTGAGTATTTGAGTCCAAGTTATTAATTACTTGATCCACAACATTAGTGCTTTCGTTGAGAGATTGAGCTATGATGAACGAAAAAGTTCATTGTTAAAGTATATTTTCTACTTATTAATGGGTTCTTTCTGAAAAATCCATTACTTCCACAATAACTTTACATATCAACTATCAAGCCAAATAAAACAGAGAAAGAGATGAAAACAAACCTGTAAAACTTCAGACTGCACTATAATATAACTTGTTTTGAAGCTTTCACCGATTGTCTCCACTCTCCAGTGAACACTAGGGTTTGGGAAAAAAGGGAAAAAATGAATATAGGTGCGATCTCGGGTTAACATATTGGATTTAATTTCCAAATAAATTTGGGTTAATTATGGAGTTGGTCATCAGAATATCAGATTAATTAATATTTTTAAGATACTTACAAATTGGTCACCAAAATTGATTTAAGAAGATTGGGTTAAACATAAATGAACGAACATAAACGAACATAACCGAACGAGCATAAACAAACATAACCGAACGTTCACGAACTGTAAATGAACGAACGAGACCTATGTTCGTGTTCGTTCATTTAATTAAACGAACACAAAATCTTGTTCATGTTCGTTCATTTAATAAATAAACACACATAAACGAACTTCCCGCCGCACGGTTCATAAACGGTTCGTTGAACGCTCAGTTAATTTACAAGCCTATCTAGCATTACTTGCATATAGGGCCAAAAACATTCTTATAATCAATGTTAGAGAAAATATTCTTTTTAATCCAAACAGAAACTAAAAGTTCAAGATATCAGAAAATTATAACTTTTGGTAAGACATGGTTATATGGTTAATAAATTATTTATGAGCTTGAAACTTTTATATCTTCTCATATTAATTTTTTTAAATAAAATATATAATTTATATTTTCATTTTAATGTATATTTATTATAAATTTGTGAGTAAACTACAGGATTGGTCATTTTCCTTCTATATTTGTATATTATTAATCGTTATATTTTGGTCATTGAATTGTTAATTATCGTTGTGTTAATGACGTCAGTCAAAATGGGTTAACTTTTAGTTTTACCCTAAACTTTAGGTAGAATATTGATTTAATCCTAAACTTTGAATGAGTTATTATTTTGATCCTAAATTTTAGATAAAATGTCAATTTGATTCTTAAATTTAATCAAGATCTCATGTTCTTGTCATCAGTCACAGTGTTGTAATTGGTCACCGTTGATTATTAGATCTCAAGATTACATTTCACTCTATTTTGACATTCTGAATGTGAATCTAGTGTTCATTTCATTGAATGTACCTGTAATTTAACAAATCTAGCTTAGAATCTTTCAACTTTCTTTAAAATTAAACCATGACAATAAACTTATTGGTAATATTATTATAAATTGTTTTAAAAAAATAATTATAAATGTTCCAGAGCAAACAAAATTAATCTAACAAGGCAAATTATGTTTCCACAAATAAATTCTCACCTAAATAACACTTGAACAATATGAAAAATAAAGCTCACATGTGTTCTACAAATAAATATACAACAATTTAACTCATAAAGATTGTTTGACGTTGATATTTGCATTTAATAATGTTTTTTTGTTGTTGTTCTTGAGTGTATGTATACATTTTCTATGATTTTCTAGCTGTTAGGGATGTAATAGAGCTGTTAGGTACAAAGAAAAATAACATTTATGGCACGACAAATCGATCCTTTTGAAAATTGGATCACTAGCTATTAGAATTCAAGAGATCAATATTCTGACCAAAATGATTGATATTTTTTTTCTAATGGATTGATCTTTTAAGCAAAGATTTTTAGGAAACTAATTTTTAAGTACAAAAATGATCGAGTAATTATTTGAAAATATTTAAAATGAGCTTTTGAACTTATTTTGAACTTTAATTTTTTAATAAATTTTAACAAATTCAGTTAAGTCAATTTTACAATTATTTGTTATATTAAAATACAACAAAAGATAAAGTCAGATTGTTAAATGTTGCTCGTAGTTGATGGAATCAAGCATAAAGATCTAGACTCAATCAAAGAATACGCTTGACTTCAATATAAGATTAACGCCCAAATTAGGATTCTTGATTATGATTGCCAGAAATTCAAACAAGAAGAGGATGGTTAGATTATGGTGAATAATGAACAACAGTTAAATGAAAAGAACAAAATAATGATGAATCAAACAAACGAAGAAACAATAATCCATAAAACTCCCTCAGGCGAAAGAATATGAGTTAACACAAACCCTAGGGTTATGAAATTGGTTGAAGATAGTAAGCATCAATTTGAATAAAAAATCCAAACTGAAGCAACTAATTGGATTAAAAACAAATTAGGTACCAAATTGAACCATGAAACAAAATTTAGGTACCTAATTGAGAGAAAAAACTACTATGTGATAAAGAGAAAATTGGGGCCTACAAGGCAAAGCCCTTAGCTTCCCTACCGTCGAAGTTAAAGACCCCAATAAGCTCCAAGCTGTGGGGCTTAAACCCCCAAAACCCAAGAAAAACCCTTGGTTTTTGGTCGGAGGAAGCTGAGATCAGAAAATGGCAGGTCCTATCCTTCTCCGTTCTCTCTTCTCCTCCACCTCTAGGAGATCCCTTTCCTCTCACTTGGCCCCACTGCCCCGCCTCTACCGCCGCTTCTCATCCGGCCCTGCCGCCGCCGCCGCAACAGAACCGAGTGCATATTTGGATCCTGGTAGACTTCGGAACGTGGCAGTGGTTGCGCACGTCGACCACGGGAAAACCACGCTCATGGACCGGCTCCTGAGGCAGTGTGGAGCAGACATCCCCCACGAGCGAGCCATGGACTCCATCAGCCTCGAGCGCGAGCGTGGTATTACCATTGCTTCCAAGGTCTACCTCTTCTTCTTCATACTCTTTACATAATTCCAATAGCAGTTAAGGTTAAGTAACATAATTTTTGGTTCATTCAATGATACAATTGAACAATTGCAGGTCACTAGTATTTCATGGAAAGAAAACGAGTTAAACATGGTTGATACACCTGGGCATGCGGATTTTGGTGGTGAGGTAAGATGCAAGATACATATTTTGGTACAAAAAAGTTTGTAATTTGATTCGTTGTTATACTAATCATCTAGAGAAACACTTTTTCTGTTCTTTATTTTGTCATTCAAAAGTGAAATGGTGAGCATAATTTGCACTCTTTTGAAACCTAAAGCATGCAACTTACTGGGTTTTGCTTGCTAAATCTTCAGGTTGAACGGGTTGTTGGCATGGTTGAAGGAGCAGTATTAGTTGTTGATGCTGGTGAGGGGCCACTTGCACAAACAAAATTTGTTCTTGCCAAAGCCTTGAAGTATGGGCTGCACCCCCTTCTTCTATTGAACAAAGTAGACCGACCTTCAGGTATAAAATTAATTGGTATTTTTGCTTCATCTTTCAATTTACTGAAACTGAAATGTCGAATGTTATTTCATGATTCTTTATTTTTGTAAGAACGTTTACCTGTTGTTGTGGAATTACTATCTATCTTGATATTTTTATCCCCTTTTCTTTTTTCTTTTTTGTTATGCAAATGGAAGAATCCTTAGACCTTATGTCATTTTGTTAATGATGCAGTATCAGAGGAGAGATGTAATGAAGTTGAGAGTCTAGTATTCGATCTTTTTGCAAATCTTGGTGCTACAGGTGAAGTTCTATGATTAACCTGTTTCAGATTTGTTGACCTTGACCCTATTCCTAACCTGGTTAATTGTATGATATTAATAATTTTTCTCATATTTTCATTTCAGAGGAACAGCTTGACTTTCCAGTCCTCTATGCTTCTGCTAAAGAAGGTTGGGCATCTTCAACCTATACTAAAGATCCTCCTGCTGGTGCAAAGAATATGTCACAGTTGCTTGATGCCATTGTAAGGCATGTTCCTCCACCAAAAGCAAACCTTGATGGACCTTTCCAAATGCTGGTTGGTATTTGTTACCGATTGACCACTTCACAATGTGTCTTTGGGTTTTCAATAGGAGAAAAGGAGGGGTTGTGCTCCCACCTGGGTGTTCTACATTTGTACCTGGTCCTTTTTTTCCTTCCTCATTTCTTTCATGCTGTAAATTTCTTATTACATGATAATCATTTCAGGTTTCCATGATGGAAAAAGACTTTTATCTTGGGCGAATTTTGACTGGGCGTGTCTCATCTGGAATAGTTCATGTTGGTGATAAAATACATGGTTTGCGAAGCATCGAGTCTGGAATTGAGAAAATTGAAGAAGGAAAGGTTTGAGGCTCTATATAGCCTGGTTTTGGTTGGAAGTAGAGGAATAGTTTTACTTAAAATCATCATCTAAATTGAACTTTTGAATTTATGTTTTTGTGGTTAATGATGCAGCCCAGTGCTTATTGTCTAAATGAATTCTGGTATGCACATTAGAGTTAGAATATGCCAATAATATTTATTTGTGCAATATGTTAAAATTTACTAGAAATAATTGCTTTGCTATATTAACACTTTTTTATTCTTTTCTATCACTTTGCTATATTAACACTGGTTTCATACTTTTCTATTGCTTTTTATGGTCTAATGGTCAATTTGGTGTTCTCTACTTTTTTTACAGTAATAGTGAATGGATCTAGTACCCAAATTTTCATTGAAGTCTGTAATCCATTTTGCAAAGGAGTCGCTGCTAACCTAATATCCAACAGCAATAGGGATATTGAAAAAAACATGCATGGAATGACTAAAACTGGATATTAGAAAATTTGTTTCCCAATTAATATTTCCAGTGCATATGAATGAGAGATTTTGAAAGGGCACTTCCTCGCAAATTGATTTGAGAGCTTGTACATTACCCGTATCAGAAGGCAAGTGTTAGATACAATTATGTGTCCAATTCAGGTGTTCTCAACTTTTTCCATATATTTGGAGGATCTTACCCTTACCTATATCTGACTATGTGTTGGACACATTTGGACATCGGTACTTTAGGGTGAATGAAGAGTCTGGGTAACCTAGGAAAATTTTAAAAAATTTGATCTTGTCCAGTTATTTGTGAAGGGTATTTTGAAGGCCAAACTACTCGACTGAATTAGGCTAGCATCGTCAACAATTTTATCTTATCTATGACCTCGGAATTCTATCTATTTTTGTCTTCTCTGTTTCTCCGTTTTTTATCAAGTAGACTAGCATTTAAACCTCCCCCAGTCTTCTCCTTTTCTTGCTCAGCCCAGCACTGATGGTTCGTAATTCATCCTTTCTTTCATCTCTCTCCAATCTTTATTTTCCTTAATGTGTTACTTTTTTTTCTCTAGCTTACAAAACCTCAAGATGTGACTTTAATGATCATAGAAATTACTGGATGGCTGTTTGGTATTTCATTTGAGATTAATGGATGTGGTGCGGATTCATGAAATTTTCAGATTCTCAAATGGTGCTACAATGTTGTGGCTGGAAGGGGGAGTAATTTTAAATTCAGAATATTTACCCTAATCACTCATTTCTCAATTCCCAAAACAACTTTCGATTGCATAGATTTTAATTGTGCAATTTTAAATTCCATGAAATTTTTAAATATCCACCGAAAGTCAGTAGAGGTGAATATATAAACAGGGTCAAGACATTTCTACTTTTAGGCCAAATTTCTCTTAAGTCTTTATAAGTTGATATTCTTGTCCTAATCTCATGAGTATACTTAAGTCATGCCAATATTGAATGCAAAGCTTGCCTTGTAGGTTGTGAAGCTAATGAAAAAGAAGGGTACAAGCATGGTTCTTATCGATAGTGCAGGAGCTGGTGATATTATATCAATGGCTGGGCTCGGCAATCCATCAATTGGCCATACAGTGGCAAATGCAGAGGTATGCTTTTATCTTACTATAAAGCTGAGTGCTCGTGACTTTACTAGTTTTACTGTAAACTAGGAATTTTTAATTTAATCTTGTTAGTTATGTTCTTCCGCAATGCAAAATCTGCTGGTGTGAGCTGTTTAGGTTGTTATGGTACCATGATCTACAGTTTTCAACTGCATGTGATGATATGCGACATGACTCACTTCCGTGTTCACCCATGTTGATAGGCAGTGGTATATATTCCTATGTAGTGTACTTACCTGCAATTTGGTGGCACCTGTCTGGGTCCTCTGGGATTTGGGGCCCTAACAATTGTACCCAGGAAAATCGTTTCCATCATCTTCTGATATTAGGTAAGACAAAGAAGTTAAGCCAATTAACTTTTTTTTTGTTTTAAAATTTCCCAGTTAACGAGAAATGTCCTGGGAATTGCCTTGATCTAAGACAGTTTCCTGTTACCCAGTCCCTTTATCTTCCTTCTTTTCATGACTACTTCATCTCCTTTGTCTTGTAGTTCTCTCCAAAACTTTCTGGCCCCACTTCTTTAGGATCTTAACTTCTTCCTCCTCTTTGTCTCTCTTCTCCAACTGTTGCTTTCTAGCTGCCACTTCCTTTTTTCTCCATACAGAAAATTCTCTAGCAAATTCCTTGTTTTTTCTTTAAATCTTCCTGTTTTGTCTACTACTGTGGCATATTATACATTTTCTGCAAGCTAGTAAGGATACCTATGGTGATTTTCTTGACTTTCAAGCTTATATCAGCGGCGTACTGATGGGTTTTCGTTTGATTTTATTCCAACTGTTATAGTGTTATACTGTTATTGGTTCTGGGCTATAGATAATGATGATCATCACCATCACCTTTGACTCAATTTGTTCCAGTTAGTCAATCCTGAAACTTAGACTTTTATTTTTCAGAGTTTGTAATCAAAAGTTTCTTGAAGCTTTATGTGGGTTTTGTCTTTTGCCTTAGGACATGAATCCTTCTGTTTTTTAATGAAACGCTGTCCAATCCCTTTTAAAATTCATTGTAAATTTTGAAATCCTCCGTTATTTTTTACTCAATAAGTAAATTCATTTTTGAAATTTTAAAAACCCTGATACAAATGGAACTCCTCAAAATCCCAACACATTCGTAGTTTTTCTATTCATTCAGAAGATAAAGACTAATAATAATTGCGTAAATATTTTAGAGCTTATTATACTATGGTCACAAAGTTTTAATCCTAGCTCTAGATTTAAACCCAAAAGATAATTTATAATCCTAAACTTAGCCTGAAACCCTAACGATAACTAATAATACTAGCCGTCTATCTATGTCTACTAAAATAAATAAGAATAAAATAATAAAATAACATAACTGTACAGCTCCTGCATCAGTACATGTATGCATGCATGTACAAGCACATAGGAAGAAAATATTTTATTTAGAGCATCCAAAGCTCACCTGGTACCAAAAGAACCACCCAACATGCTGGAACTGGAACCTGGAATAACCTGATTTGACCACAAAAGTCAAACAACAAAATCTAAATCCAACTGATCCTCAAGTAGTAACATTTGTGTAATTTAATTTGCTCTTATTGTCTTTTTATATGATCTATTGTTTATTTATTTTTATACTTGGCCTTTCAATATCTTTAACTAAATTGGAGAACTGTGGCATTATGGAGAACTTGGGAGTTCAGATTTAACCAGAAGTGTTTAGATTTGTTCTATTGTGAAACGCAACTTGCACTTATTGTGACTTATGTTTACTTTTAATTTCTGTTTTGCAATAGGATTTTCAATTCATCATGAATGGTTCATATAACCGTACATTTTCTGTCCTTCAAATTTGAATGGCTGCCAATTTGATATTTCACTCTAGTACATGTATTGTACAGAATGCTATTTACATGTTGCATATTCCATTTAGCATCTCAAGAGTCCTTTAAAGGTTGGCAGATTGGATCTGTACAGATAAATTGGATTTTTCTACATTTGTTAGGTGATGACTGCATTGCCAACCGTTGAGTTGGATCCCCCCACCATTTCCATGACTTTTGGTGTCAATGATTCTCCATTAGCTGGTCGTGGTGGTACCCATGTAAGTTGTATACTTGTCTGTTGTCCTTATCATCATATACTTTGCTATTTTTATTGGCTTTTTGGCTTCCTATTAATTTTCATCTGTTCAATTGCTCAAAGTGGTATCAAATTGAGGACTAATCTCCATTAAATGGCTTTTTAGTTCTAGTATATTTTGCAATATTTTCGTGAATACTCATTCTCCTTTCTTGCAGAAAAGAAATATCATTTTGTGTTCAATATAAGTATTCGATGTTAATTAATATTTTACTAATCAAATATTAGCATTCTAGTTTATCTCTAACTCTAATCTAATTTGTAGATAAGGATAAAGTTCACTTAGCTAGGACTCTTTACTTGGACTCTAGCACTTCTCTTGTATAAAACTTACTGTACTGTTTCTATGATGATTTGACATGGTGAATAAAAGTTTTCTTTTCACCAGTAAAACACACTTTGTACAAAAATATTACAAAATATTTAAAAGCTCCTGCGTCAAGTTAGATTAGAGAATGAGGGTTTTAGAATAGGGAAATCAGATGAGAGAGAGACAAGAGAGGAGAATTCCCTGAATATTTTTCTCATTAATGACATTTTCTCCATCCAACCATCTTTTGTTAATTCTGTTACCACCGTGTGAACTGAATACAATGACATCATCCTGTTAAGGCTTTAACAAGTGACTTATAAAACTCATCGTTTCGATAATACTAAACTCTCAATTTTTTGTAACAGACTTATCACAACTAAAACAATTCAAACAGATTCAAACAATACAATCTCAAAACAATTCTTATTAACACTACTTAATGTCTGGCATAGATTATATATATATATTTTACGAGAAATTTAATGTTTAGATATCTAATCATTGTTTGTTGGCAACAATCATATTAATCAAGAACTTGCAATCATTCTTATATTTGTAACTTGACTACTTTGAATGAAAAGAAAAAGTAGAATATTTTTTTATAAGAAAAAGGGCCTCGTTAAAACCCCCCTTCATAACCGTCGAGCTACATAAGTAGAATATAGAATAGATAGAGGTAAATTTGGTTCCATTAATGTTTCTAAATTATGTATGTTGTTATTTAGTAGTTATATAGCTATTGCCTCCAATTGTTTTGTCGAATCTTTTTTTTTTGATAAGAATGGGAGGTCTCGTTAAAACCCCCCCTTCTTATCTGTCGAAATACATTATAGTATTACAACGAACATTGGAAGGAGGAAAAGAGTACTTCAATTTCATTTTGCCACAGTACTATGTGCCTATATGCTGCTAAGACTTAATTTTAGAATTACTGCAACTCATCCAATCAACCTGAGGTAATATGTGCGCTGATAAATTTTTGTAGTTGACTGGAGGAAAAATTGGTGATCGGTTAATGGCTGAAGCTGAAACAAATCTGGCCATAAATGTGCTTCCAGGCATAGCAGATTCTTTCGAGGTTCAGGGGAGGGGAGAACTGCAGCTAGGTTTGTTGCCCCGCCTTTGCACTGTTCCCCCCCCCTATGGATGGTTAATGGTTTAATTACTTTAACATAGAGTGCTCTGCATCTTCTTCATCCTCAACTTCAACATGTAGTTGGCATCAAATTTTTGTGTGGAATGTAATTTGTTGACATGTGTAACAGGTATCTTGATTGAGAATATGAGACGTGAAGGATTTGAGCTATCTGTTTCACCACCGAAAGTGATGTGAGTTTTCTACAATGCTTCCACGTCTCTGTTTTGTCATACCAATTATATAATGTGTTTATGCATACATAATGTGCTTAAGATGTATAATTGTGATAAAATCTAGAAAGTGATCTAGTTTGTCATACAATATATAAAAAAAATTCTTTTTCTTTGTTGGCCAACATGCATGCTTTCCTAATGGTTTGGTGTTCTACTCAAAACATTAAGAAGTGGAGAGTTGACGTTGTCCCATAATTTTAGTATTAAAGGTAATGAAAAATATTAAAAGCTAAAGTAATTAAATTAGAACTTCAGTTATGTGAGCTCTTCTCAATGTTTGAGTATTCAAATACAAACTTAGAATTATAAGATAATCATGCATATTCAGCAAAAATGGAAAAAATAATTTTTTTTATGTCTTGTATGATTAATAAATACTACTTTTTATTGGTTTATCATTAGAATTACGTATGATGATTCTTAAGGTTGTTTTATTTGAATTTTACTTCTTCGTGTTTGCCTTAGGGAATGTAAGAATTCTAGTGCCTAGAGTGTGCCTTGATACAGCTTTGCATGATGCTAGTTATTGACTTATATGAATTGAAATTTGAAGGTTTTGATACAAATTTGAACACTTGCATTTTATGACAATTTTGAATCTAATCGTTTTTCTTATAAACATAGTGATTTCTTCAATCTTCAATTTCATGTCCACTTTACAGTAAAAACTATGATTCGTCTGTTCATAGAACTTATTGGGATTTTGGAAAGCTAAATTTAGGGTTAGCATGGTGCTGATCATTGACATTTATGAAATTGAAAATTGATGATTTTCATACGAATTTGAGCCAATGCTTTTGGAGCAATTTTGATTTTAAAGGGAACATTCTTTATGTGGTCATGGCCACTGTTTGGACCTTCATGGCTAGCTGACAACCAAAATCATAAGAAACTAACTTAAATGCATCTTTGTACCTTAAATCATATCCTGTAGATTACGTTCCAATTTTTTTAGTCTGGCTAGATCCGTTTAGATGCATGTAGTTGTTACTTGCAAATGATATTTTCTTTTCCTTGGAAATATTCTTGTTTAACACCAGGTATAAAATTGAGAAAGGTCAAAAGCTGGAGCCTATTGAGGAGGTGACTATTGAGGTAAGTAATACAGATTTAGGCATATTAATTTGTTTACTTCTATTATACACTTTTGAACTTGGCAAATAAATTTGTTCATACAGGTGAATGATGAGCATGTGGGGTTAGTTATGGAAGCTCTGTCTCATAGGCGAGCTGAGGTTGCAGACATGGGTCCTGTTGCTGGAAATGTTGGTAGAACTAGACTGTCATTGACCTGTCCATCAAGGTTAGTTTCTTTCTTTTCCCTTTCTTTCTTTCATTCGTTCTTTATTTCTTATGAGCATTCTATTTTGGTTGCAAAAGTGATCTTCCCCTCCTTCCCTCCCATGAAGGGGGGTGGGTCAATGGGGATAAAGGCGGATTTTCTTTTGGAAATTGCAATTCTTCTTCAACCCAGAATACCTTTTGGTTGATGATTTCTTCATAAACCAAAAATTTGTGCACGCGCTTTTCCTTTTTGAGAAGAAAAATGAAATAGCAGGGCCTTGATTGTTTCTTTTACCAACTTCTTGCAGTATGTGCCATAAGTTCATATACATTTATGTACTGATGAAGTAACACCATTTCTAGTACATCCAAAAGTTAACGAATGAAATTTCAAAACAATACAATCATGGCAGTTAGAGAATTATGTGATATTTCATAATGCATCATTGCATTCCTATCAAAAAAAAAAAAAAATAATGCATCATTGCATTATAGAAGTTTTTCAGCCCTTGGGCATTTCCCTTGATTGATTGCAGTCCACTCTGAGACGTTCAGTGTGAGATCTTGTGGCTAATCCTTTTAATGTGCAGCAAAAGATAACAAACTGACAAACAATTTAGTTAGTGTAATAGATGTATCTTGTTCCAGGATATCAGGTCGTAGAGAAGGGCATGTTGTTAAATTAATATTGACTAGGCGGGGATGGTGGTTTAGTTCAGGGTTTGTTTATGTAAGAGGTGGTTTACTTTTCAAAAAAAAAAAAAATCTAAGAGGTGCTTTTGTTTTGAGGAATTTTAATTATCATGATATCATCTCTCTGTATTTGCGAGTATTGCAAATGACGGTATTGGAGTAGTTGAGCTGATTGTAAGAACCGCTCAATGAAGCATTTGTACACACACATACAATGATGATAATGATCTTTTCTTTTGTGAAAATTCTATCTGGATGTTGTTTAGTTTGTTAGGCTGATTTTATTATGAGAATAGGGAAAATTATACTTTTATTTTCTATACCAGGGGCCTGGTTGGTTACAGAAGTGTGTTCAGCAGTGATACACGTGGAACTGGATTTATGCATCGTGCTTTTCAATGTATGTATATCTGCCTGTTGTTTCCCCTTTTTGGTGTTTTCCATTTCCATTGCATCTTGTTGTATCTGGAATCTGAATCTTTTGGTTGTATGGAAATAGAGATTATCCATTCCCTTGTTTTGGTCCATTAATGATAACATATTGAATGAGCATGTCCTTTCTTTATATAAGAATTTTGTATTGTGAAAAAGAACAAAGAAAGAAAGAAAGAAAAGGTTTAAATCTGCATGCCATGGTTCACATAATGTTGTTAAATTTTTTTGAGTCTGCTTAAGGTGTGGGCTTTTTATTCTATAATTTATTAATTTTCATAAATGTATTCTAATGGGACACATGCCAACCCTTTTAAGTTACTTGTCGAGTTTAACACTTATCGGCTATGTATATGGTAATTTTCTTTGTCGACTTATTATTGTATGTATTGACGGTGGAATTTTCAGACACCATGAGATGGGTTTTATACATCCATGTAGTGTTATTACTTTTAAATATACCTAATGAGACAAGTATCAGTTATCAACCCGTTTAGACTGCTAATGGAGCTTTTAACTCCAGTATTAGTTTAGAGATAAGTTCCTTGGAAAGTGTCGATCCTCAAACACCGATTGTGAAGTTTACAATCTCAGAGTCAGTTTACAAGATACTTTTCCTAGGATTGTTAACTCTTTCCGTTATCTGTTTCTCTTTGCAGCATATGAAAAATATCGGGGTCCTCTTGGAAATGTCAGGAAAGGAGTATTGGTATGTTTGCCTAATACTTTCGTGTGACTTAATTACCATTTTATTTTCTCTTATAATTATTATCCTTTGCTTTTTGTTTAGAGTTTAGACACATTAATCAAGAGCTTCTTTAAATGACGTTACTTTTACTGAGAATACTAGATAATGTGCGAGTAGTCATTGAAAATGTAATACGCATGTAACATATTATTTGGCTTTCACTATACCCCTATTATTAGTGTGAGAATACTAGTTTTTAAGATAATTAACAATTGTTTTTTTTATAGAAATAATTAACAATTGTTAATGATCTGAATATTTATACACCAAAGCGTATATATTTTGTGCTGAATCTTCACCAAGTTATGCTTATTGTTTGCTCTGAACAGGTATCAATGGGTTATGGTACAATCACAGCGTATGCATTGATGAGTTTGGAACCTCGTGGAACTCTTTTTGTGACCCCTGGGATGGAGGTTGTTTCCTTGTTGAGATTACTGATTTTTCATTTGCTTATGCACGCTCCTATTTCATAAGTTATTGGCATTCCAGTGGGTTATTTGATCGTTGTTAGTAAAAATTAATTTGGTAGGATTATGCAACCGGTGATGTTAATTTTCAGTCCCCTCACCTTCTGTAACCACTCTCAGACCCATTACTATGGACTTATTTTGAGAAGGTGATAAATGTAGGGTACATGCTCATTTATTCTGAATGAAATCTAGCGGATTTAAGAATCTTCAAGTCAGCAAGTCCATAACACACTTAAATTAGTCGTAGGAGACAATTATAACCAAACAATAGTTACCTTGGTGGTGATGCTTCTCGGTAAATATAGGACTCGCCTTCCTCTGTGTTTAAGGATGCTGTGACAGCTGTCTCTATTTCATAGCCAGCAATTCATGATAAATTTCTAGGTTCAGTACTTGAACACCCAGGAAGTTGAGTCTTATTTTTAACGAAAGATATCAGCAACGAAAGTATCTATATTCTTTGGTTGATTGAGGCACGCTTTATCAACCAAATGATTAGGTATGGCTGCATCCGTATGGAGGTAGCAATTAGGCGTATTGGGTGACTTCAGGTACGAGTCATTTTAGGTTTTCAAATTTTAAAATTAATTCAAATGAACATAGCTGCACAAACCAAACGACCTCGATGGTAAAGGAGTTGTTATTCCTTGAGGTATCGGATTCGAGCACCGTGAATGTCAAGGGTATGAGCATTCAATGTCAAGTGGTTGAGAGTGTTCTTTGAACATATACTACTTTGTCTTTACTCTAGATTACTCAACAAAAAAAAATGAACATAGCTCTTTTTTGAAATAATAGTTTATACAATTGTATTGTTTATTTATTATTTACATTAAGTGTAAAATAAGCAAGTGTTACTTCTGGATTTGGGTTGTTAACTTCTAGATCGAGAACAGGTTGCATCAAGTACCTGTTGTCCAAGATGTCTGGTTTCTTTAAGATTAAAGCTAGCTCTACTTTAAAAGCATAACCTTTTTTATTTATTTTGTTGGCTCACAGGCATATGATGGCATGATAGTTGGTGAGCATTCACGTGATACAGATCTTGATGTAAGAAAAGATCCAGTTCCCCTTCAGCAGGCCTCGTTTTCTTCATGGATGGCTGACCCTTTTGCAATGGCTCCCTTATTGCAGGTGAATCCAGTAAGGAGTAAAGAATTGTCAAATATGCGGGCTGCTGGCAAGGATGAAAATGTCAAACTCTCTCCTCCAAGACTTGTACGTCTTCGTATTTACCCTTTAAGTTTGTTATAACATGACCCCCATATTGTATTTGCGAGGTATATGCATATTTTCTTTCCATGTGAAATATGGATTGTTCTTCCTTATCCTCCTTTAGTTGAAATTAATGAGGGTGCTTCATCATGAAGATTTTTAGGACCAAATATTGAAAAGCATTTGGAACATGATAAAATCAAGGGTAAACTACATGTTTAGTATCCCAATTATCACTTTTGTTCCGTTTTGGTCACCAACTAATTTTTTTCTTCAAAATCATACCTAACATTTAGTTTTGGTTTCATTTTCGTCATCCGACGTTAAAAAATTAATGGTGATGTTGACATCTCATCATAAGATAATGCCACGTCATCACTGAAAAAAAAATGACACGCCAATGATTCTGCTAATATTTTAACATTGGGTAACTAAAATGAAACCAAAACGTAATGTTATGAATGAAGAATAGTTGGGTGACAAACAAAATAAAAGTGATAGTGGAGGTATTAAACGTGTAATTTACCCTAAAATCAAATGTGATTTTAGCTTTGCATTTGACATGATTGTGCTTTATGTCCAGATGACTCTTGAAGAAGCTATTGGTTATGTTGCTTCTGATGAGCTTATAGAGGTACGTCACTCTTTGATGTTGTGCTTTCCATTTTTGATTCATTAGTCTTTTTGGTAAGGTGTTTAAAGTTCGGTTTAAATCGGTTTAACCGATTGTACCGAAATTTTTTTTAGTTAATCGATCGGTTAACGGTTGATGATTTTTTCAAAACTTTGGGTATTGGTTAATTCGGTTTGAAATCGATCGGTTAACCGAATTAACTGAATCAAACAAAATTTATTAAAAATTTAGTATACTATATATATTATTTATATATTAAAGTGTTTAAACTTCGATTTTAACCGAATTAAGTGACCAAATTAGTCGAAAATATAAAAAAATTAATATATAATATATATTATTTATAAATTTCGGTTAATTAGGTTAACTGGTCGATTAAACGAACTGACCGATTGAACACCCTACTTTTTGGCGGAGGTTTTACAAATTCAGATGTTTTTGCTAATTGTGGAGTGGCTAAATGAATGTCAGGTTACACCAAAAACCATCAGATTAAGGAAGAGGTATCTGGATGTTAACAAGCGCAAAGCCATGAGTAAGAGGATGAAAGACTGACCGACTCTTTCCCGAACATATTATTTTGTGGAATATATTAAAAATTATTCTTGTTTTCACAAAAATAATAAGGGGCAGGGGGATGAAAAATAAATTTTATTTGGTTTGAAGATTGTATGTTTTATCGCAATAATTTTTTATCATTCCTCTGAATTATACTCTCTTATTTGACTCATCTTGCTTTCAATTTTTCTAATTTACTCACTAAACTTTTGAATTGCTGTTGTTTTGATCATTATGAATTATTTTATTATTTTTTTGTATGAGGTGACATTTTTTTTATTATTTAATGTAAAATAATTTAAAATATAAAATGAAAACAGAAGGTCTTCGAACACCACTGTCGGTCGTCGTTGTCGATTATCGTAGATGGTGGTCGTTCAATCTCAAATTTCATGGGTGGCTTCACTTCGACACTGTGAGTTTGAATTTGACTTCTATTTTATCAGAATTTGCTCCGAAGTCTATGAATTAGAGATTGAATGTGAAGAAGCCGAAACATTTTAGTTGAGACATTTTCTTGTGAAATAACCACTATATTCGGTCTCAGGGGTTGAGATGAATCGACCTATGAAATTTAGGACTGAATGATTATCATCTTTATTTTATATTAAATAATAATAAAAAATAGCATATCATACAAAAATAATAATAAAATAATTCAAAGAGAGCAAAACAAGAGCAATTCGAAAGTTCATCAAGTGAATTAGAAAAACTGAAAGTACGGTGAGTAAAATAGAAGAGAGAGTATAGTTCAGTGAGGAATGATGTAATTTACCATTTTTTTTTTAAATCGATTGGTGATGATTCTCTTAGCTGTGCTTTTAGCCTTCTATCTTCTCTGATGTTCAAGTAAAGCGATGTACACAGAAGACTTGCCCCGTTGAAATTCACAAGCGCAAATAACATGAATAAACAGCCATTAGTGAACCAAATGATAAGCACATAATAAATGAACCAAAATGCGTCTCCAAAAAATCACCGATTTCGTTTATTTATAAGCACAATACAAAAACCTGGCAGTGCAGTGCTATGGGGACTGCTACTTCCACTCTTTTACTTGTATGTTGTGCCTTGCGGATGTGCTCAGGAGTCAGGGGTATGGTGCCATTACAACTGCTCCGTGCGATACCGACGATGGTTGATCCGACACGGCCGGAAGTACGAGTGGGCATTACGGTTCGAGATTTATAAATCGAATGCTCGGTTCATTCAATTCTCGAAACCTATCATTCAAGTTGATCAACAACAAATTCTCGGACATGTTCAATGATGAGTTCAGATCTGTATATTTGGGTTACCAGAGTACTAAGATTTCCTAATGAGACCAAGAGCTCTTGACAAGACAAATATCATGACTTGCCCGAAAGCATAGACTGGCGAAAGAAAGGTGCCGTGACCGGAGTCAAGGATCAAGGCAACTGTGGTATTGCTGAGTTAATGAATTGCTATCATCACAAGTCTCAAGATGATCATGGGTCTTGGTGTATCGAATTTTCGGTCCACCTGATTTGACATGAAAATTATAAAATTTTCACCCGATCCGAAAAATATACACCTTTCGCCTAACCCGAATCCAACCCGATTTTTGAGATAAAATCCAAACCCGACCCAATCTGAAATAATATATTTATTAAAAATATTTTTTTTTCAATAATAATAGGGATTTAATTGAAAGAAAATAATATATAGAGATGTATTATTGCAATTATTCTTAAATATATAAGATAAAATTATATTTTTTATCGGGTAGGGTCGGATCGAGTATTTTTCACACTAAACACGAACCCGACCCGAACCTAATTTTTTTTTTTAAATTCTATCCGATTGAGTCGGGTCAGAACTCGTCAAGTTCGAGTCTCATGTCCATCCCTAATCACAACAAATTTAAAACACCAGGGTAAAGTACATAAATGGTTCCTTAACTATAGGATGTTGTTTTATTGAGTCATTGACTATTAGAAGTTATAAAATGACCTTTCGTCTATAGGATGTTGCTTTTTTGAGTCATTTAACTATTAAAAATTATGAAATAGTAATATGACCGTTCATATGTTTCTAACTCGTCTTTTTCCATTAGAAAGTTAACGATAGTTTGAATTGGACGTTAACATGTTGGTTGCAATATGATAACCATTTAAGATTCTGATATCATATTTTATCATATCTTAGTCGGAGGTTAACTTCTAGTCAACATGTTAATGTCCAGCTCAGACAGTCATTAATTTTTTTAACAGAAAAAAATGAGTTCGGAGCATATGAATAGTCGAATAATTAGGGGTGACAATGGGGCGGGGCTAGAACGATTTTGAGTTACCCATTCCGTCCCCAACATTTGCGGGTACAATTTTAGGGAATTCCAATTATATGTTTCGAGGATTTTTTATCCCCATACCCATCCTTTACGGATCCCCGCGGGTTTTGGTTAATCTTCATCCCAAAAAATAAACAAACATTTTTGAAATCAATGCAACACCTACAACTTGCAAGATATATCAGAATGTCTCAAATTAGTCTCTATCTATAATATGAAAGTTTCAAACGATAATATTAATCTAACACTTAATGTATATGTACAATCTTAACCATTTTCAATCTCAACAAATCAATGTATGTTAAAAGAGAAAATATATAAACTTCAATTTTGGTTCCTTTGAGATATAACACTGACAACACATAATTTCACAGATATTTTTCGAGGATCCCCAAGGTTATTTTTATAAAATATCTTGGGATCCCTACGATTATTTTTCGGGGAACTCTACGATTATTCACAAGAGTATAGTTTGGTTATCCCCACGGTTCGGATATAACAATCCCGTCCCCATCTTTATTTGAGCTTTAGGGATAAAGCTTCCCTCATCCCTATCCCGTGGGTAAAGATTTCAGTTATTCCTCATTCTGTTAGTTCTAATCCCTATAATTTTCAATTTTTCCCAACCCGATTATCACCCTACGAATAGTCATTTTTTAATTTTTAATAATAAAATAACTAAATAAAATAATATCTACCAAAGATTATTTTATAACTTTAAATATTCGAAATATACACAGTAAAATTTTCAATTAACCATTTGTACCATTATTGGTGGCCCTAATATCAAGAATGATTTAACGTCACCTACCTTGTGAATTTGTGACGATACAGGGAGCTGTTGGGCGTTCTCGGCGGTGGCAGCCGCGGAAGGGATCAACCAAATCAAGACCGGAAAACTGACGCCTCTTTCGGAACAAGAGCTCGTTGATTGTGACACCAACTCATTCAACGAAGGCTGCAACGGCGGGCACATGATCAAAGCATTCGAATTCATCATAAACAAGGGCGGGATCGCCGCCGATAAAAGCTATCCGTACACCGGAAAAGGCAACGTCTGCCAGAACAAAGAAGCCACAAATCATGAAGCCGCAATCAGTGGATACAAAGTAGTACCTGCAAACATGGAGAAGAGCCTGCAAGATGCAGTTGCCGAGCAACCTGTTTCGGTTGCCATTGATGCAGGAGGGTACGAATTCCAGTTCTACCGCAGCGGCATCTACACTGGAACCTGTGGGTATCAGCTCAACCATGGAGCAGCAATAGTTGGGTATGGAGAAGATGAAGATAACAAAGCAATAGTTGGGTATGGAGAAGATGAAGATAACAAGTACTGGGTAGTGAAGAATTCGTGGGGTACTTCCTGGGGCGAATCAAGCTATATAAGGATGCAACGTCAAGCCTCTGTTCAAAGAGGCCTCTGTGGTATTGCCATGGATATTAGTTTCCCTGTTAAGAAGTGAACAGCATTTTAGGGAAACTGGTATACTAATTCTTTCCGCTTATTTAATTTTTTTTACATATATTTTATAATTATAATTATACGTTAATAATATATGTGACCATGCACTAATGTAATATAGTTTAAATTATATACATTTCTTTATTTAAGCCTCCTAATATTTCAGTCAATTAAGGTGCAGAGTCGTCTTAGACATTTTTAAGGTCCTAAGTGAAAACTCAAAAATAAACCTTTATAAAATGAAAATACATTTCATCACTTTGAACAATTAATTCAATATTACATGCATAAATCATATAAAAATGATTAAATTATGTGAAAATGTAGATTATTTTTACTATTTTTTAAGAAAACATCTTAAATACAACTAAAAGAGAATAAATATTTTTTTTGAATGTGTACGATACATAGCTTGATTTTGAATAATAAATAAATAAAAAGAATTGTATAGTATTTTATTGTTAGATTGAGAATGAAAAAGATTAAAAATTAAAGAATATTTGATTAATTGAAGAGTAAAATTTTAAAAGGAGAAAAACATGATTAAATTTAATTCAAAATTGAATGAATAAATACAAAAATGGAAAAAGAAGGTAAAAAACTAAACATTTTATGGACTTATAAAAATTAGGGCCCTAATTATAAATATAAAAAAATAGTTAAATTTAATTCAAAAATGGATGAATTAATAAGAGAAATGAAAAAAGAAAGTCAAAAACTAAAATTTTATGAAATTATAAAAATTAGGGGCCCTAATTATAAATAAAAAAAGTGGAGGCTCCTAATTATAAATACAAAAAAATTGGGGTCCTTAGCGATTGCTCAGGGTGCTCCTCCTTAGAGCCGAACCTGTCTAGGTGTTTGATGTTACCAGCGTTATTATTTTAAGTACCTAGTCTGCCATTGTCATTAAACTTATTTGACAATAAACGCTCAATCACTTTGTTGTAGTCGCTATTGCTCGAACCTATAATCTTTAGGAACATCTCCTTTAACCACCGAGATAAATTGGTTCATGCTTAAGAAATATTTATAAACACACCACATGTCATATTTCAAGTGATTGACAGTATTTTAAGTTCACTTAAAATAATTATGTTTGTAAACATTAAATAAACACCTACATTAATCATTAACATACTATATTAAGTCTACTTTAATCGTTTATTCTCCTAAAATTACCATAGTATATCTATCGATAGATATACATTAAATCATTCCAACCAAAGATGTTCAATGAAAAGATTCAAACCACATCAAATCAGATACGAAGAAGAGTTTTACATTTAACTAGTCGATAAATCCAGCATTACAAACTTAATAAAAGGCAACACACCAGCCAATCCAAAATTCATTTGTAAAACACTGTTTGCATCACCTAGCTGATGACAACTAATTTCCCAACACATACTTTGAAGGTTGGTGCTTTGAACTCAAGGAAGCAAGCACCTTGTTAAGCAAGAAAAAAACCATGCAAATTCAAAATTGGGACTTGTCAAGGCTGTCAAAATAAGGATGATCCATGGCTGCTTTTGCTGATATTCTCTCTGCGGGATCATATTTAAGCATCTTCTGCAATAACCAAAATGCAGCAAGCTATTAGCCTCCAAAATGTGCAAGTAATGCCGACGTAAATCAACAAACCAAGAGCATGAAGATTTCATTTGTTATATTGTTACAATATTATTTGGTGATAATCATGGTGCATGACTCCGTATGACTATATTCGGTTCCATTTTATTTTTCTGTGCATATAGCTATGCTAAATGTTCCTTTCTATTCTTCAAATAGTTTTGTCTTGTGATTGTAAGTTATAAGATATGTATTACTTATTTTCTAGGGTAAACTATGCATTTAGTATCTGAACTATCAGTTTTGATCTGTTTTAGTACTTAAATTTTCAGTTTTTTTCAAAATCATACATAATGTTTAATTTTTGTTACATTTCAGTACCCGCCATTAAAAACTTAACCCGTTTAGTACCTAAACTATCAATTTAGATCCGTTTTAATACCTAAACTTTAAAAAAAAATATTCAAAACTTAACGTTAAATTTTGAACAGGGTACTAAAATGAAACAAAAACTAAACTTTAGGTATAGTTTTGAAAAAATTGGAAGTTTATATATTAAAACGGAAAAAAACTGATAGTTTAGGTACTAAATGTATAATTTACCCTATTTTCTAAGATAAAGTCAGGCTTATCGTGTACATACTAGTGGTATAGTTTAAAACTAACTCTATTTCCTATGCAGATAAAGGTAGAGGCTAGAGTAGTTTAGCTTAGTTAAAACTCTCTTTAACTAATCCTTGTATAAAGCATTGTAAATTGTACCTCTTCATGAATTAATAAAAACAGAGAATTCAATTGATTTTCTTCACAAAATACCTATAATCTACAAAAATACATAGATTAGCAAGCTTTTATTGACTTGAATCACTCAAACTATAGCTATACTCCCACTGTAACATGCAACGAAATTCCAAGTGGATTCCACTTTACTTCAATGCCTTTTCTATCCAATATCCTCTACCATTTTTGTCCTATTAACAGGGCCGAAATGTTGATATTATGCTAGACTTCATTAAAAATTTAGACCTATACATACATAAGTGTAGTATACAAGCATGGATGGATTAAGAGAGGCAAGTCGTCCCCTACAATTTTCAGATTTTATTAAATTTCATATTTTTTTGTATTTTTATTGATAATTTATTTTCGACTTCTCTAAAATTTTATAAGTTCACCGTCTTAACATAAAATCATACATCTACCCTAGTATACAAGTATAGTCCAATATGAGTATGAATTGTTCATTATAGTAAAAGAACGAGGACATACGGAGAGAAGATCAACCCCATCGGGAGAAAGGGAAGGAACCGAGCGGTCCAAGTTCTGAGGCTCCCAGCGCGGGTACACATGCCAATCCTTTAAAGAGGTAACCCCAGGCCACTGCTTCTCAGTTGGGGTGCCCAGCAACCTTTTCAGTTTTAGCCAATGCAAAACAAAATAAAATGAGTAAAAGGGCAGCAGCAGCAGCTTCTTAGGGAAATTGGGAAGAAACTAATGTACCTGAAAATGTGGAGCAATTGCTGGAACTCCGAATCCCCCGGGAACAGTGCTTGCCTCCTAACCATTTCAGCGAAGATGCATCCGACGGACCACATATCGACGGCAGTGGAGTAGTGAGTGGATCCCAGCAAAACCTCAGGCGCCCTATACCAGAGCGTTACGATCTCATGAGTGTAGCTCTTGAGAGGGACAGTGAAAGCACGGCCAAGACCCAGATCCGCAATCTTGAGGATCCCCTTTTCCTTATCGAGGAGGAGATTCTGGGGCTTGAGATCGCGGTGGAGGACGCCGTGGCTGTGGCAGTGGGAGACGCCTTTGCAAAGCTGGAAGAGGAAAGACTGGATGAGTGTGGGAGGGAGGGGCCTGGGGTTGGGACCCTTGCGATGGAAATCGATGAACTTCTTGAGATCGGTGTCGAGGTACTCGAAGACCAAGTAAAGATTGGCCTTGGACCCGCCGTTCTTGTTGGTGTCGACGTGCTCGACGCAAAGGAGACGGACGATGTAGAGGGACTGGGAGAGCATTTGGAGGAGGGAGACCTCCCGGAGAGCGGTAGGAGGGACGCCTTCCTCGTCCATCTCAAGACGGGTCTTCTTGAGGGCCACCAGTTGGCCGGTTGCCTTGTCTTTGGCCTTGTATACCTTGCCGTAGGTACCCTCCCCTACCTTCTCCAGCTTCTCATACTTCTCCATTTTTGAATTTCTCTGAAATCACTCCACACGAAGGAATGATAATTTTGTGTGTGTGTGTGTGTTTTTTTTTGCATTTTGAACTTTACATACAAAAGCAGGGAGGGAACCCGAATTTCGAATTCTACAACCCTATACGGCCTGCCCATCCCCATTTGTGGGCCCAATAAGCCTAGTGAGTAAAATAGTTAGCCCATTAAGTCAACCCAAATTTTAATTTAAGATCTACGGCAAATGTTACAGTATAGAGTTTGTTCAAATAATATTTTTATTTAATTTTATCACGTTGATGTGATGAGTTTCAAAAAATTATAATTTTTTATTAGATTTTATCAAATCAGGATGACAAGCTCGTATAAAAAATATATTTTATCATAACTCATTACATCGAAATGACGAGTTTCAAGTCAAATTAATTTTAGAAATGACCTAGTCAGCTATTTTTTATCCGCCTGGCATGCTGAGCAAAATTTACCCCTATTTGAGAGTACAAAAATAATAAAGTGTAAATTACACCTACAATATTTAATATTTAAATTTATTTTGTCAATCAATTTAATTAACTATTTAAATTATCATATTTAAGTCATTTACCATTAATATTTGATGACGGTTAACGAACTTAGTATAATTATATATTTTGTTCTCAATTCTTACACGTTATTTCAATTTGAGTTTAACTTTAGTTTGATTTAATAAATTTAATCATATGAACATATTTTATAACTAAAAACGCTTCATAACGGTTAGAAGATCATAAAGATAAAGTTATTAAAAAATAAAAAATAAAAATGCGATATAATAAAATAAACGAAAAATAATGATTAATTATCAATACAAGGATGAATACCGTCGTAAACGACAAAGATGAAAAAAGGACTAACAACGATTTAAAAGAAAGAGAGAAAATTAAGTCTGAAAATGTGAAAAAAAGTTATAAAGATTAATTTACATTATAGTATATTTATTAAAAAATTGAGAATAAAAAAACGGCTATAATTTAAATAATTATTTTACCTTTAAGCCTACAATAAAGTGATAAGAGTAAAACCATTACCAATCAAGCATTCATGAAACTTACTAAACGACACGCTCTCTACTGAACGTAGGAAAATCTAGCCAAGTTCCCCGCCATAATCCAAACCTACAAGCTCAGCTTGACGTTGTTCTCACTCTCCCAAAAATCCTATTATCGAGTGGTGCGTGCTTGACACGTTAGGCAGTATAGCGTTGGTAAAACACTCTACATCTCCTAATGATGCTTTAGGAGCACGGTTCTTTTGATACACTCACGCGCTTCTCACCAGCCGTTTACAACCACGCGGGAATTCCCCACCGTACACCTGTAAGTTAAGATACAGCGGGAAAAAAGTTGATTGAAAAAAAAACCCAGAAATTAGAGAGAGAGAGCGTCGTTGGAATGGAGTCGAACAATCCATGGTAAGGAGGTGAGGAATCGACCTTTATTATCTTCCTTTTTTCTTTGTTATCTTTAAATTAAGTGTACGGTTTATATAGGCGGTGGTTGTTCTAATTTTGTAGATCGAGGTGTGTTCTTGTTCTCTAGATTTGTTGTGTGTGTGTGTGTTTTTTTTCCTGGATCTGGTGGTTGAAAACTTGGGAGAACTCTCTTGTCTGGGAGATGAAATTACGGTTTTTGGTTCAGAGGTAGTTAAAGGCCTAGTTTGCACTGATTGCAGAAGCAAGATTGTTGTTGTTGGAGACTGGAAATAAGGAATTAGGGCTTTAAAACCCTAATATATGTGTATGGCTTCGGGGGCAGTAGTTTTGGAAGGAAAAGATGGTGAAAGAGAGAAACAGAGGTACAGCGAGACCAAGGTTTATACCAGGAAAGTGTTTAAGGGTTCCAAGAAAGACAATCTTCTCAATTCCACCGTCAACGATATTAACCCCGGCCACGACAACAGTAATAACAATAACATCTACATCGGTGCTGCGAAGGACACTGCTGTCACCACAACAGCTGCTGACCCTATCGGCAAGGGCAACAGCGATGACAATAATGGCAACCTATCTGTTCAGATACCTGCTGAACCTCTTCCTTTGGAGTTTGGAGATTCAGCTCAGCAACAGCTTGGTTCGTGCATGGATACTGCTGTGTCTGATGACTGTTCAAGTCTTAAAATGCAGTCGGCTGTGGCTGGAGCTGGAGCGGTGAAGACCGGTTCAGAGAACCAGGTGAAGATCAGTTTGGCTTCAAGGTCAAAGCAGGAGGTGGTGGGACTGAGGAGGAAGTTGATGAGTGAGCTTGATTTGGTGAGGAATTTGGTGAAGAGGATTGAAGCCAAGGAACAGGAAATAAGTGAGTTTGGTAATTCCCTTGTTCCTTTGAATAATGCCGTTGATTATGGTTTCAATAGGGGTGAACCAGAGGTGGCTTCAGTTGGCATTTTGAAGGAGCCTGTTAAGAAAACAAGGCCTTTGAATCAGTTGAATATTTCTTCCTTGAAGAATAGTCAGGGCGCAATTGAAAATACGGAGAAGGAGAAGAGAACACCCAAGGCAAATCAGTCTTATCGAAGTTCTGAGTTTTTGCTTGCTAATGATAAGTTTCCGCCAGCTGATAGTAACAAGAAGTTGAGATTATATGGGAAAAAGCAAGGTGGAGGTGAATTCACAAATGGATTTTTCATGGGTAACAAGTTCTTTAAGAGATGTAGTTCTTTGCTTGAAAGACTAATGAAGCACAAGCATGGTTGGGTCTTTAATAATCCTGTTGATGTCGAAGGTTTGGGTTTGCATGATTATTATAGTGTCATTAAACATCCCATGGATTTGGGCACTGTGAAATCGAGGCTTGGTAAGAACTGGTACAAGTCACCTAGAGAGTTTGCAGAGGATGTCAGACTGACATTTCAGAATGCTATGACATATAATCCTAAGGGACAAGATGTTAATGTAATGGCAGAACAGTTATCAAAAATATTTGAGGGTAAATGGGCATCTATAGAGGCAGATTATATTCGAGATATGAGGCTTGCAATAGAATATGAAGTGAGTCTTCGTATGCCAGCACCAAGAAAGGCACATTCAATGCTACCACCTCCAATTGATACGAGAAGGATATTGGATAGATCGATGACATTCCCTGTTAATCCATCACCAAAACTAATAGCTACTACTCCTTTGGGTTGGACTCCAGCCCCAAAAAAGCCTAAGGCAAAGGATCCTTATAAAAGGGATATGACTTATGAGGAGAAGCAGAAGCTTAGCACTAACCTTCAGAGTTTGCCTATAGAGAAGCTGGATAACATTGTACAGATTATCAAGAAAAGGAATGCAGCTGTCCTTCAACATGATGATGAAATTGAAGTAGACATTGATAGTGTGGATTCTGAGACTCTTTGGGAGCTAGATAGATTTATTACCAACTACAAGAAAAGTTTGAGCAAAAACAAGAGAAAGGCTGAACTTTTCATTCAAGCCAGAGCAGAAGCCGACCAGAGTGTACCCGAAAAAGTAGGCTTTTTGTCATAGTTTCTTATGGAAGAATTTTTTCCTGAGAATTTCTAATTTCATGCATTTATTGTATTTAGTTGCAGACCGTAGCTCCTGTTTCGGTGGAAGTGCCCAAGGAAACTACAAGAAGTAAGTTTTTATGTTAAGAAGACTGATCCATTGTTTGCTACTTGCATGGTTGGAATGATATCTAAATGATTATATATCTACCTGCAGATGAGCAGAATGTGTCCATATCACTTGCTGAAGGAAAACAGGGTGATACTGCTAGTAGGTCAAGTAGTTCTATCAGTGATTCTGGGTCTTCTTCAAGTGGTATGAGGATTTTTTCTTATTAGATTTTTAGAGGGAGTAAATTATGTTTTATTGTTTTAACATATATAAATGTTTGTTGTAGACTCTGATAGTGAAAGTTCCTCGGCATCTGGATCTGATGCTGGACATTCACCTGGATCTTGAGCCCATTGAGGTATGCTGAAATGTTCATGTGTGTTATAGGCACTCATCATTTGATTTCTTCAAAGTTGCTTATTTTAAAATTACCTGTATGGCTGTAAAACCATTTACAGTTTTATTTTTGTTGTGCTTCTTTCGAGTACTGTGATTGCTGTTTAGTGATGATGTAAATTGTGGTAAAAATTCTGTCTTGTAGTCTCAGTATTCACCAAGTGAGCGCATGATAACTTCTGTTAAAATTTGGCTTTGTAAACAATTCTGGATTTGCAACTTCAGGGAAAATTTGGATTGAAAGATCTATTTATGTTATAATTGAAATAAGTGCTAATTGTAACAAATCAAAAGATAGACTTATGTTACAATATAAGCTCATATTTGGATTGAAAGGTTGATTTATGTTGTGGTTTATTTAGTTGTAGCTTAAAGATGAGGGGTTTATACAAGTACAGGAGCTTTATTTATTATTTTAGCTTTGTTGGAGCAAGAATTCTTTAAGATCCTATCAGTTAATGTAAATAAAGCTAGATTTTACCTTTTTGACCCCATTTTTAGAAAACACATTTTTGTGTTCATTTTCTGACGCATCTGTATAATGGCGCTTAATTTTTTTCCTAGTTTGGTAAACTAGTGTTGGGGCAGTGCCTGTTATCAAATAGAAAGCTGATCGTTAAGAAACACCTGGAGCTTAAATCTATCATACTCTAGAATAATAATGTTTGTTATCAAATAGAAAACTGAGTAGGAAAGGTGTTTTAAGATAAAAAGATGCAATAAACAAGTCCATATAGCTAAACATGCATGATTATCGTGTGATTTAGTTGGGCTACAGCCATTCTTGATATTATGGTTGACAATATTTACTTTTTTAGTTGGTGGTGCAGTAGTTTGAAGTAATTGCTGATCAATTTTGATGCTAAGTTTCGCAGATCGGGTTTTATGAGCGTGATGTAGTAATCGGGTGTATAGCCCCCTCCACTGGGGATGCTTCAGCAGCTCTGCACAATTTGTGGGATAATCTGTGTAACTATAACTTAGATGTGGGTAGGATTAGGTTAAATTGAAAGCAGGTGTACATTGCTAATTTAACAAATGCCATTCAACTCGACTCATCCTAGTTTCAGAGGGGACTTGATTTTTGTGTGTTTATGCTTTTCTGCTGGGTGCAGATTCTTTGATTTGATGTTTATGTAAAGCAAAGAAACAAGCATTGTAATTCTAAGAAGCAAGTATGGTTCACGTGAAATGATTACCAATAATAATTAACTAGAGTGAAGCCCTTGCTCGCATAGGGCAACCTTACTTGAGGGTTCTTTTACCCCATTAACAAGGGTAATCTACATGAATGATCAGTATGAGTTTCTTTTTTGAACAGTAAAGTTTTAAAAGTAATGAAATAGATGTTAATGATATCGTTTTATAATAAATTGGTCATCTGATTGTTTATGGATGTTATCGTAATAATAGAAGTGTGGCGAGTTAAATTGATTTGTATGGCACTGTTTGGTTATGTAAGATGATAATTTTTAATGATCATTCAATACCTGATAAAGAGGAGTAGATGATTCCACCAACGTTGGATCTCTTATTGCGTCAGTCCATCCTTGACGCCTTTTAACTCTTCATCAGCTTTGCTTCGGCTTGACCCTTGACTTTTCTTCTAGCCTCCTCGGACTTTTTCCCAATTTCTCAAGTCTTGATTCACTTTCAGTCCTTACTTCATTTGCTAGCCCTAATTTATCTCAACGGTCGGAGGAGGTGACATTTAGCAGTGATGACATTGCAATGATTAGTGGTGGTCAATTTTTAACAGACATTTTTGGGCTTGTAAAAGTCGTTTGGATTACTCACCATCTCGATGAAATGACTACGTTTCCTCCGAAGATTTTTCAATCTGGAAACACTCTTGGATGTTTTCTTTCAATTTCAAAGACTTCTCTTTTTCAAGGTGAAGCCGAAGGCGTGATCATCACTTCTCCAAACATAAAAAAACTGACACTGGATTTCTTCGACAACATGCAATATCTATGGAAGCAAGGTTCACCTCTAAACCATAAGTGTGCAAGTCTTGAATGCCTTAAAGAGTCTGGAGATGTGAAGGCTTGACCAAGTTATTATCGTCTTCCACGTCTTTTTGAAACCTTACGACTTTGAGTGTTTTGAATCAGAGATAGATTAGGGGAGTAAGTGAAGACAATCATTCCTTGAAAATTTCAAATTCCTATATATTTTTTATATTCTCTTTGTATTTTTTTTATTAAAAATTTGTTTTCGCTCTCCTAAGATTTTATAAGTTTGTATCCCCTTAAAATTTTATAAGATTTTTTATTAAGGTTTATAAGATTTTATATAAAATCTTACGATCGTCCTTGTTTGGAAATGCAAAGAGAAAGCACTTATGATTTCATCTTCAAAAGCCCAAAGTTTGGAACGAACTTGTTACATTGGTGATAAGAGAATGTGAGAAAATGAGAGAAGTAATTGCAAGCGATGGAGATGAAGTAACACGTGATGAGAATATTTTGAAGGAGATGCAATGCTTAGAGCTTCATTGTCTACAAAACCAAATAAGCTTATGTTCATGGAATAACACTTTCAAGGATGTTGGACTGGTGACCTTAATGCCGCCATTGAGAAGTTAAATATACAAGGTACGAAGCTATCAAAATTCATAGAAAATGTATACAATTTAATGATCAAATTAATAGAATGTATAAACATTAAGGACTGAATATATAATTACACCAATATTTTTAAATCTCTTCCGTTAAATATTAACCGCCAATGATTTGATTGAGAACTTGAATAATTAAGTGATCCGGATGACAAAATTAAATAATCGACTGTTAAAATAAAAAGAAATATTAGTTAAATAATCATATGTATAGTTTACCCGATACTTATATGCATTGCTTCCATATTAACTATAAATAAAATGTGTAAAATTTATGTAGCCGGGAAATATTATTATTTGTTACTGATAAAAGCACTTTGCTTTTGTGTTTTCAAAAGAAATAAGAATGAAAGTTTTAGTAGAGAAAATTTGCAGAAAATGGATATGATGCGGAATGGAATCCATACTCTTCTCATTAGAGGTGTGCAAAAATATTCAATCTCAAACAATTCGATCCGTTAATCCGATGATCAGAAGAAAACATTTCATCAATTTTGGGGATTATAGTATATCGAACTTCGACCGAATCGATCACGAATACTCGCGATCTGTCTCGTCTCATTTACAATCCTAGTCATGACCCACATCCCAACCCTGATAAAGATTTATGGAAAAGAATTTTTTTCCTCCCTTATATAAAAATGAAAAAGGAAAACATATTTTTCCAAGACAAAATATATAAGGAATTATACAACCCGAAAAGCCGACAATACTTGTTAACACCTCTACCTGATACAAACAGAATCAGCAGAGAGAGTACTCGCAATCCAGCAACCGCGTTAGTATTTCGCCACAACTTGGCCGCTCTTCCGGTTCTGCCCAGCAATCTGCACCACACCAATATCAAATTAAATTATGCATTACGTCAAAATTAAACTCTGATGTTTATCAAAACCATTTTGACCCCATATTCTTTTTTCTTTTTAGCATCTTGACTTCCAACATTTCATTTTAGGATTAAAAACCTATGATGTTTGACCAAATAGTCATTTTGGCTCGTGTACCTCTTTCCGAAGTATTTTGGCCCTCAACGATTCATTTTAAAGTAAAAAGAGCCCTTATTTTGGAGCATTAACCGTTTGTTAACTAACTATTTCTGTCGACTTTTTTGTCTCAAAATCAAATGTTTTGGGCCAAAATGTTCCGAAAAATGAATCGAGGCTAAAGTGACTATTCAATCAAAGGTTAGTGGTCTTTTTTGACATTATACCATTAAATTACCCCCAAATGGGACCCATTAAGTATAAAAAAAATTCTTAAACGGACATCCCCAAACAATGTATGAAAACTCTAATTGTGTACCTGAAATTAGCCTGCCTAGGGGACCTTCAGGAATCTCCAACCGGGACCCTTCATTTGCGACAGCATAACCCACCTGAACCAATTTAGAAAAAAAGATAAACAAATGATCTGAGAATGACCAAGTAAACAGCATACTGCATACCCTTTCTGGTGGTACACCTTCCCAAGGCCTACATAAAGTACAAAGCTCCCACATTATGACCCCAAGGCCAAAAATATCACATTTTTCAGTGAAAGGTTCATTGCGTATTAGCTCAGGAGCCATCCATTCAGGTGTTCCTGCAGAGGCGGAATCTTTCATTGGACGGCTGATCATTATTCGGGACAGTCCAAAATCGCATATCTTCACGGTCCAGTGTTTATTCACAAGGCAATTTGCACTTTTCAGATCGCGATGAACTATGTTCATCCGGTGTATACACATCAACCCCCTACATAAACAAGGGAAATATAGAAGGTGTGCACTATATATGTTCCTTTTGAAGGCAGAGAAAGATATGTGCACTTTGTAATTGATGCACAGGCCTAACAAACCTGCAAATATCGCGCAACATTTTCAGTCTCCTCCGCCAGCTCAACCTCTTCTTCTGACCACTCAGATGGATTAAGAAGTACAATGATCCGATCTCCATGTACTCGGTAATCATGGACAACTGTGGTGGCTTTGTGCATGCACCCAGAAACAGGATAACTGCAAAAAAGCATAACTCAGTTCACTAATTGATGAAATAAATCAAACTTGCTGATGTTTCTTATGCAGTTATAGGAAACATGTATACATGAGATTATAAAGGCACAAGGCCAGTTTTATTTCATTTACTAAAGGCACAAGACCAGTGTTTATTTCACTTAGGTTACTTCATTTACTGAAGGCGCAAGGCCAGTGTTATTTCACTTAGGTCTTCATTTTCCATTTGTTTTATTTCCAGTTGGATTACAAGGTGAGCAATACCAGACAAACATAAATTGTAAAATTTTAGAGAAGGTAGAAATGTACCATTGGGATGACGAAGACGGCTGGAATTACGACCATGTAGAAACACAGAAGGTTGAAACGAGGATTATTAGAAAGATATCTAGATAGGAGAACATTAATAACCTTGAACACATGGACAAAAGGATACCTAAGAATGGATATTTCATTGCAGAAATCTTCCATGTTTTCTGCAGTAAGATCTTGCTCCAGAAACACCTTGATTGCAACATCTGTTCCGTTCCATAGACCCCGGAAAACTTCTCCAAAAGCCCCTGGACAAAAGCACAACCTGCTCACTGGGTGTTTTCTAGAGTGATGGCATTTATATGAATAATTAAGCACAGAATATCAATGCTAAATGAAGCAGGCCCAGATAAGTTTCACAACATATATACTGTAGAAAGTTTAGAACAGTGGTTACCAATCCCAACACGAGTTCCAACAGTTAATTCGGAGAAATCGATATTCCAGTCAGGATAAGGTAATAACGGGTTATTGTTGAACGTTGGAGATCCAAGAATTTTATTCCATGTTGCAACCATTTCATCATTTGCTACATAACCAGAAACTCCAATTCTCTCTGAATTCCGAGTCCTATAGCCATGTGGCGACAATGACAACGATATTGCTTTTTGAGAATCTATTTCTTCCCTGGAAAGGTTGTGCAATGAAGAGCTTCCGCCAGCTATTTTATTGTGGTCATCAAGATGGAAATTTGATACCTAAAAGGATAAGAAGGCTTAAATGAACTAATAATTGTATCAGGCAACCACGTCCACTCAAAAGGAAATCATGTTGCAGTTTTATAGAACTGTATAAAACTGTATTAGTTTTACACGCCTCCATAACTTTTGATATGACTAATATTTTCACATATCGACCACTAGATTTAGCCATAATTGTCATACATGTAAATATTTGATTCAATCAAATAACTCCATGATATCAGTTCAGAAAACTATGTTTTAAATACGTACTTAACCGTTGAAACCTTTTACATTAAACACATATACTTTATTAACTCAAAACTTGACATGTAAGATCAATCTTAATAAAACATGTATCATATAAAAAGATACGGAAATGAGTAAAAACTACTTTAGTTTTACACTGTTCTCTCAATATGTACTTGACGGGTTGAGATCTTTTACATTGAACACAGATATTTCATTAACTCAAAACTTGACATGTAAGATCAATCTTAATAAAACATGTATCATATAAAAAGATAGGGAAATGAGTAAAAACTACTTTAGTTTTACACTGTTCTCTCAATATGTACTTGATAATAAATTTTTGTAAAAGAAACATACATTCTTATGAAGATCTGGACACTCATTCGTATCAGCTGAAGAATGGGACAAAGGACTATCCTCCCTGCGCTCTTGCAACAGACGATTTTGTTTCAACGTTTCATTCATAGCTCTTACAGCCCTGAAACAATTCAGGCATCATCCAAGATAAATCACTACTCACTACGTAACAGAATGTGTGCCACACTCAATGGCGGATCCAGAAATTTAAAAATGGAAATTTTAATACTCTCTTTTCAACAAAATGGATAAGCAAATTTTCTTATTTTTTTCTCTTTACCTTAACACCTTGAACTAAATTAATAACTTATCCAATTGATAACACATTCAAGTGTAACAGAAGTCTATTAACAGTGTCATCAATTGGACTTCAAATTGTAAATTGATCAAGTAGATAGACTAAATTTTAGAAGTCCAAAGAGTATAGTGACTGAGGCCATAATTAGGCAGATTATTTGAACAAATGGATACTTTCTTCTTCTTTTTACTTCCACTTATTGGAGAAAAAAGAAAGAAGGGACAAGGGAGGATTCTTAAATTTTAAGATTTATCATTGAACCATCTCCCGCAATTGTAAATGTACAGCCCAGAGTTAAGGGAAATTGTGCTCCTTCCCCACTAACAGAAGACTTATATGTCGTACCCAGCCCACAAAATAATAGGACCTCGAAACTTTATGGTACATATTAGAAAAACATCCTAAGAGATGCACATCTAAATATTCAAAGAAAATATCTTGAGAACATCAATTTATGCACTTCAAATAAAGTTCATTTAGAATTTTCAATATACTGAACCCATCAAGTGGCTTCCGTGGTAAAAGGGAATGTTATTCTCCCTAGAAGTCCTACGTTCAAGCAGCTACTATCTTGTAATCACCCCTGACTATTCAAAAAAAAAAATTTAATATACTAGCCCATTTAAGGATGCTATTGATATTAATGGCTTCACCCGTAATCATCACCAAGAAGCAATTACGGTTCTCTAAAGAAACTTCTATATGGTGATTTCACTTTTAGTACATTGTAATTAAAAATATTTTTTCCCTAAAATTAAGGTCCTAACATGATTGAGATAAACTAAAATGAAAAACTGGGAAGGCGCCTTGAAAATATAAGGGGAAAAAACCAGAAATGCTAAAAAAAATACTAAAATAGTAGGAGAAAGAAAGCTACAATAGTCAAGCATCGGACGATGTCCTAAACAATAACAAGAAAAATAATCAACCTTACGATATCATCACTGATCTCTGGAGTCATGCTAATGCTTCTTCTTCTCATTCTACGAGCTTCTGATGTTGACGCACCATGTGATCTGTAACTAGATCTACAGTTCAAAGATAATAAAATTTGTTGACAATTTATGAATGCAAAATGTAGTTCATATTTACAGAAAAAGAATCCAATTAGAAGGGACCTTGATGCAGCAATATCATCCCCAAAATCTCTATGTGAATTCCTATCGCCACTTAGCATGGACCTTGCACGTGCTCTAAATGATGGATGCTCTGGACTACAAAGGCGATAAAAGTTTAAAGAGCAAGACTTACTTAACAAATAATCTCATACAACTTACGGCAGAAATGATGCAGGACAATATGTTTAAAGGAAAGACATTAGCCTCAAGTTGTGTTATGTACTTTCAGTTCAATTGTCCTTTTTAAATAGATTTAGGTTACCTTGTCTACGCACGAACCAAGCGACCTCGGTGGTAAAGGAATTGTTGTTATTCCTTGAGATCTCAGGTTCGAGCACCAGGAATGCTAGGGGTGTGAGCGTTCAATGTCACATGGTATCAGGGTAACCTAGTCTTACCTCAAATTAATCAAAAAAGAAGGTTACCTTGTCTACATATAGTTGTTAGTTTTGCTTACTTTTCAGGTATCAGGGTAAATCTGGTATTTTGCATTGTAATAGGGTCAGCTGGCTACCTAATGGATATCAAATTACTTTGGTTTCAATTAGGTTTACAATGATGAATGTTGAAATTTTCTACTATTGATTTTTTTCCTTTTCGTTAATTCTTCTATTCCTCTCCCTATTCCATCCATTTCTCCCAAAATACTGCTAGATACCTCCAATTTCCCCTCTACATTGCCAGTATATCGAGTCATGCAATAAGTCTAGGGAGCAACAAGAATATCAAGTCATAATAATAGGATTTCAGCATTCACTTTTAGGATATACAAATAAGGGCATGTGGAGAACCTGGAACTGGCAGTCCGCTGTTCAACAATAACCTTTCTTCGGCTACGACGCCAGAAAATATTTGGTTCACTATGTGACAGACTAAAGACACAAAATAAATAAAATAAGAACTTTATAATGCCAGATATGCTGTGGCATACATAATTTTCAATCAAGCAGGTCTTTATCTTGTGAGCTAGGAAGCACAGACACAAAATGGACATGGCACGTAAACAACAACACTTCAAGTTCTTAAAAAGAAGACATGGGCATGGCATGATAAAAGATTAAGTATATATTTATATCCAAAAACAGTAATTTGATATTTTCAATTAAACATCAACATGCAAATAGCTTTTCCAAAAAAAATGTTTTTAATTTTATTTTGAATTTAAAAACTTGAAACTTAAAAAACTCATTAGAACTAATTTGCACATTGTAGTTCCAAATATGGGGAAATGGAAAAAGAAAAAGATCACATATCCGGGAATGCCTAGCCCGTACGAAAGAGTTCAATTGTGTCCAGCTCATCTTTCCTCCATTTCCAACTTTATATTGAATTATTATTATATTGATGTGGCCTGACACGTCTCATAATATTCTATCCTGTTGGAGTCTAATCTCTGTTGGACACGTGTCTGACAATTGTAGACTCACTTGACAAAAATGTGTGTTTCATATAGCTCTAGAAATGTCAAATAACCATTAATTTAATTTCCCATCTGTAGACGTGGAAGTTTGTAGCATCAAATTCGCAATGAAGCACCAGTTGTGTCCAGCTATTGAAGATGATGTCTTATGTCCCATGGCTTCTCCGAAGCTTAAGCAGAACAATTCTGTTCCTAGAAGTATAAAGCAGTTTCCTACGAATAGTATTGGAGAGGGACAAGATAAGGACTTCAATGGTTCTGCCGATTTTCAGAATACATCTACGATCCCTACCATTTGTAATGATGTTGTTGAAAGGGTGGAAGCAATTTCTGTGAATGCTTCAGGGAAAGGAAATGAAAAGAGAAGGAAGAGAAGGAAGAGGAGAGCCTTAATTTCTGAAGCTATTGACTTGGTTAATATTTCGACTGCTTCTTCTTCCTCTTTTGTGGAATTACTGAAGGAAGCAGTGGATACTTGGGAAGTATGTGAGATGTTAGGTATTTCATTTAAGGAAGGGAAGGAGGCTTTTATTGATAAATTATTATGTCTTGGTCAAGAGACAGATGCAGTTAGGGGTGGATGAAGGCTGCTCAGTTTTAGCTGAGTGTAGGGGGAGTAATTCTTTTTTATGAATAATTTTAGTATTATTTCGTGGAACATTAGGGGTCTTGGGAGGAGGGAGAAGTGTGTAGCTGCAGCAAGGTTAGTCAAGAAGACGAAACCAGTTTTTCTTTTCATTCAAGAATCTAAGTTGGAAAGATGCCATGGGGCGATTTTTAGAAGGATTGGAGGTAACTTGTTAAAGGGGGTGTTGGTTTCTCCAGCACAGGGGTCATCGGGGGGCTTGATTACATTGTGGAATGAGAACGTGGTTCAAGTCATTGATCAGTTTGTGCATAGTAGGTTTCTGGCGTTAGTAGGAAAATCTAAGCATGGTTCTATGGAGTTTGTAGCTATTAATGTTTATGGGCCTACAGTCGAAGCTGAGAAGGAGGTTTTTTATGGGGAGTTGCTGAAGTATGTTAGAGCTCTAAATTTACCAGTGTGTTTAGGGGGAGACTTCAACGCGTATCTTGATTCAGAAGAAAAGATAGGCAAATCACAAAATTGGCATACTATTGATATTTTCAGGTCATTCGTGCAAAATGCCAATCTCATTAACTTGCCTATGTCAGGAGGTTCTTTCACTTGGTGCAGTAATAGAGAATCTTCAACATGGGTGAGATTGGACAGGTTCCTTATTTGCGCAAGATTCCTTAAGATTTTCCCTAACATTGTGCAGTCAATTTTACCGAAATCTATTTCAGACCATAATCCAGTCTTGCTGGAGGATAAATCTACAAATTGGGGTCCAAAACCTTTTAGGTTCTTTAATTTTCTTTTAGAAGAACAAGGTTTTGATGATTTAGTTGCAGACTCACTGGAAGTAGAAGAGAAGAAGAACAATAGTGGTGGAATTTTCAGAATCCTGCAGGGTGCAAAAAATGAAATCAGAAACTGGTCTGGAAGTGGACATTTAGGGCTGTCAGAGTCAATTTCGTTGCTGGAAATTAAAATTAACAGTCTGGATTTAAAGTGTCAAGGTGGAAAGCAGTCTGCAGGGGATTGGGCACAATTGATCGAGTCTAAAAAGGAATTATGGAGACTGTTAAGGATCGAGGAGAGAATTTGGTTTCAAAAATCTAGAAACAGATGGATTAAAGATGGCGACAGGAATACAAGGTTTTTTCATCTTAGTGCATTGAAAAGGAATAGATTCAACACTATTCATTCTATCAATTTTAAAGGCAAAGTTATTTCGGATCCAGAAAAGATAAAAAACAGTGTGTTTAAGTTTTTCAAGAATGCATATAATGAAAAAACTACACTGGAAGTTGAGGGCTTGAATTTTGATTTTAAACAGTTGTCTCAAGTTCAAAGTGATTCTCTAGAAGAGGTGTTTACAGAGCAAGAAGTGTGGCAAGCAATTTCATCTTCAGATAGTGCAAAAGCTCCAGGGCCGGATGGTTTCACAATGGGTTTTTACAAGAAGTATTGGAATTTGTTAAAGGTGAAGATTATGGAGTTTTTTTCAGATTTTTACAATGGAAAGCAGTGGGTTCATGGGGTGAATCATGCTTTTATTACCTTGATTCCAAAGAAAGGTAATCCTGAGAGTATTGAAGATTATAGACCTATTAGTCTAGTGGGCAGCTTGTATAAGATTCTCTCTAAGGTTCTTTCGAAAAGACTTTCTTCTTGTGTTAAAGATATTGTTAGCCCTACACAGTTCGCATTTATTCCGGGGAGGCAATTGTTGGATTGTGCCTGTTTAGCAAATGAAGGCATCGATTATTGGAGGAAACAAGGGCTGCAGGGGGTCGTTTTCAAAGTGGATTTTAGCAGAGCTTATGACACCGTGGATTGGCAGATTCTGTTAAGGCTTATGAAGGAGATGGGCTTCGGAGAAAGGTGGTGTTCTTGGATAAATCAGTGTATTTCTACAGCTTCTATATCTATTCTACTGAATGGGTCTCCTACAAAAGAGTTTCATATTGCTAAAGGTTTGCGACAAGGATGTAGTCTTTCTCCTCTTTTGTTTAATGTGGTTGGTGAACTCCTTCATATGATGTTAAATAAAGCTGTGGAATTAGGATTATTTCAAGGGTTTTCTTTTGGAAATGTGCAAAACAATTTCAATTTGACCCATCTTCAGTTTGCGGATGACTTAATTATTTTTTGTCGAGCCTCCATCACTCAAATTAAAAACGTTAGACGAGTGTTGATGATTTTTAGTTTTATGACGGGGCTTCATTTTAATTTAGTTAAGAGTAAATTGTATGGTATTAATGTGGAGGACACACTGAGAAATTGGGCTATGGACATTGGCTGCTCTATTGGTTCCTTTTCGACAGTTTATTTAGGCCTTCCGTTAGGGGCTAAAAGAAACTGTGAGAAACTGTGGGAGCCAGTCCTAGCTAACTTTGATAAGAAATTGGCGGGATGGAAAGCTTCTTCTTTGTCTATGGCCGGTAGATTGGTGCTTATTAAGTCGGTTTTATCCTCTTTACCTATCTTTTATCTCTCTATTTTCAAGATTCCAGCTAAAATCTGTCAAAAATTAAACTCTTTGATGGCGAATTTTTTATGGGGTGGAGGAGAAGAAAAGAAGAAAATGCATTGGGTGAGTTGGATTAAGATTTGTAAACCGAAGTGTGGAGGTGGTCTAGGAGTTGTTGATTTGAAGCTTATTAATAGAGCACTATTGGGAAAGTGGGTGTGGAAGTTTGCCAACGAAAAAGAATCTTTGTGGAAAAAGTTCTTATGTTCTAAACATAGTGTTAGTTGTCTTTCTATGAATGTCAATAAAGTCTCTAAGGACACTTGCTTGCCTGCACGTGGTTATGAGGGGAGTAAGGATTTTTTAATTAATTCTCCCATCCTGGATGGTCTCTTAGTGTCAAGAGAATTGGAAAATGTGAGCCTAAAGGATAAAGTGGATCTGTTGGTTCACGTGGAGAGGGAGAAAGAAGTTGCCTTTAGGAAAAGTAGTGAGCCTGCATGTGCTTTTGTTGGCTCAAAGGATTATTTTAATGATTTCCCCATGTTAGATGGTCGGGTTGAGTCAAGGGAGGTGAAGGATGGGATACACGAGGGCTTTTCTTACAACTGCGCATTCATAAATCCAAAGGGTAACGCAAGGCAGTACATGAGACCTAAGGTGGGTTCTGGCAACAAATATAGATCTAAACAATTTTTTCAAGGGAATTTTACAGCTCCCAAAAGAAAGTATAGGGGTTACCGAAGCAAGAACCATCAAAGTAAGGTGCATTGGGAGGAAGAGGTGGCTGTTATTGATGACAGATTCATATATGAATCTGATTTTCCAGCATTGGGGCAGTCTCTACAGAAGGATTCGATCAATTCCTTGCCTTTTGGAAAAAATTTGGGTTGTGAGTCTAATGGCTCAGTAGTGTATCTGTTGTCGGAAGACTTTGGCGGGGGAAGGAGTAGAAGTTTCAGGTGATCTGCACCATGCTTTTTGTTTGGAGCTGGAAGTTCGGATGGTCTTAGCCGACCAGACGAGTTGACGTGGTGGAAAGGCGGCTATGTGCGTGTTTTTTTTGTATTCTTATCATGTGATAGCTCCGTGGCTTTTGAGTTAGAAGTTGGCTTATATGGTTTTAGTTAGCTGTCACCCTTGGCTTTTAGTATGGTTGTTTTGTTTGATTGGGAGTCTATCGGCCCACGTTTAGGTGTTTTTTAGGCTGTTGTTGTTGGTTTGTTGGATTAGGCTGGTTCTGGTAGGATTGTTTGTGGCTGCTTTTGGTGTTTTGTTTATATTGGGGGTGGCTTCCTGGTTGTATCGTGTTCTTTCTATGGTTAATAAAATCCTAAGGCACTCTTTTCCTCCTTCTGCTGATTAAGGAGCTTCTCTATAAGCTCCTTCAATCATGAAGGAGGTTTTTAACGAGGCTTTCAATTCCTATCAAAAAAATAAATAAAGTCTCCTCCCACAAGGACTCTTGGATTTGGAGAGGTATTGTGAATAGCTACATGAAGGATGATTTCTTTGGAGGATGCATTAGATCTCATGCGAGGTTACAAGTTGGGAATGGCAATTCGATTTTCTTTTGGAATGATACATGGTTGGGGGATTTTCCATTGAAAGTTCTTTTCCCTAGGATTTTTGCTCTGTCAACAAATCAAGGGGGTAAGGTTGCTGAATTTGGTAGTTTTGATTTGAATGGTTGGGAGTGGAATATTAAGACGAGGAGGAATCTATGCGATTGGGAAGTGGCTCAGCTGGTTGATCTATTGGACAAGCTCAATGTTATCAAATTAAATGAATCTTTGGAGGATTGTATGCTTTGGGTTGGTGCGGGTGAGGGTTTGTATTCCGTTAAAGCTTGCACGAAATCTTTCTACTCAGTGGATGAGGATAACTTTAGGTGGAACAAATGTGTTTGGCAAGGTCTGGTTCCTCCTAGAGTAGAGGTTTTCCTTTGGCAAGTATCACTTAATAAAGTAGCGGTTAGAGGGGAATTGAAGAAAAGGGGGGTTCCCTTAGGGGAGGACTCTCAATGCCCCTTTTGCAATCAAGCAGAGGAATCAGTTCAACATCTGTTTATTTCCTGCCAGTTTTCCTGGGTACTATGGAACAGAATCATAGCCTACTGGGGTATCAAGTTAGACTTACCTACTGATCCTTCTTCAATTCTAATTTCATGGTCTGTTCTTAGGCCATTTTCTAATATGTGGAAGTTTATTCCGGGGGCTGTTTTATGGTCGATTTGGAAGATAAGAAACGAAATTGTTTTTGAAAGAGGCAAGCTGGACACATCCTCATTGTTTTTCACAGTCAGGTTAAGGCTTGCGAAATGGTTCCTAGCTAAGTATCCTTTATCCTCTATTCAAGTGGACTCTCTAATTGGTGATCGTTCATTGGCTGATAATATTTCAGCTTCTCTTGATTCGAACAGGCCTGTGGTTTACTGGAGTCCTCCTCTAGTCGATTTTTTTAAGTTTAACGTGGATGGAGCAGTTAGTAGGGTTGGGTTGTTAGCAGGAATTGGGGGCATTCTTAGAGATTGGAATCGGATTAAATTGATGTCGTTTTCAGAAAAAAATAGGGCCTACTCTTATCATTTTAGCAGAGTTAAAAGCTATCAAAAGAGGAATAGACATCTTTGTGTCATCAGAATGGGTATTGAAGGGAAGGCTTATTATTGAATCTGATTGCAAGTTAGCTGTGGAGTGGTTGAAATATCAGGAGTCAGTTCCACCTTTTCTTTTAAATTTTGTCAAGGATATTGCGGATGCGGTTTCTGAGTATGAGGTCATTGTGAGGTGGATTCCGAGAAGCTGTAATTGCGAGGTAGATTTGCTTGCAAAGGAGGGGATTGGGTAGTGGGTCACTTTTTTAGTACTGGGTTCGGAGGTTTTTCATCAAGGCGTTATAAGAGTGTGCTTAAGTTTTATGTATCTTAAAGGAGTGGTTTTAGTTTTATGTAATTTTTACATTATCAATATATTAAGGTTCTCTATTCCTCCTTCCTCTAGTAGGTTCTGACCTCATGGTAAGGACTACTAAGAAGGAGGTTTTTATGAGACCTACTTTTCCTATCAAAAAAAAAGTTTGAATGGAGCACAAAGTTCTCAATTTTCAGCACTGCAACAACCCAAACTAGAATAATAACATTCTACTTATCAAAAACTTTCATCTTTCTAAATATCTCACAAACACTTCTGACCAAGTACATTAAGTCAAAGAAGCTCGAAAGGATATTGGAATGTGTCAAATGCCATCTACTGACCTGTCATGCTCAACTTTCTCAGAAAGTCCATAGAGAGGGCTATTTGGCTCCAATGGTGAATCACACGATTCATTTTCAGTAGAATCACTCTCCCCTACAGCTGAAAAATGGGTCATAAAAATAGCCTTTGTTGATCGTGGTATCAACTGACCCGGAAACCGCATAAGATCAACCAATAGCTCCACAGAATTTAACATCACTATCACAGACATATGTTTATATGAATCTGGACACTCAAAAGTCCCAGCATTTGGCAAACCCTGAAAGAATGATAGGAAATTGGCACAACCTCAGTCAAAGATTTGTCAATTGACAAAAGAAAATGCCTTAGAAAATCTTCTATTTTATTCAAATTAATTTCACGTCTGAAACATGAAACTGATATATGATTTATATGAAGGAAGAAATAAATCTTTTAATCTAACCTAACAATTGAAGAGGGAGGGAAGAGGAGCTTACCATGATGAGCTTACTTTCAAGCTGTACAGTATCTGCTAAAATTTTAAACAAAATGGCTCGTGGACGACATAAACCATGCTTTATTTGCCCCAATAGCTGGACACTTTGATTTTCAAACATGTGGGAAGTTTCGTCAAGAGCAGCTTTTGCTGGACTTTCAGTAGTTGTACGTTTATAAAAATCAGAAACCTAGGCAAATAGCAGGAGGTACAAAAGAAAACAAACCATTATAAACAACCAAAGAACTAAAAAGATTAAATAATTACAAAGGAATTCCAATAGGAATACACTATGGTGCTCTAACTCTTCATTTTTCCCAGCATACACATGTTCAATATCCATATTCGGATATGGGCATGTGTATGATTCTCCAACTATATGGAAAAACTCAGCAAAAAAAGTAAGCATATCTGTAGTACCGTATACATGCAAATACCCAGTATTCACCTCCAAGTTTGAGTAGCATATGGATGCCTCCGAGTTTGAGTAACATATAGACTGAGTAAAAAAAGACGAATTGACAAAGAACAAGACATAATTGGTTTGTCCAATTGTTCAGGGGCTAAACTATCAGCATTTTCTAGAGGTTTTATCCTATTTATATCTCATGCTTTGTGCATAGAACTAAAATTAAACAATATGCAGACTTACAAAGTTACTTCATCAACCTATTGAATAACTTGATTTTAAATTTACAAATTTTACTCCAAATATGCAATGGCCCTTCCTCGGCCAAGCACAAACATAAACACCAGGCATTTTGTTAGTTAACGTCTTGTCTAAAACATTCCCTTATAATATATACAGCTTAACATTTAGCAAATATCGGTAGCAAACTGCCTGCATTGCATTGGAAGTAAGCACTTCATTTTGTTTACCAATATAACTAGAAGGAGCTGAAACATGTTAAAAGTGATACATTAGGAATTTTTTTCACATAATATGGAAAATAGCATGCATCTAAAAAGCCCTCAATATAAAGCCCATTCATGAAAGACTGACTAGTGTGTTTGCATAAATAAGATTCCGAAAAAAAAGAAAAGAAAGCACATCTAGTAACAACACTACATTAAATAAATGCATCTAGCCATACACTGCTATTGACAAGGTAACAAAACAATCAGAAATACAGTCAATGAGAACACTGGACAACAAGGACGGAGGAAGATGGACTAAAGAAAAAAAGTAGTAAGATCTTCTCACCAGTTCAGCAATCTTTTTAATCATTGCAGCTGGGTTCGAATTCAATCCTTTAACCAGTGCCAGAATTAACTGCTTCAGCATAGATAGCTTTTTATCTTTCTCAAAGTCCACAAGAATAATATCAGCTCTATAACCTTCTCCACCTAATGCCTGAAGCTCTTCCAGTGTAGGAATAGTGTCAAAATGCTCCTTAAGCCTTTTATCCTGTGAGTAGTTACACTTGAACTTTAAAGAAGAATCATATGAAACTACACTAAATGAACATCGACGAACAGAAATCATGCATGTGCTATTATCGGTTCACAAGCACATATATGAACTGTATATGATCCAAATAACAGGATTAAACATGCAAAAAATTACATTATGATTGTACATTTCAAGGTATCTAGAGACTGCTAGCCAGATCACTTTGCTAGGGATAAAAAGCACTTCCTGAACTGATGGTGTAAAGAAAATATTTGATAATGGAACAATAAAGGACAAGGAGATAGTTTCTCTTTTCCCTTCAATAACAAGACTTTACCAGTAAACCATTATTAAACTTTAATTACAGACGGTCATTACAAGTTAGCACCACCAACTCTTTCAACTGCAATTAATATATGTCATTACTTTTCTCTCAGCAGAGAAGTACAGTTGCAAGTTAATAAAAATCAAATCTCCAATTGCAAGGCTCATTACTTTAATTAGTCCCCACGTTCCTTTCATGGATCTCCAAAGGAAATAAGAAATAATTTTCTTCTTTGAAATCCCAACACATTTCTCAACATAGAAGCAGAGTCCAGAGATCAAATCCTAAAGCATACTTCCATGCACAAGTGACCAGATTTTTCTTTAAGTAGCAAACAATCACCAAACAGAACAATGCCACCAATCATAACAGAAATCACATAGATGGTAGACCAGATAGTAGTACTTAACAAACAATTTTGAGTTTGATCAAATATCATTAAGGTCTCTGATTGTCATACTGATATATGTAGTTAGAGAAAACATTCAGTGGGAAGCTACATAACCATATGAAGAGTTATAGATCTATACATTTGAATGTGCTTAAAATCATATTAACCATTACCTTAAAAAAATTATATTAACCATTCAATTGGTTGAAAGAAGAGTCATTGTATATGGTATAAATCTATTCTGATGATGTAAATGCACTCTTTCATTCCTTTAAAAAAACTGAAATCTATTATCATCACAATTCAGAAAAAAAAAAACAAGATTTTGATTCTTACATATGCTCTTCAAATGCTTACAGCCTCACTGTAACTCCATATTCAAGAATATTCAATGCTGGGCATACCAGAACCTAAGAAATATCTTTTTCTTCAATACATCTTAAAGTGTATGATGTCTCATGTTTGATTTTTTTTATTAGTATGATGGAGACTAGGGGTGTAAACGAGCCGAGTCGAGCTCAAGTATTGCTGAGCTCGACTCAAAAACTCTGAAATGGAGCTCGACTCGACTCGACTCAAAAACTCGCGAGCTTAAAACTTTTAAGCTCGACTCAAACTCGAAATACTGAACTAAAACTCGTGAGCAGCTCGAAAGGCTTGAAATGAAAAAAAAAAATCTTAAACTTAACAATATTGAATCCTCAAACTCGAACTCGAACCTTAAATACATGAAAGCCTTATTGTATTTTTAAAAAAAAAATCAACACATAAATATTAATATTATTAATAATTTATTTTTAAAAAATAAAATCTTAATATATTATATTTTCGAGCTGCTCACGAGCTAGCTTTTCGAGTCGAGTATCAAGTAGCTCGTTTCGGCTCGTTAAGAATTCGAGTCGAGCTCGAGTCCATTCGATCCGAGTATTTATCGAGCCTTGACCGAATCGATTTCGAGTAACTCGCGATCTGTTTCGTCTCATTTACAGCCCTATGGAGACTCAGTTGATAATGGAATCATAACAGACAAAACAATCTTATTTTGCTCTAGAAAATAAAATGGTAATCCAATCAGGTCCATCCTATGAACAACTTCCTATGATATCTCTTCCCCATAAATAAAATTTAATTCCTTATAGATGAAAAACACTAGAGATCAAAGCTATCATAATAATTTTGAAAGTGCTGTTACACTCTTTTTCCTTATCTGAAATTATTTAAGGATTAATTATCGAATATTGATGACTCTTCACTAACTTTGCAGCAAATTTCACATCATTCCCCCTTACCTAAAGTGCACCTCACAACATAAAAAACACCCACAAAAGGAAGTGGGGAAACTTGAAACAAAAGCCTTATACATTAATGAATGAATTTTAAGTACTTTCTTTGAAAGTCAAAACCTTACTCGATTCAACCTCTCTATTACATCTCCTTTCATTCAAAATATTTATATAATTGCTCTGTCATTTTAACACAGCATATTCCTACTCTCTTTTTTTATAGGAATGGGAGGTCTCGTTAAAAACCTCCCACTTAGTAGTCCTTTACCGTGAGGCAAGAACGTAGTAACAGTAGGAGGAAAAGAGTACCTCAATTCATTAATAAAAAACCGATTACATAAGACTTCAAAATAAACTCCTAGAAAATACAAAAACCATAACGCACTCCTCTATCACTTAAACAGGAAAACAGACCAACAAACTAGAACAAGATAATCATTAAACTCAGTTAATGTCTGACTATATCAATGTCTCATCATAATATGCTTGACGAAATTCGTTGAGTCCAACAATAGATATCCTAAATAAGCCCGTCAGTATCAAGTCGCTCAATTAAAAATCAATATAAATAGATGAATCCAACAGTTGTAGATCCGGAAGCAACTAGAGTAATCAAATTAAAAAATAGTATATTAATAGCTTATTTAGATCCCAATTTAATAGTAATAATATCTTTATATTATGAAAATAAAGCTTGAAAATAAACGTTACTGAGAATGTTGAAAAAAACTAGAAAATTGAAATGTGACAAAATCGCCAACTTATTTGTAGATAAAAACATTTTTTTACATGCTACCTGCATGTAAATGCACAGATAAAAATACACAAGTAAATCCCCTAATTTACCTTATTGCATTACCCAAACAAATAAAAGGTACTATAGGGTTACTTAAGAACCTATAAAAACTGAGAAGGGATATTAACAACTATGCATGATGTATGCTAATTCCTTGTTTTTTTCTCTCTTTACATATTAAATTGATAGTGAAATATGAACTGAAAACAAACATCCCCTGCCCTCCAAGAAAAAAGGCCATATAGACTAAAATAAATATATAAAAAGACAAGCAATCTAATCATTAGTGGACTAGCATCAAACAGATGAATGCTACCAAGACAATATCAACAATGTTCACGACATTTTGATATTACCTTAAAACATCAGAAAATCTTCAAATCAAGAAACAAAGACACCGTCAACTCGAATTTAAGAGCCGGTCTAACTTTCTCTAACTCAGCTTCCTTTAGGGATTCCATTGGGAAAACAAACTGTAGAGAAAGTATATTGGCACTCCAAAACTGTAAGCATTCATTGGATATTCCAACAACAGTTTTGTGCAGCAAAAGCACCAGATAACTTGGTAGTAATTCAGGTATATAGCATCGAATGTATGACAACAGAGTGAACAAGTTTATCAGATGTTCATAACCAGATATAGTCATTAGCCCATAATACCAACTTATCCCCATTTTATCTTCAACAATATGATATAAGAAACACCTAATGATAACTCACATTTATCATTTGATAAACCAAATAATCATCACCTTATCAATGAGATCTATAATTTGATCCCATATCAGAGTCTTGACATAGTGAGTATTCTAGATAGTTTTACACCACAAAACCATGCGATTATTAGTACAGATGTCAACTGCAGCTGGCTTGCAAAATGAAAATGTTTAACAGTTCTACTTTTCTTGGATAAAATAAAGACAACTCAGACGAATGGTTTAAAACGAATATCTTTAACAATGAAGAAAAAATGAAAAATGCAGATGAACTTTTATCTTTGAAAGGGAGGGTGGAAAGCAATAGAAAGCACTTCCAAACTAACAATTAGGTTAAAGTGAAAATAACTAGGAAAAAAACTAACTATTAAAAATAGTTATAGATCTGAAGAAAATAAAGATGGCGAAGAAAAGCAAGAAGTCATTATCATATGAAATTCAATTTCAACCAAAAAACACGAATAGTTAAGCAGCTATTACAGTACAATAATCACAAATAAGATTACTAAATTCTCACCGGAATGACAGAATAGAAGCCATTAGGAATTGGCTCAGAAAGCATTCCAGTGCTCCACAAAATCTGTGAGGCTGTCTGAGATGACAATCCATCTTGCTCAAAAGTTCTAGGTGATTCCCTGCTGCTAAAACCCTCTTCCTGAGAACCTAAAGAAACAGAACCAAATTTTTCAATGAAATCCGAAGACCACCATGTTGCATTAGAAGGCCCTTGTTCCGCTGGACCACCAGCATCGTATCGTGTCTCTTCCATGTCCTTAAGTATTTGAAATGAAAAACCATATTCGCCCTTACTTCTCAAGCCATAAAAGATATTTTCAATCTAGGAATAGTTTGCACGCAACAAGTCATTTGATGACAAGCTTCCTTTGCACTGACTCGCTTGAGCTGGAGGCCATCAGACCTAAAGAGAAAAGACCATTATACATAACGAGTAAATTCTTTACTTCTGAATTCAATATACGCATCTACTACCCATTATCAAAGGGGAAACACCTTCAAGCAAATGAAGAAATACGCACAATCAAATATAAAGCAGTGTGCATTCAGAAAGTCTTCAACTTCCTTTAAAAAGCCTTTGATCGAATTAAATTCCAAAAATCTTTCTACACCCTGAATTTCCACATACGATTATTTCAAAAGAACATATAAATCATTTTCTACCAATATCACAATCATCAACCATCAAATATTCAACAAAATTGGTCGATCCCCGCTTAAAAATGAGCAAAATTAACTAATTTCTAGTTAATTCTTATCCACTAAAAATACATTCATTCCAAGTTAGGAAATCAATTGGAGTTCTCAAGTGATAAATAATCGAATAAACACCAAATTAGAAGATCTACTAAGTTACTAACAGAAAACCTAAGCAAACAAATACTTGAAAGGAATCAAAATAAGCAACGCATTCTAAAAAAATTTACACTTCAATCTGACTCTCTTTTGTCACTGATAATCGATAATCTCAAACGGTCGGTCTTTTCCCGATCGACAACAAAATATAATCCAGCCCAAACACGAAAAGGAATAATTACTCAATGGAATATAGCTCGTTTCTTAAATCGTTAGAACTAGGGGGGACGGAAATGAAAAAGAGAAATAACGAAATTTACCACCGGCAGATCCTTGCATTTGAATCGAAAACCGATGGCATTTGAATCTCAACTCCACCGTTCGTGAATTATCCCCATCCTTAAACACAAACTCACCGGCCAAATAGATACTAGTAATTTATTTATTATGGTTATAGAAAACAGGAGAAATGAGAAACGCAAAGTGAAAATTCAAATGCAAACCTAAAGGAGAAGGGAACGAGGAAATGCAAGAGAGAAAGAGCTACTGGGATTTTTCTGATTTAATATTTTTTGATAAATTTGGATTTAATATTAAATAGGGTAAACTACACCTTTGGTAACTAAACTTTACTCTCTCTCCTATTTCACTCACTATACTTTCAATTTATTAAGTGAACTTTATACATTGAATTTTTTTGATAACTCAACCGTTTAACTTTCTAACGGTGTTATGACGTGGATTAAATAAATAGCTTTTAACCGTTAAAAGATAAATAATTAAAAAAATAAGATAAATAATATTTTACCCTACTACTAAACCCTATTAAAAAACTACCCAACTTGACAGCCAAAGGCCACCAACCACATCCCATCTCTTCCGACGAGGGCTAGCCACGCTAGTGACCACAACCACTCGATGGCACAAACTACTCCGACAACAGACAAACGACCACGATTACTCTTAATCTAATCTTATGATCTTTCAGCAGAGTTAAAGATAAAAGTGAATGGTTTCTTCTTCCTCCTCAAATTGTTTCATTGTCTTTTCAATTTTAATTCTCAATTCATTGCCAGTATCCAATGGAGGAAATAACAGTATTTATTAGAGTAACCTAGTTAAGTTATTAACCAATATTTCAACCGAAAAATACCAATTATTTATTCTTCGTGTTTAACCGAAATAAATTCATGCGCTTTGCTTTGGCAAGAATCAAATAATATCGATTAAAGCTGTAACGAGTATAAATAACGAGAGGTTACATTAACTTAAAATTTATTGAGGGATTTCATTTACAGTTTCACCAATTTTCTCTTTTAAACACATGTATTAACAATATTTTAATTTTTATATTTAAAATATTAACTATTTTACCTTTTATTAGTACTATTCATTATCATAAATTGATGACATCACTTCCAGGACTTTAATTGTGATATTTTTGGTTTTCTAGTAGTTTGAAAGAGGTTTTTATAATGCTTTATGATTCCATATTTTCTCAATAAAGTAGGTGGTTAGCTGTCGATTTTATTATTTAATTTTTTCTACACGAATTTTGTTATAAAACTTATAATTTTACATTATATTTATGATTGATAGCTGTCGATTTTATTATTTAATTTTTTAACACATGAATTTTATTATAACACTTTTTTATTAATTTGGGATAAATACAAGACAATATTTGTTCAAAAACAACTCTCAATCATTTGACATTAAACGTTCACTCCTAACATTTTCGTTGCCTCAAAAAATAACAACAATTCTTTTGTACTGAAGTCGCTCGGCGTGATATTATAAAACTTACATTTCAATAAAGTAAAATAAAATTTGACCTGAATGCTTGAGCAGAGGGAGTTTGAGAGGAATTATAATGATTTTGTATCTTCACCTGACAGAGATAAATAAGTAATAATACATATAATTAAATTTAAAAAAAATTGATTATATCAGTAATTAAAGAAAATAGATGATCTACGCATTTAATTACCTATTGATTATAACAATAGCAGCAAATTGAAGATTAGCATAACATTGTAGATGGACATTAAATGTACAATGAGAAGCTCAATTGTGCTTGTTTGGTAGAGTATATAAGTTAAAGAATAGAATGGGTAAATTGGAAAAAGGTAGGGAGTTTTTGTAGGGAACTTAATATCGAAAGATAAAAACAATAAGGGTAAACTACACATTCAGTACATAAGTTATCTTTTTTGGCCCGTTTTAGTACCTAACTTTCAATTTTTTTTTTCAAAATCATGCCTAACGTTTAGTTTTTATTTCATTTTAGTACCCATCGTTAAAAACTTAATGCTTTCAATACATAAACTATAAATTTTAGTCTATTTTATTACCTAAACTTTTAAATTTTTCAAAACTTAAATTTAAATTTTGAATGAGTGCTAAAATGAAAAAAAAAATTAAAGTTTGTAACGGCAAGGTACTAAAATTAAATAAAAACTAAACTTTAAGTATAATTTTAAAAAAAATTACGCGTAATTTACCCAAACAATAATTGCACTAATGAAAATGTAATAGCACTAAATTGAGATCTTATCTTTTAGGCTTCCCTTTCATTGAAGATAAGGTCAAGCTATGCAGTTTTGTCCGATCACTACAGATTCCTGAAGGGAAACACCATGAAATCGCTAGTGATATCAGGCCCATACATCTCTACAACTCAGTAAAATTAGCCCAGTAGACTAGACTGATAAAAAATTGATCTCAAATTAATATGAGCTACTATATTTGCTATAGTGACTTAAAAATAAATTATATTTTTTATTGAAACTCGTCACTTCGATGTAATAAATTCTAACAAAAAAATTATAATATTTAAGAATTAACCATGTCTACGTGACAAGTTTAAATAAAAAATATTATTTAAATAAATTCATCATGTAGATGTGCGAGGAACACTTGGGATGATACCCCCAAATTCTTTTGAAAAAAATTCTTTAATAATTTTATATAAAAAATTATTAAAAATAAATTTAACACTATCTCAAAAGAAATATTCATACCATTTTTCTAAAGTCTGACATTATAATTTAAATCTATTAACTCTTTCATCAATCCCAACCGAACTCCGTCTTAAACCCGTTTTATATCAAAACTAGGACATTATTAGTTCTTCAACATGCTTACTGTTTTAGAAACTTAGAACATAATACCTTAATTATAATTATGTTATAATAGGTACTATGTCAAAATCATAAAATTTATAAATTATATAAAACCATAAGCAGTTTAATAAACTAATAGAAATATTTAGAAATAAGAAATTAATTAAAAAAAGTATTCTTTAGTCTAGATCAAACAAATATAAAAATAACAATACTTTTTCAACTCTCTTATAATTTAAAAATAATGACATAATTATGCTTATATTAAAAGTCCCACTTTAAATCTTAAACTTTTACTTTTGAAAAACAATTGATCTAACGTTTCTCTAGCAAAACTCAACTGCTTAATTACATACTCACATAAAATAAAAGAAAACCAATGACTAACTACACAATGGAAAACTCAAATCGATATAGGGCCAATTTGATATATCTTTTAAAATGTGACTTTTAAAAATATTGTAGAAAATACAATTTAATATTTAACTATTTGAGATAACCGTTAAAAAATGAATTTAAAAAGATGAAATATCACTATAGATATCATGTTATAAATTAAAAATATAACATTTAAAATATATATATATATATATATATATATATATATATATGAATTGTGTCAATTTATAAAATTATAAAAAAAATACAAATACTATCTACTCCAAGCTCCTTTATACTTGAAAATTTACCGATGCATAAATCTGATGGTACCAAATTACAAACTCGTTTTTAAAAAATAATTTGTAAGAGAGAGAACCTCCAAAATTTTAAATTCAAGGTGGGATATAAGATACCTGATCAGAAATTTAGGTCGGTGAAGACACCAACCCATTTTAAAACAAATCTAACTCTCCATTTTTTAATTGATTAAATAAATTATTAATTAAAAAATAAATATCTAAATTATATATAGTTTAGGTTATCCGAAGTTTTTTTTATTAAAATAAATAAATATCTTCAAAGTTAAAGTTTTAAGATCAACTACATCATGACAATTAAAAAATTATCAACCACTCTAAACATGACACATCACATTTATAGATTTTTGAAAATTTTATTTAAAAATATGAAACTATTAATTTCTTTCAAAAATCAATTTTCTAAAAACTAAAACAAAATCTTAAAATCTCAACCCTAAACCCAATATCATTGTCAACCACCACCATCATTGTCGCCAAATGCTCACCCACCCATCAAACTCCAACAATCGATCATTGCCTTATCGTTATCACAATACCCTAAATCCTTAAACTTCTTTTTATTAATCTAGGGTGATTATATATGTTCTAAAGATTCAACTATTTGACAATGAAAACTCAAATACCCCACAAACATTGATACTAGAACTTGAGACATCTAGAGATAACTATCATCCTTTTAATCACCGAGGTTAATTGATTCGTGCTCCAAATCCCTAAACTTAAATTCATAAATCTCCCAAACCCTAGATCTCCAATACCATTGATGCCAAAAAAATTCCTAATCTTAAAATCCATTACCAATAACGCCCCCACCGTCATTAAGCCCCACACCCAACCATCAACAGATCGCATTGTCAATCATCCCCTTATCATTACCCTAAATCTCTAAACTTTTTTTTAAAAAATCCCTAAACTTCTACTGTTTAAAAAATCCCTAAATTCTAACTCAATCTGTAATGGTTGTTAGGAGAAGAGATAATTTCAGGTAACTGTTTCAAGTAAAAATCGTTCATAACTTCTTTATTCATTAATGCCCTTTTTATACAACAATTTGACTAAGCCTGCTTTGACTTATGCAGGTCAAGGAGATACATTTACATTATCACAAATTGGGCCTATCCACTCTAACTCAACAACAACAAAGCGACCCACTTCACTTACTAATCCGACGCCGTTTTCCCCTTATTTTGATTACAACCCCTAGTCAGCAATCCCAATTTCCCAATTTCCTACCCACCGCCTTAACCCTAATTGACTTCCTCAGTAGTGACACAATCCCTAAATCTCCCTAAACACGCTAAATCCCCAATACCTAAATTCCTAACTCCAAAGCCTATTACTATTGTTAGTTGCCACTGTCGTCGAAGAACTCCCACCCACTTTCACATAACTACATTATCGACCATTCCCCTTATTGTCGCCCTAATATCCTAAATCCTTAAACTTAAATAGGAAATTAGGACTCTAGAAATTTAAGAAGGTTTTATAAATTTGGGGGTGTTTTGTAAAAAATAGAAAATTTTGAATTTTATTTTAAAAAAAACTAAAAGAAAAAAATACGTGTTAACACGGATTGGATGACTAATTTCTAACAATTTTTTTAACAGCCACGACAAAATTTACCTTAAAATAGTAACATTGAAAACGTTAGATATCTACTTTGACAAAAAAAAAACTTTAGACACCCAAAATAAACAAGAAAAATATTTTGGGCACTTATTTTACAATTAAGCCAAAAAAATTCAAACTACATGTCGCATTTAATATGGGATCAAAATGCACAAATAATTTTAATATTTATCACCTGCCAAAAATCAATGCCTATGAGACAAACGAAGACAATTACCACCAAGTACAAAACAAAACGCATCTTATTCTCTTATGGGGTGGAAAATGCTTTCACAAACCTAGGCGTCTCTAGTTCTCAATTCACACCATAATACTACTAATATGGCAAAGTTTTTCCAATCCAAGGGGGTTTTTGGTGAAGTCACCAACACAAAACAAAACGCATCTTATTCTCATAGGATTGAGAGCATGCTTTCCAATCCAAGGGGTCTCTAGGTGTAATAATACTAAGTAGATCCTTTTCCAATACCAGGGATCTCTAATAATAATCAGATTGAGATACCTTTAGGTAAACTCTAATAGGGACAACATAACAACTAGCAACGAGAGATGAATTTCAAGTCATGAAGAGAGGGTAACCTCTTTCCAAGAGGCTGCTGGTCCAGGTCCTCCTCTGTTCATAGAGCTTATGGCAATTACGAAGGGCTTAACTTTCTTTGCTTCGTTTCATCAGCGGTTTAAGGAACATGAAATTGTTGAATCAGACAGTAAACTAGCAGTGGAGTGGGTCAAGAGTTATGATCGTTGTCCCTATGTCTACATAGACTAAGTGAAAGACATTGTTTCTATGTTAAGAGATTTCAATGGTATTATTAGATGGGCTGCTAGATCAGCCAATGTTGAGGCTGATACCTTAGCTAAGGCTGGTATTGGCTAGTTTCACTGTTTTGATTAGGTTTTTATAGGCTTTGAGTTGGTTATTGTAAAGGGAGTGTTTTATGTTTGTTGTTTAAACATTATGTATCTTTCGGTTATTAATGAATTCTAAGCACTCTTTTCCTCCTTCCGCTGATCAAGGAGCACTTTGTGCTCCATTAATCATGAAGGGGGTTTTTAACGAGGCCTACTTTCTTAAAAAGAGAGGGTAACCTTGATCATGATGGATTGCTAGATCTACTCGTCACCTAATTTTATTGTTCTCAATGTGAAAAAACTAAAATTATGATTTATCTCACTCTAAGCATGTTAACATGTTGGGAACATAACAGATTGCACGCAATAAGAACAACACTTTGGAAAATGGTCACTTGAACAAATAGAATGCTAAACCGAACTTGTTGAGTTTGATAAGGACTAAAAGAGGGTGGTCGAGAATCAAAATCTTCTCCCCTTCAGTAACCAGCAAATGGAAGCCGACATGATATTGGATAGGTTTGGTCATGGCCTTAACAGTTAAAAATTTTAGGTGAATTGGGTAACTTAAGGTGACAGAATTTATCCTCAACTAGAACTTCCTTCGTAAACCAAACTTCAACCATGCTTAACCATGGTAGCAAGATGTGATCTTATCAAGGGGAAGGTTTGACCAAGCTTTTAGAAACTAGAACTTAGGGCAAGCCTTGACACTTACTCAAAGTAATTAAAACTATTACTTTAAAGCATTTAGTGAAAAACATGAGGTCTACACTCTACATCCTTTTAGTCAACATGAAAAATAATAATGTCAAAAACATCTCACACAACCTAAACCTTATGTTGGTTACCAAGCATCCAAAAGAAAGCTTAATATCTAGATTCCAATGCATATAGTTCTGGTAGAGATTAGTTCCAGTTCACTAAAGATTATAAATTTATAACTAAGAGAGAGAAAAACAAATGGCAGAGAAATTATTCGATATTTCAGTTTCAGCCTACTGGCAAAGATACAATCATGACTATCCAAAAGGAAAGAAATACAACATTTTAAAGGGAGCGAAAATATGAAATTGAAGTATTCATAAACAAACAATGATGGGGGCCTACGAAATAAGTTACAACAGATGCTAACTTTACCCCTTCTTGATCATAACTCTACCACCTATCTTTTTTAATACCTACAACCGTCCACAATATTAAGTGCATCATGCAAGAATTTTACCCTCATATAGCTATCATAGTAAATATCAATAAGATGGATATGAAATTGGGTCACTTGTTCCGTAACGACGTGACCTACGGCGATTAATGCTATCCAATGTTGACCCAAAAACCCTTCGACTGTATTCATAATTGGTATCATTGAAAAGTGATCGATACCCATTAGACTGGTGAGAAACACCAGGGGGAGATAGCACTGGATCAAAACGAACTTTTTAGCACTCATGGAACTCAATAGGCAATGAAGTGACAGTCTACAAAAACAAAGATAATAGAAGAAACAAATAAGAGAAAATTAATCACCTTGGGTGTAACGCGCAGGATAATCTGGGATCCTAGAAGGGGTTGATGACCTCTTTAGCTGCTGAGAGATTTCCATGTGATTAACTACTCCATGGTATTGCCTCGATGTAGCAGGTGTGGCTGCACTGGGAGGGTTTTGTGAAGCCTTGTCTTGCCCAGAAATCTGTTAGGGATTTCAGTCAATATTTTGATACTTGCACAAACAAACTCGGAAGATCAAGATTATGGATCACAAAGGAAACGGAAATATTTCCATTTACACAGCTTAATTGCTTACTCAGTAATTTGTACTAAATCTGGCATTTACTTGTGTAGAATAGGCCAAACAAGTGAAACTTTACCCAAAAGCGCTAGCATAAATTCAACATAAAAAAGAAAAGAAACTCACAGCAAATTTCAAGGTTCGATTATAGAGAGTAACAAGGCCAGAAAAAAGCCTGACAGCATAATCAGCAACGTCCTCGTTCTCGTATTCAACGAAGGCAAATCCTTTGGGCTTATCAGTTTCCTTGTCTCGAGGGATATACAAATCTACTACCCTTCCTGCTTGGATAAGAATTTCATACAGAACTCTATCGCTTACCCTCTCGTCCAAATTTCCTTTTATTTTCCCATAAAAAAATCCAGGTAAGTGCACAACCTAAATAAATAATAATAATTTCATACATACATAAACAACAATAGAGATGTTGATTCTCATAGCAAAAACCGACCTATGTAGACGCTGCAACTAGAATTCCCTGGCATAGCTACTGGAAATACCTACAGAATCGACGAGAAGCAACTTCCGACACCACCACCAAAATAACAATAACAACAATAATAATAACCTTAGGGATGCTCTGATGTTGCGTGATCGGAGGCTTGAGGAGGTATCAATACCAAACTTTCAATCGAGATCCAGGGCGTATTAGGTTGTTTTATGCAGAATTTATCTGGGCAAGGTGAAAAGGGAGGAGAATGGGATCCGAACTTCGGTAACTAACCCAGTTAGTGGCGACCGGAGACGGAGCTGCGGTGGACGGCGTACAGGCGGTCGATCTATGGGATTTTGTGTTAGTTTTAATGATTCAAAGCTTAGGAGCCGGAGGGCTATAGAAGGGGAAATTCAAGGACACGGAAGGCGTAATAGGGCTTTAATGTATTATTTATGGTTTCCATTCAGTTAATAACAAAGATTATAAAAATATCAAATTTTGTTATTGTTTAAAAATAATAAATCAAAATTATAATAATAGAAAATAATTATGAATATTTAAGGTTTCTTATTATTAATAAATAACTATTTTTTTCTCTTCTTCGCACACCTGATTTTGATGAGTGACTCTCTCGAGGAAGAATTTTTGCATACACAATTACTCAAAATCGATACATTGATTAAGTGATATCAAATTACTTACCACTTGAACAAACCTTCTCTAGTATTAAATAACTATTTTAAATATATCAATTCATTCTAAGAACAAATTTTTTTTATTAATAAGGTGATTATAAAGTAATATCTGTTTTAAATACTTTCAGCATCGATTCTTTTAATTATTAAGATAAACTGATTTATGTTAGAAAAATTATTTTTTATTGTTTGTGGACGTGATAAAATGGATAATATATATATATTTTTATTTTGAGTTTTATATCCACTAAGACAATTCTATACCATACATGTTTTGTAAACATCTTATATTTTGATGAGAAAATAATATATACTTCTTTTGTTTTACTATTAGATATATACTTTTCTTGTTATTCGTTATCTTAATATTGTAATAACATTCCAAATTGTATTATGTTAAAAATAATGTATTAACCATTTAATAATTAAATAAAATTTAGAAAAGAATCTTTAAAAAATAAAACAAATAAAAATAGTCAAAAAATCTATTTTACAATAATTTTTAATGATTTTTATTGGGTAAACTACAGAAATGGTCACTTTCGTTTCGATTTTATAAATTTTCTTCACCGAATTAAAAAAATATAAGATTTGATCGCTTTCATTTCATTTCGTTTTGATTAAGATGTGTTCATTGAAGGTTAACGATTGTTAAACTTTTAAACGATTTCAAATTTGTCACTTTCTTTTCATATTTGTACACATCTAGTATCAAATATTGGGAGAGACAAGATACTTAATTTCAAAATAATAGGAATTTATTATGTATTTAAACTAAAAATTGAGGGAGGGAAAGAAAAAGTCCAATTTTACTTAAATTTAAATCTATAATTACTTATTAAGCCAAAAATTTTGAGAGAGAGAAGCCCTCCCACCCCCTACATATTTTAATAATTCTGTAGTTATTATAAAATTGAAGGACTATGTTTATAATTAAACCAATTACCTTAAAATGTAATCTCTTTCTCTTCCCACACTACCACTATTCTCCATCTTCCTTTCCTTTCCTTTCCTTTACGTCGATCCATTTTCCTTTACCAAAATGCCTATCAAAAGAATCTGCCGACTCCACCGCCGATGATTGGCAAGAACGACCCTTATACCATCTTCGTTAACGCCCCCCTGCCATCCATTCTCTTACTGAAATCTCATCCTTATCTTTGTTTCCTTTGTTTTTGCTGTGATTGGTTTTTAGTACGCTAATTCCATCGTTTCGGTACGCAAACGAACAGTGAATTGAAACGACCGAATGAACGAGACTTGTGGGGGTGGGGAGCGAATTAGGTAACACTGCTTTCTCTTTGTTACAGCTAATGACTCTTTAAGCAGGGCAGATGTAAAGAGCCTTTTTGCTAGAACATAAGGAAATGAGATATAGAATGCTCAATCATTCTTGCAGTTGTTGATGTTCGAATCCGTATAATCTCTAGAAATAACAACGATTCTTTTAACTATTGAAGTAAGTTAGTTTATGCAGTTGATGTGTTTTTTTAATTGTTTTGTTCATTGATAAAGTAAATAGACAGCAATATTTTTCAAAGTAAAAACAAATTACTCAAATGGTTGAAGAGTATTTGCACATTCACGTATCGTTTTAGCCGCTACCATACCACTTCAGAAAACTTGACGCCTCAAGATCAAATCCCCGTGATTGAGTACTATAATCTCCAAAGTGTAAACTTTATTTGTACCTTAGGAATTAGGGTAAATTATAAATTTTATCATTCATCCTTTCTACTTGCTTTTATTTTGCTCACTAATTTTTAAACCTATTACTTTAATAACTAAACTTTTGTATTATTTCTGTTCTGGTCACTCTACCAATAAATAACAAATGAGTGATGATATAGTAGACGATGTGATATTAAGTGATTAAGCCTATCGGAGTCCTAAATGTGTTAATATGATTAAAAATATCATGAAGTGTGAGAAATTATCAAAATATCATTGGGTGAGTAAAATTTTAATATTTATTTCATAATTTTTAGAAATTTAATGATAAAAGTAAAAAGAAGTTATAGCATAGTTTAATGGTTTGTGAACTTTACCCAAAGCTCAACAGATGTTTCTGTATATGCATATGGTGGACAGAGATGCAAAAGCTCATAGCACTACACACGAAATAGTAAGAAAAGAATTTTATTTGAAAAGGTGCATGCCCTATCTATCCTACATTGCTAGAACTGAGTGATTGATTGTGCAAGCAAAGCAAGTTGTACCTATATAACTATCCTTAAATTTGGTGTCCCCATGTTAGAATCTCTCCTGGGATGGATCGAAGAAGTGCTGTGGTCCATTTTTATATTTTAGTTTTTTTTCTTTACATTTTTTTATTGATTATCTAATTTCGTATCCCTAAAATTTTTAATATAATTTCTTAAATTCGCACCCCTAACATAAATTTATGCGTCCATCCCAGAATTTGTCTCTCTTAGGCTTTAATTTTTATAAGCTACTGGTAGTTGCTCTACTAAATACACCTTAGTCTATTATCTTCTTTATGTCTCGCCCACCACTTGTATATATTTGCTAATCCTCTTTATTTGTTGCTTCACTTCTAAAACTAACCTTTACTTAAAAAAGTTCCACTGCTTGTTCTAATGTATATGTGATCTTGTCTCTCTCTAATCTCTGATTAAAGTCATCGCCCATATATACTTTGCATCAGCATATCATGTGTTATATTCTAATCTCTAATGTATGATGGAGAGAGAGATGAGTAATGCGAGGCCTTTAAAAGATATGGCAATCTCGACAAGTGGTAATGGAGGAGAGGGCTTGGAAGAGAGGCAGGTTAGAAGTGATGATTACAAGGAAGTGGTGGTGAGGTACAAGGAATGCCTAAAGAACCACGCGGCGGCGATCGGAGGGAACGCCACGGACGGGTGCGGTGAGTTTATGCCGAACGGGGAAGAAGGCTCCCTCGAGGCGCTGATGTGCTCAGCTTGCAGCTGCCACATGAACTTCCATCGGAAAGAGATGGAATGCGGTTGCACCTCGGATTGTTGCCACCGAAAACTTATCTTGGGACCTCATGATTACTTTTCGAGGTCACCCCACGGGGACCCTTCCCCGCATCGGGCCGTGATAATGTCGTTCAAAGGCGGATCGATCCCTTCGGAGACGGACGAGAAGGACGAAGGGCGGATCGTGACGAAGGCGAGGAAAAGGTTTAGGACCAAGTTCAGCCAGGAGCAAAAGGAGAAGATGTTGAGCTTTGCGGAGAAAGCTGAGTGGAGAATTCAGAAGCTGGATGAGAGTGTAGTGCAGCAGTTTTGCCAAGAGATTGGGATCAAGAGGAGAGTCCTCAAGGTGTGGATGCACAATAACAAGCAAAGCTTTGCAAAGAAAAATAATGTATCTGCTGCTTAAATATTAATTAATTAAGCAATATGTATTCATAATCATCTCTTAGGGTTTCTCTTGTCAAGCAAACTCCTACATGTCTAGCAATGTCCTCGGCAATTATAATGTGTTTTTGTATTCCTCACTAGTTATTAATGTTTAACAGCATGAACTGGGGGACCTTTTCTGTGAAATTAACTTACCCCCATTAGTTAAAAAAATCGTTATTTTTCTTATACGTCACGTGTTCAAGGACTAACAACTGTAACAAGATGATTAAGCATTCATTGTCAAATAAATAAAAATATTTAAAAAAATATATTATTTTGTAATCAATATAGCATAATAAAAAAGTATTTGCACCATTTGCTTTTCCTCTTTTGGAAGTAATAGTAAAAAAGGTTTTAATATTTATTACTAATAGTGTCAAATATAAATTTTCTTAAATTAATCTTGGTAAATAAAATATTGTATCTATTCAAGGATAACTCTTAATCATTTAACATTGAACACCCACACCTAGGCATTCGCAGTACTCGAACTCAAGAACTCAAAAAATAAAAATAATTTCTTTACCATTGAGGTCGTTTGGTTCATACACCAAATTACTTTTAAATATAATGTTACTTTATGTGCAAAAATATGGTAAATTATAGGTTTAGTGCCTAAACTATTACTTTCATTTCATTTTGATACCTAAATTTTAATTTTTTTTCAAATTCATACTTAACGTTTACTTTATATTCCATTTTGGTATCATGTTGTTAAAATGAAATGTTGGACATGACATTTTCATAGGTAAATTACATCATTTATCACTCAATTAACTTCTCACTCCTATTTTGGTCATTGAAGTTTAATTTTTTAAATTTAATCACTTAACTTTCAAATTACTCATATTTTAATCACCACAACTTATTTGATTAATATTTCTATAAGGGGCATCTTTTAATTATTATTTTATTAATATAAGATTAAAATAAAAAAGGAATGGGTGAGTTGGAGAGGCTAGTAAGAAGGAAATCGTGAGGATGGGGGTGAGAGGTTGTGATTTAGGATTTTTGGTATAATTTTTGGTTTTGATTATAATTTTAAATTTATTTTTTATTTTAATTATATATTAATAAAAGAATAATAAAAATATCATGTCACAAAAAATATTAATAAAATAAATTAGAGTGATTAAATCATGAGTAATTTAAAAGTTAAGTAGTTAAATTAAAAACTTTTAAACTTTAGTGAGTAAAATAGGAGTGAGAAAATAGTTGAGTAATTAGTGATGTAATTTATTAATAAAAATGCTATGTACAAAAGTTCCGTTAAAAATATTATGTATAATTTTGAAAAAATAAATAAAGTTTAGGTGCCAAAACAGAATAGAAGCAATAGTTTAGGTATTAAATATATAGTTTAGCCAGAAATAATAATTTGTTAGAAATATTATTATTAAGGATAAATTATATCTATGATCATTTAATTATTGTCTCTTTTCACTTTAACCATCAATCTTCTAATTATATCAATCATACTACTTAACTATTTCAACGCGATCAATCAAGCCACCAATTGTTCAGATTTAACGGAGCAACTGAGGTAGCTGTTAAAAGAACTAGTACAATTACAAATATAATCCTTAATACTTATATATTCTATCAATTTAATTTTAATTTAATATTTTTTATCCAATCAAGTGATGATGCATGTCACTCATGAGTACATAGGAATGGGCATGGACTTGAACCCGATAAGTTTATACCCGACTCGACCCAAACTTGTCGGGTTTTTTTTAAAAAAAAATTTGAGTTCCAGTCGGGTCATGTTTTTAGAGGCTGTGTTCAGGTCGGGTTAGGTTCGACTTTGGAGTGAAAAATAATCGACTAAACCCGAAAAAATATAATTTTACCTTTATATTAAGATATAATTACAATATTACCCCTAAATATATATTCAATTAAATCCCAATTTTTATTGAATAAAAATATAATTTTTTAATAAATATATTATTTCGGGTCGGGTCGGATATAATTCGGATTTTATCTCAAAAATTTTGGTCGGATTCAAATTGGATGGAGGATTTCGGATCGAGTCGGATTGACCGAAACCCGACCCGATCCCTATGTGTATACGAATGTATATGTCCGCTCTTGTGGGTACTATAAAATGAGTGCGGATATATGTGCAAGTATACACAATCGAACAAGTAATACAATGATAAGTGAGTATCATCTCCACAGGGATTGGAGGAAGTCGAATAAGTTCTATCAAAGAGTTTTACTTTGTCACCTAAGTAAAGTTAGTGATGGTATGTACAAATGATAATGCTGTGGCAAAATGAGATGAATGTTGTGGAAATAGAATGGTGGTAGAATGGTAGTAGATGGATATGTCGTGGCAAAATAGATTGTGTTTAATGCAAACAAATGAAAATGTCAAGGCAAAATAAAATGTAAATATATGATTTGATTAATAGGACTTTGGCTTTCTCACACGACAAGCAACTATGGAAGTGAGTGATAGGAGTCACTAAGGAAAATCTAAGTCTACTTCTCCGAATGATCTTTCTTCTATACCTAGTCTGCCCGACAGAGTCTACTAAGGTGCCCTATGCTATCTCTAGTAAGGGACTCGACAGATTAAAGATGCCCTGGCAAAACCGATTAGCGTAAACCCCTGCAGTGATCCTATTGGTCCAGATAACAAGATATGTCTCGGCAATACCTTTTTGCGACAACATTAACATCTAACATATCATTCATGCACAACTCCTTTTAGTCGAATGAAATCCTAGCCTTATCTCTAAGGTGGATTAGGCCTAGTTACTACCTAGAACCCCTTGTTTATGTAGTTCCTCCCTAGTTTCTCTCGAACACTAAGGATATATTACCTAGGTATTCTCTCGAACCCTAAGAATCTCCTAAGGAATGGCTACTCTCGTAGCTCCTACAACCTTAAGGCATTAAACTCCATAAACAAAACAGATTATAGCATAGAAAAATCAACCATTCATTGAAATAAAACTTAAACATCCAAAATAAACTCCCACCAAATAGAATTAGTTCATGGTGGGGTTCGAAATAAGCAAGCACAAAGCAAGATTATACGTTCCTTATAACCCAAATAACAAAATATGAAAGTAAAGAACTAAGGGAATGAGAAAAATCCTTCGACGTGCAAAGCCGGAGCTTCCCTCAGCCACCACAAACTACCCCCAACGAACTAGCTCCTCTAGGATGCCTAAAACGCCACTCCCGCAGGCTTGTCATAGAGAAATACCACGGCAAGTAGGATTGACGGAGAAAGATGAGACATTCTCTCTCTAACTTTTTAAGCTCAAATCTGGGTGGAACCAAAGTCTCTAACAATGTGGCTTCATCCTCTATTTATAGGGGAAAATTAACCCTTGAACTAAGAGTTGACTTTCCCAAACCATGGTTAACTTTGCTTGAGAGTCGGGCAAGACAGGTGATGATACAGCCTGGGTAGCTGGCTGAGTGACCGGCATAATCCCGTGGCAGACGCCCAAGGACAGCCAGGATCTGCAGGGTCATGTGGCGTCATCAGCAGAACCGGCGGTTGCAGCGATAATCCCTCCAGGTGTATCTTCGAGGTGGATTTCTCGGGTAGAGCTCTCGGACAGTTGGATATAGCTGGTTTCAAAAAATATCTTCCCGCACTTTAAGCACTTTCAAAATGCCGGATGAACTTGGCAAATTCATTTTGCTCAGTAATCTCCTTATGTCACGGCATTTTCTTTCCTCTTTTCCTTGCTCTCTATACATGAACATCATCAGGCAAGTACCTTTCCCATAAAGTAGCACCGCTGTAAAAATAAAATTCCACGGTGAACTAAAATCCACCACATGCAACTAAATACTTCCAAATGCATATACATGGTCTTAAATGAGCCTTTAAACATCCAATAAATTAAGTCAAAATGCCCCAAAATATGACTTTTTACGAAGTTATCACACCCCCAAACTTAAGCTATTGTTTGTCCTCAAGCAATGGATAGTAATAAGAAAAACAAAGATACCATGACAAGTTCAGAAGCCAAATAGTTTCATGGAATAAAATTTCAGCCCTCAGCACATATGGCTTCAACATGCTAGACTAGGTCGAGAAATCTAGTATTGTCCCCTAGGGCAAGATTCTTTGTGTGGGTGTGTGCGTATTTATATCCAGTCCATGCTTAATAAATTTAAAAATTTTCTAAGCAAGCTTTCCTAATTTGCCATGAAATTTTCTAAATCAGCTCCACATTGCCTTTCTTTTCTTTTATTAGTTCTGCTACGAGGGGAGTCAGCCCATCACTCTACCATCCCACACTCTAGGTGAAAGGGAGCATACCTTCCACCCCGAGCTAGTCAGGTAGAGTCATCCCGTGACATCTTTCATTCACTCATATGTCATAGCCTAGTGGAGTGTCCCTCTACAAATATGTCTTGGCATTTATTCATAACTTTAAAAAAAAATTAACGCAAAGAGACGAGGCGTTCAACAGTCAAAGTTTTATGCCACAACATTTTAAGAATTCTTTTATATAAAAAATTTCTAAGTTTCTCAAGCATGGAAAACATACAATCGTGTAATTAAGGGTTTCAAAGAAACAAGTCCTAGAGTTGATTTTATCATCCTCAACCAGTCATGTACATTCTTTCCTAGCTATTAAACTTATCATCATCGGGCATCCTTAACTAATTCCATAAAACTATTCATGCAATTACTAATATCATGGCATATGTATTTTACTACTATTATCATGTAGTGATGCGAGAACCCTACTTCCCTCAAACTTGAGAGAAGCATTATCCCCAATGCTTACTAAAACTAAGAAAGACAAAACTACATGTTATTAATGCAATGCTAATGCAAGGTACCTTGTCTTTAAGCGGGTGGTGGTGTAGCGGTCGTACTCCGAGTGTGCTTTCTCAACTTGGCGGGGCTGGAATGTTCGGAGTCAGACGCAGGTACGGCTGGAGGTTTGTGGACCCTAACCTTGCAAATAAAAACAAAATAATCAATTAAAAGGAAGCTGAATAAAAAAAATAATAAAATAAACATTTATTTATGCACAGGAGTAAATCTCAAATGTAACGACATCCTCAAGATGCTTAGCCAGTTTTGACATCGTGCAAGAGAAGTGTAGATTTGTCGCGCTCGACCGGAGCACCAGAGTAGACCAAAATGCCCCACACATATAATAGTTTTGCCTTCAAAATAGTTTGCCCTGGCATTTCGTGTCTTTCACATATGATTTTTAGGACCTTTGCAGTAGTCCTCTCTTCTTCAAAGTGCACTTTTCCTGAAGCTGAATGGTAGTGGAATAAGATCTCTTTTTGCTCCTTTTTGTTGTGGCAACTTGAAATCATTTGGGCAGCAAATTTGTTGGAGAGGTCGAGGCCATCCCTATGCCAATAACCACAATCGTGTATGACCTTATTCTTTCCTAGGCTAGTCAAATAAGGAAGCAAAACAACACTAACGAGAAAATTGACAATGTTAGCATGCCACAAAATTATCGCATCAAATAATAATTTCTCATTAGGGAATTTTTTTCTTAATCTCCATTTCACTCCTTAGTTCTTTCACACTTTCTAGCCTAGAAAAATGAGCAGCTAGTTGGGGTTTAGGATTAGTAAATTCAATAGGATTCAAATGTTCAAATTTTATACCCGGTCTAGCTATGGGTGAGCTAGACTTACTCATCTCCTTTGGAATATCCTCGAGCTCCTCTTCTTCTTTTTCATCAAGATTGAAGTGATTATCACTGCATAAAAATTTGTTGCGGTAAAATTATGCAGCTTTCTTTTAGTCATCAACTCCTACTGATGGGAGCTTTTCTTCTGCCGTGACAAAATTTTTATTATCTTCATTGGTTGCACTCTTCGAACCCTCGTCGTTGTTGTCCAGCAAATATAAATCTTCTTACACATTCGAATCTTTGTGCACAAACTCATGACCGGGCTTTCCGAGTGTCTCTCCCCCAAACTTAACGTCTTTGTAGATTTTCATGACAGTCCTTAAGGTGAATGTACCACAATGCTCTCTGTCTTGAGCCTTAGTGACTTCAGTATCACTAGGTAAACTGTCATGTGGGCAAAAATGTAATGCCGTGGAAATTCGGCCAACCTGATCCTCTAAGGCCCTCAAAGACGAGTTGTGACTTTGAAGCAAAGCTTCTTGGCTTTTTATAGAGGTCGCATGGTCATGCAACATGGTCTTCATAATTATGATAAAATCTTGCATAGTGGCCTCCAAAGAGCTTGTGTCAGATGAAGATGATACTCCCTCGTTAGAATTATGCCATGACATATTCGTTTGAAAACCCTGGGAGTCACTGAAGTTCTGCTGCCTAGCGGGCTGACTAGAGTTGTCGGTTCCTTGATTTTCCCACAAAAAGTTTGGATGTTGACGCCATCCAGGATTATATATATTAGAATAGGGGTTGTTGTTGCCTCGATTGTAGTTGCCCACATAGTTGATGGATTCTTGATTGATCGGGCACTCACTCTTATTGTGATTGTCGTGGCATAATAAACATGCTGAATTGGCTGCCTTGACTTCTCTCACATCGCTTGGCCTTTGTAAGTTCTTCAACATATTGGTGATAGCAGCAAGTTGGGCGGACACCATATCCATAGAATCTAGCTCGAAAGCTCCATGTGATTTTCGGCCAAGTCCAAGCCTTGTAGATGGAAATTGATAATCGTTGTTGGCAATCTTATCCAGAATGTCAAATGCCTTTACTTGTGATTTATCAAGTAATGTCCTATTTCCGAGGCATCTAGCATCATCCTCGTGGGCGCATTAACTCCATTATAGAACATCACAACTTGAGTCCAGTTGTGGAGTCCATGATTGGGGCACTTGCGAAGAAAACTTTTGTATCGATCCCATCACTCATACATATACTCTTCATCGCCTTGGTGGAAAGATGCTATGGCATTTCTAAGATGGTTGTTCATATTGGGTTGATTATGCCGTAGAAATATTTTTTTGCACAAGTCATCCCAATACCTTATCGAGCCGGAAGGTAATCCATTGAGCCATGCCCTGGCGTGATCTTTCAAAGAATATGGAAATAACTTCAATTTTAGCACATATTCATGCACACCTTGTCGTCGAAAGGAGTCACATACCTCTAAAAATGCCCGAACATGTTGCCTTGCATCCTCTTGAGGAGTACCACCAAACTGTCCAATAAAGTCCAATATGTCGAACATAACCGGTTTGAGCTCAAAGTCACCTGCCTGAATCATGGGTGCCACAATTCCAGGATTTAGTTCATCCATGATAGGGTTTAAATGATCTTGAATACTACGAGGCCTAGCTGCATTCCCAGCATTCGGAATTGCCTCGACATTCTGATATTCCTCTTGACCAATTCCTTGATTTCAGATTTAATACATGTTTGCTTGAGCACGTTGAGTACGTAAAATAAAAACTTGAAAAAGAAAAAGAAAATAACAAGTAAAACTATACAAAAGAATTTGAACAAGTAAAATAAAAATGCTATGACAAAACTAATTAACTTCCAGTTGCCAATCCCCGGCAACGACGCCAAAAACTTGTCCACCCTTATGGGTACTATAAAATAAGTGCAGATATATGTGCAAGTATACACAATCGAACAAGTAATACAGTGATAAGTGAGTATCGTCTCCACAGGGATTAGAGGAAGTCGAATAAGTTTTATCAAAGAGCTTTACTTTGTCACCTAAGTAAAGTTAGTGATGGTATGTACAAATGATAATGTTGTGGCAAAATGAGATGGATGTTGTGGAAATGGAATGGTGGTAGTATGGTAGCAGATGGATATGTCGTGGAAAAATAGATTGTGTTTAATGCAAACAAATGAAAATGTCAAGGCAAAATAAAATGTAAATATATGATTTGATTAATAGGACTTTGGCTTTCTCACACGACAAGCAACTATGGAAGTGAGTGATAGGAGTCACTAAGGAAAATCTAAGTCTACCTCTCTGAATGGTCTTTCTTCTATACCTAGTCTGCCTGACAGATTCTACTAAGGTTCCCTATGCTATCTCTAGTAAGGGACTCGACAGATTAAAGATTCCCTGGTAAAACCGATTGGCGTAAACCCCTGCAGTAATCATATTGGTCCAGATAACATGACATGTCTCGGCAATACCTTTTTGCAGTAGCATTAACATCTAACCTATCGTTCATACACAACTCCTTTTAGTCGAATGAAATCCTAGCCTTATCTCTAAGGTGGATTAGGCCTAGTTACTACCTAGAACCCATTGTTTATGTAGTTCCTCCCTAGTTTCTCTCGAACACTAAAGATATATTACCTAGGTATTCTCTCGAACCCTAAGAATCTCCTAAAGAATGGCTACTCTCGTAGCTCCTACAACCTTAAGGCATTAAACTCCATAAACAAACAGATTATAGCATAGAAAAATCAACCATTCATTGAAATAAAACTTAAACATCCAAAATGAACTCCCACCAAAAAGGATTAGTTTATGGTGGGGTTCGAAATAAGCAAGCACAAAGCAAGATTATACGTTCCTTACAACCCAAATAACAAAATATGAAAGCAAAAAACTAAGAGAAGGAGAAAAAGCCTTCGACGTGCACTGCCGGAGCTTTCCTCGGCCACCACAAACTGCCCCCAGCGAACTAGCTCCTTTCAGATACCTAGAACGCCACTCTCACAAGCTTGTCACGGAGAAATGCCACGGCAAGTAGGATTGACGGAGAAAGATGAGACCTTCTCTCTCTAACTTTTTAAGCTCAAATCTGAGTGGAATCAAAGTCTTTAACAATGTGGCTTCATCCTCTATTTATAGGGGAAAATAACCCTTGAACTAAGAGTTGACTTTCCCAAACCATGGTTAACTTTGCTTGGGAGTCGGGCAAGACATATGATGATACAGCCTGGGTAGCTGGTTGAGTGACAGGCATAATCCCGTGGCAGACGTCCAAGGACAGCCAGGATCTGCAGGGTCAGGTGGCGTCATCAGTAGAACCGGCGGTTGCAGCGCTGATCCCTCCATGCGTATCTTCGAGGTGGATTTCTCGGGCAGAGCTCTCGGACAGCTGGATACAGCTGGCTTTAAAAATATCTTTACATGCAACTAAATGCTTCTAAATGCATCTACATGGTCCTAAATGAGCCTTTAAACATTCAATAACTTAAGTCAAAAGGCCCCAAAATATGACTTTTTACGGAGTTATCAGTATCCTTTACTTTTCTTTACATTTATCTCTTCAGTTTTCCATTCTCGTTTTTCTTTTCGTTTACTTTCTCAATATCCAAACATAGCATTAGTTCATAATTAATACGAATATGTCACAATAAATTTACAAGACCTATAAAGGAGCGGTCGATGGCATTAATTAATAGGGAAACTTAGATGAGATTGGTTGAAGTTCATAAAGATTTCCAGCAACTAAATTAGAAATTAAATTTATAAATAAAAACTCAATAAATTATTGGAAAATGTGTTGAATTCATTATGAATTTGATAATTGAATTTTACTTAAATATGACATATCTATTTCACTATTTCGAATTAAAAAGATATTGCATGAATTTTTTAGAATTTGAATATTAATAAGATAATATTGTATTATTTAAGGATTTATATTTAATTAAAATGTGAGTACAATATTATGAATTTATATTCAATTGGAATAAGAATATATTATTTATAAATTTATATTTGATTAAATATAAATATATTATTTTATGAATTTATATTCAATCAAAATACGAATATATTATATGATCAACAATAAGTTAGTCTAATGGGATAAAACACTAGATCTCTAAAACAAAGTTAGGATTTCGAAATTTAGCGATTGCAAATGAAGCAAACTGGGTTGGCAAGGTCGCCCTTGCCTCCGCAATACTCGATTTGGATTAGTCGATCAATAGATTGGATACCGGTGGTTGTACAAAAAATGTATGAATATATTATTTTGGATTTATATTCGATTGGAGTACAATATTGTATCGGAAGGATTGTTTTTCCTTTGAGAATACCCTATAAATATTGTGCTAACCTTACAAGTATGGATGAATAAAACTCGACTTGATTCGAAAAAAAATTTCAAGTTTAAATCGAGTTGTAAAATATAACTCGAATAACTCAAAATTTTAATAATTAGTATATTGATTTTTGAAGTTTGAATCGAAGTTTGAGTCAAGTCCCTCGACTTTTATGGTATATATAAATCACACATGAAAAAATACGAAAAAATATATATGTATTGTAAATGGTTATAAAATACCATTTAAATTAGAACCAAATAATATTATAATATTATAAATATTTACAATTAAATTTAAATAGAAACTCAAAAATTCAACTAGACTTGAAATTTATAAACTCGACTCGACTAAAAAAATTTTTAAGTTAACTCCGAGTTATAAAATAGGACTCGTCAACTCGAATAACTTAATATTTTTTGACTTGAATGGATCGAACGCTCACCCCTACTTCTAGGTTAAACATATGTTAACAAGTTTCAATAAATACACAAGTTTCACAATTCATAATTCAAGAAATTGAAAAAAAAAATTCTTCCACTAGTATTCCGGTGATAGATAAAGACAAAAGATAGTTCGTGATCTATACAGTTTTGCTAGACAGACGACCAACGATCATTTTGAAGGTTAATTAATTTATATTTAATCTTTAATATCTAGTATCTATTTTTAGATTAAGAACAATCTCTAGTATCTATTTTTAGATAGATATTTTTTTTTCAATTTTTTCGGGGAAGTACAAGATAGTATTCATTTTACATTGAACACTCAGACCCTTGAATCTGACATTCCTAATGCTCGAACCCGAGTCCTCACGGAATAATAACAAATCTTTTACCACCAAAATCACTTAATTCGTGCAAAATTAGTAGAAAAAGAATAAGTGAAAGGGTTAGAAAGCTGAGACTCGAACCTAGGTAAGAAACTTGTATAAAAAAAATCTGTTTAAACCTTATTTCCTACTTTGAAATATTATTTCGTATGAGTTCCACAAATCCTTCAACCCCACAAATCCCTTATTTTTTCTCTTTATTTATTTATTTATCTATCAAGCGAGATACATCACAAACCCTTTAGGTCCATCAAACAGAATTTAGGACCATCTAAGTATAAAAGAAGTTTAAATCAACCCAAAGATAGGACTCAGCAGTCAACACCCACTGAACAAAAGTAAGCGTTCTAAAACACGTACTTTTTAGGTATCATATTTAACTGGAACAAACTTCACATTTTTCATACATTTACATAATTTATGTGTAGATAAACATACTGCATATATGAACAAAGGGCTTGCACTTTAGTCTTTGTTGTATTGTGTCGAATTTATTTGAGATAAAATGGATGGGGATTAAGAGGTGGTATTGCATATAAACTGTTTAATTCACATCAGGTGGCTGATGTGAACTGGTAAGAAGAATAGGAAAGGGAACCAAGTTCCCAGCTTTGGTGGATAAGTTTCGCCTTTGCATTTTCACCAGCAGCACCCATAGCTACATGCAAAGGGTAGAAGTGGTCCGGCCAAGGGTGGGCCATCTTCGCATACGGTGCTTTCTCTTGAAAATGGTTCACATCTTCGTACCTTAAAGAATAATCAAATGATCATAAGTCGAACAACCGAAGAGATACAAAACCAAACAAAGCAAACAAAAAGAGAACTTTCATTTGAAACATTAATGCCAATTGCTATCACCGGTGCCCCAAAGAAGAGAGTAATCGTAAGTTGGACATAAAAATTGCCTATCTAAAGGAAATGTCAGTCTTCGAACCACATGTAATATAACAAATATCTAAAACAGAACAAATTGGAAAAATTAACCCTTTGTTCATTACAAGCAATTACTTGTTTTAAGTGCAAATCTTCTCAGATGTTAATAGTAAGGACAATTTGTAATCCCAAGTTTTAAATCTTCTCGAACCGTAGTTAAATATACACTTGAAGAGACACCGTTTAGCATACGTTTAGGGTCAGAACCATAATCCAATCAAATTCACAACATTATCACATAGCCTTTTGACAGTAAGATTATTGAAGTAGAAAACTCAGTAACAACTTCCAAAACATTTCAGTCTTCTAACTGGTATCATCCTCTCAATCGATTTGCTAATTTTATCATCACTCGTTAGAACATAGACGAGGAACACTAAAAACATCTATCACCATGGTTGAACACCGACCGCACATTGTCATCTATCCGACATGTATAAACACAGAAAAGGAAAAATGATTTACCTTCCTTGAAGGAGAGCATCTTTAACCCAATTATCAAACTCCAAAGCCCATGGAAAAACACCACCGGCACTGCCCATGTTTTTCGAAAGGGTCCTCAAGTTGTGAGTGGTGGCACCGGAACCCATGATAAGAACACCTTCATCCTTCAGAGGGGCCAAAGCCTTTCCCAAGTTGTAATGGTAATTACCATCCCTTTCCGACTGAACAGAGAGTTGACAGACCGGAATATCGGCCTCTGGATACATGAGCATGAGTGGAACCCAAGCACCATGGTCCAGCCCACGTTCCCTATCTTCATCAACACGCTTGAAACCAGATGCCATCAGCAATTCCTTCACTCTTAGTGCCAACTCCGGCGCGCCTGATGCTGGGTATTTCAGCTGTTAACAACAAAATAAGCTCTCCTTTTACTCAAAGGGTCAAAAACTCAATCTTCAAAAACAACAATTTGCTCCAATCAATGACAGTTCCTATTATTTAACCCCCCCAAAACAAATCTAATACACCGAATCACCTCGTTCAATGAATAAAACACAATCGCTGAAATTCGTGTTACACTACACAAATTTCGAATCGCAAGATATGATCCACCTAAATTCGAACAAAACAAAATAATAATAACAATGGAAAAAAAAGCTGAGGGTTACAAAGGCACACCTTGTACATAGGGTCGGGGAAACCATAGAAGTCATAGATTGTATCATTGCGTTGAACAATGTTAACGGCGGGAAAGGAAGTGTCCCAATGACCCGAAATGACTAGGATGGATTTGGGTTTTAGGGAAAACACTTTGTCCTTCCATGACTGCAAGAAATGCCTCGCCGGAAGCGACTCGTCTATCGACAGCATCGGTGATCCGTGTGATATATAGAATGTATCCTTCATCGTCAACGCCATTTCTTTATGCGATTAAATTGATTTGCAAATTCCCAACGCCATTCCTTTTTGTTTAAGTCACTGACATGATTGAGGGACTAAAATTAAATCGACCGATAATGTTAGGAATTGAAATCGGACGGATCATAATGTTAGAGACTTAAATCGGATGGGCGGATGGTGTTAGTGACCATTTCCCCTATATTTTTTCGGTGACCAGAGTCGATCATATCGAAAATATAGGGGATTATCTGCGTATTTTACCCAATTTAATTTGATGCGCATGGGTACTGAAAAACTTATCGACCAAATTATGGTTTCGGTCACTTTATTATGTTTAAAATGAATGATTTAATCCCTCTATTTAAGTTTATATAATTTTATCACTCATTTTTATAATATTATTTATTAATCCATATACTATTTTGGTTAAATCTCGAAAATTCTTAAAAACGTTTCTTACAAAATCTATCTATATTAATATGATGAATTTAACCTATTGAATGAGTTTAATAATAAAAAAAATATTATTTTTCTATAAAATTTGAGTTTAATATCTAATTATTTAAATAAATTAATAAAAAAATGTGGGGAACCAATCTAACTATTTGAACAACAGATTCAAGCATCGATTGCCACGATGCTTACATGATAGTTCACGAACGTACATGATAATATATAATATTGATGTGATAATTAATGTTTTCATAATATTGTTGTGATAGTACACGATGGACAATGAGGTGGTAAATGGGTTTAATTAACTTTTTTACCAAGTTTTTGATGGCGTAATTGATTTTTTTTAAAAATATTGAGACTTATTTAATTTTAAAAAAATTAAAAATAACCTGAATTGAAGATACAAAATATAAACAATTATTAATATATTCAATTTCTTAAATATAAAAATACTACAAAAATTAAATTATTAAACAAATTCGATTTAAGGACTACATTGAGTGTAAAAAAATCCAAAGACCACATTAATTTTTTTTTACAAGAGTTAGGTTTCAAATACCATTAAGTAAAAAAATAGTTAAAATAATTTGAATATATATAAGTTAAGTTAAAAATCTAGATCTAGTGTTTCTCAATTTTTAAAATTTCAAAAATAATTTTAATGAAAAGACTGAAAACATTTTTTTATGTTTTTATTTTTTCACTTATATTTTTATTTTCATTTTCCAGAAATCATTTTCTAAATACTCTCAATCATTTGATAATAAACACTCAATCACCCTGCTACAATCATTGGTGCTCGAACTCATGACCTCTAAGAATAACAATGATTTCTTTAACTACTAAAGTAAGTTTGTACACATCATTTTAAATAATTAAGTGATCTGATTGATAAAATTAAAAATCGATGGTCAAAGTTAAAAGAACCAATAATAATTGGTCATATAACTTAACCTAGATTATATATTAAAAATATGACAAACTTGACGAGAAACAAGTTTTTAACGAGTATGAGACGAACAAAATTCCAACAAACTTAACAAACAACTAATTGAGTCAAGCGTGGATCGAATAGTTTTCGAGTCTGATTCGAACATTGCTAAATTCATGATTGATTCCTTAGATAAACACCCCCAAGTATGATTAGCCATATCTAATTTCGCAGCAAATGCATCATGTAAGATAATTTCTTCAAATCTCAGGACGAATAACAACATTCTATAAAGTAAAAATACCAACAACAAAATTAGCAAATTTCACATTTGATCAAATATATAAATATAAAGAAAAAGAGAAGATCTTGATACAACCATGTTAGACAGTTACACATGGTACTAAAAATCTTAGACCAGGGTTGTCATATCACCAGCTCTTTCTATTGCAATCCTCAAGAGGATCCACTTGAAAAAGTACATGTCATGAAAATTTTTGCGTTACAGAGTTGCTAAAGCTGAACTAATGGCAATGAAAAGCACCCAAACCAAGCTCAGTTGGTTTTCTTTTCATCTTCATTGGCAGTGGTGATATCTGCACTGCCAGGCACCTGATCATCCTCGCCACCAAAACCGAATTCATTTATCCGTTTCTTATCGACAGGATATACCCACCTTTGGTACAGGTAGATTAAAAATATAAGATCTGCAAAACAAGCATGACAATGAGAATACACCTGGACATCACTGGCAGAACACATGTAATACCGAATGATCTTTGAAATCAGATTATGTATATTCAGGATCAGTATTTGTGATCATAAATACCCAATCTCTCTGTTACACGACTATATACATTCAAATCCAATTAAGGCTTCAAATTGTAAAAGGAAGATAAAATAACACTGTAATTGCTAGGCAAGCTCTTACCCTTTTGTGTATATAAAAATATAATGGCTGATTAGACAAAGGTTATGCCAGCACTTATCTCAAATATACATCCCAAGTTCATGAGTTGCAAGTTTCTGTTTTTACTTCTTTTGTTCATGGGTGTGTGTGTGTGTTCAAATTCTGGTTTACTTGAGGGTCTTTTATAATTAATTTGCCCTTACTAAATCAAACAAATTATCAGATAATGAGTCATTCTGCCCTTTGTTCCAAAACAAATGATATTTGCTTGGTATGGAGGACTGGGAAAAGGATGGAAACTCCTTTATTGTAATGGTTACATTCATAGCCACCTTCCTATTCGTAGCTTAAACGTTGGTTAAAACCTTTTCTTCTCTTTTGCATCCTCCAAACCAAGCAATGCATAAGGTTCTTTTTTTCAACAACGGAAAAAAATAGTAAGCATATCTTACCATCACGGAAGACAGAAAGTCGATGAAGTGTAGGCATTTTAATGACAAATGCAAAGAGATCATCAATGATGGTGTTGAGGAACTTGTAAGTCATCTGCCTCCAGGGTAAATGGGCCACAGACTTAAGCTTATAGTTTATGAAAAGTTGAGGGCACATCATGATAAAACCTGCCAAAAACATAGAAGTAAAAATTGTTGCAGTTTAAATATGCACAATCAAAAATTTTGCAGCATATAAAGAAGTAAACATAAAAGTTCCAATAGAAGTTATAGATGAAAAGGAAAGTGATGATTCACCTAACACTCAGAGGTTGCGGCTCATTGACCAAACCAATTTATGTACAAATAGACAGACTCAAATTCATCACTAATTAGGTGGCCCCTTTCTCTTCCTGATGTGTAACTAATGAGCTTGATCATAAAATATTTTGATATAATGATTAATCATGAAACAGGCAACCCAAGTTCAGATAGTAAAAACACCAATTCAATTAGTTATATTCAAGTGTCCTTGCTCACCAAGTTATGAGGTATAATTTTTTGTCCTCTACCTAAGAGCAGTACATGGTTGCCTATAGGGAGTTTTTGCTTTTTGTCATAGAAGCTTGGGTAGAGAACCGCATGGCTCTTGGCCTATAAGGAGCTTTTTCCTAAGTCGGACAAAACATGATTTATCATAGTTGTTTTGCTAAACAAAGCAACCTAGGCGTGTCAGAACTAGTAAAAATATTGATATTGTTTGTGTGAAATCATCCAGAGTTCATACATGAGTTAGACAAACTTACGGGAAATGACAGGGACCAAGGCTCAACAGCTTTACCTAATGCATAAAGGTTACAAAAAGGGGTAGATGACAACACTAGAAGACCCCAAGGGAGAATACATTTTACATGATATTGTTACTTTCTTCTGACTTTAATGAAATTAAACTTTCACCATATCAAACTTCAAAAAGGGGGGGGGGGGATGGAGAAAAAAAAGAACTTTCACTATATCAATAAGTTGTAGTCTTCACACTGGCGGATGTATGTTGAACCTAGGGTGGGCCTGGAACCCGAATTTCTTTATGTTTGTTGTTCATTTTGTTAAAGGTGCCTACCCTAAAATCCAAATTTCTTTATGTTAGTTGTTCATTTTACTAAAGGTGCTCACCCTGAAATTTTATTTGTGTCCACTCCATACGAAATTCTTTTGTTATTAATACATGTGTCCACCCTGAAAAATATTTTTGGATCCGCCACTAAGTGTTCAGTTGGCCACCAACAATGGTATCAAATAAGGAGTAAAGGAAAAAATGTCTTACCAAACATGTAGACACAACTTGTGAGTGAAGAGAGAATCCAAGAATACCAGCTCTTATGGCGCTCATACATAAGGGAGTAAATAGAAAAGCATACAACAAGGAGGAAGAGCACGTAAGACAAATACTTCATTGCTATATCATCATATTCCTTGGTCTTATTGCTTGCATATGAATCACGGTCTCGGAACCTCAACATAGGTATCTTCCCAGATCTATCAACCTGAAGATGAAAAACAATTATCGCAAAATCTGATACTCTTGCAATAAATTAACTGAAAAATGGCAGATGATATAACCAGATTGGGACTAGATGTTACTCCATCAAATACTAAAAAAATAAATTTCAAACGAAATGTGACGAAAATATGGGATCCATGCAAAATTTAATGGAAGTATACACACCAAACATCAAAATATGACCAGAATAGAGGCTTTCAGATGTAATTCAAATAAATAATCAGAATGGCAAGCCAAGAAGAGAAGTAAGACGAATTATGGTTCTTTTGTATCTTTCCAGAAACAACGAAAGAGAGAAGAATGAAGCATTTAAACAAGAATCATGCAAGGAAAATGGCATTCATGAGACACCATGCCCCTAAAATACTTAGAAGCACATTGAAAATGATGGTTTTCTGCATTCAGTTTCACATAATATAAAAATACTTAAAGTTCATTAGCAATCCTCAAAGCAACGGCCTTCGAATACAAAACACTTATTAGGAAAGAAAAGCAGTTAACCAAGAAGGAAGGATGCTCATATACAAGACAAAATTGCCTATATCTTTATGGAATCAGGAAACTTCAGCATACAGAAAGGGATCTTATTCAATATCAAACTTCCAGTACACATGTATCTAAAAGCTGGCCTTTTTTTCATTTTCTTTCGCACAAGAGTTCCCAATATTTAAATGAGATATCAAGCAAAACAAGTGTTTGTATGAACTCATACCTCTATGTGCATTGCTTTACCTATTTTCCAAAACTCAATGCAGCAACCAACTCCAGAACTTGCCAATATCATCCA